GCCCTTCGCCCCCTCCCCCCGATCCACGCGATTTTGGTGGGATTAATCGTAACTGATCTCTGCTTCTTTTCACCCTTTTCTTTTCTTCTTCCTCTTTTGTGTTTCATTTTAGCTCTCCTCTTTCCCTTTCCCTTCTTTCTCTCTTTTTTTGGCGGGGAGGGGGTGGGGTGGTCGGGGAGGGGGCAGAGGCAAAGGCCTTTCTCCGCGATCCACATCTTGTTTGCAGAAAAATTGCAACTGATATTCCTTCTTTTCTTTTCCTCTTTTGTTTCTTTCCCTTTCCTTCCTTCTCTCTTGTTTTGCGCGGGGGGGGGGGGGGGGGGGGGACAACAGCATGGGCGGCAAGGCCCTTCCGGCCCCCAATCTCCTTCTTTTCGCTTTTTTTCTTTTCTTCTTCTATTTCTCTTATTTCCCTTTCCCTTCTTTTCCTTCCTTCTCTCTCTCTTTGCTAAGGGGGGGGGGGGGGGAGGGGTACAAATCGGGACAAATTGCAACTGATCTCCCCTACCTTTCTTCTTCCTCTTCCCCCCCCTTTCCCTTCCCTTACTTCTCTCTCTCTCTCTCACACATTTAAGTTTGCTGAGAGAGGCAGGGGCCTTTCGCCCCCTCCCCCCGATCCACACGATTTTGGTGGGATTAATCGCAACTGATCTCTGCTTCTTTTCACCCTTTTCTTTTCTTCTTCCTCTATTGTGTTCCATTTTAGCTCTCCTCTTTTTCAACTGATATCCCTTCTTTTCTTTTCCTCTTTTGTTTCTTACCCTTTCCTTCCTTCTCTCTTGTTTTGCGGGGGGAGTGTGGCAACAGCATGGGCGGCAAGGCCCTTCCGCCCCCCATCTCCTTTTTTTCCCTTTTTCTTTTCTTCTTCCTTTCCTCTTCTCTCTTCTTTCCCTTTCCCTTCTTTTCCTTCCTTCTCTCTCTCTCTCTTTTTGTTTGCCAGGGGAGGGCAGGCGAAGGCATTTCGCCCCCGATCCACACCGCGTGGTGGGAAAAATCACAATTGATCTCCCGTACCTTTCTTTTCTTTCCCTTTCCCTTCTCTTCCTTTCTCTCTCTTTTAAGTTTGCTGTAGAAGGGGGGTGGGGACAAGGGCCATCCCCCCCGATCCCCAACTTGTTGGCGGGAAAACTGCAACTGATATCCCCCTTCTTTTCTTTCTTTCCCTTTATCTCCTCTTTTCCCTTTTTTCTTTCCCTTCTCTTCCTTCTCTCTTTCTTTTTGCTTGGGGGGGGGGGGGGGGGGGGCAACAGCCTTTGAAGCAAAGCCCTTTCGGCGGCTCCCCGATCTCCTTCTTTCCCCTTTTCTTTTCTTCTTGCTTTCCCTTTGTCTCTTCTTTCCCTTTCCCTTATTTTTCCTTCCTTCTTTCTCTCTCTCTTTCTCTATCTCTCTTTTGCTGAGGGGAGGGGGGAGGGGGTGGCGAAGGCCTTTCGCCCCCGATCTCCTTCCTTTCACCCTTTTCTTTTCTTCTTCCTCTTCTTCCTTTCCCTTACTCTCCGCTTTACCTTCTCTCTCTCTCTGACTCTCTCTCTATCGCTCTCTCTCTCTCTCTCTCTTCATTTTTTTGTTGGCGGTTTGGGGTCAAGACCCTATCGCCCCAAAATCGGGAACGAACTTTTACAAAGATTACATGAACATAAAGAGAGCTGAGAGAGAAAAACTGTAATTTGTTTTTGTGTGCTGGCCTTTCCTTTGTGAATGATCACATCTGACACATCAGTCACCGAAAATCATTTCTGAATGTCGGAATTGGTTCTTTATAGTAAACTTTACTTGAAATCTGGTCATCGGTAAAGTATTATCGGCATTATCGTGATCCAAGTCCCCAGGGACTCGACCTTTATGTCTAGACGTTGCATAATGCAATTCGTATTGGTATTTTATTCCATCTCAGAGTGATTATAGACGTTATTTTTTAAGGATAATAAAGATAAAGCTGTCTGGGTTTTTAAAGATAATGCTTCAAAACAAATCGAACAAGCTGTTTATTTCTTTATTTATGGTTTGTTTCTACTGTTTATCTTTTTTCATTGCCAACCATCGAAAACGATTATATTATGCATTTCACAGAGGAAGTTTGCATAGAAGAACTATGCTTTCTAATGGATCCGTACAATATGGCACAGCTTTAGGGGCCTTGGAGAGCCCCCAACCGGGGGTTTCGGGGCGGAGCCTCAGGATGCTCTCGAGTTAATTTGACTTTAAAGAGCAAGTGTCTCTAAGATATAAAGAGAGGTTATTTCTTCAATGAAGTGAAAGGACTCATGAAAATAAAATAGCCCTTTCATTTCATTTTAGAAATAAACTCCAATCCATCCCTTGATATTTAAATTGCACGGCTCCTACTTCGTGCTTTGTTCACACTCTCCCTGATCTATAAAGGGTGTTTTCTCTATTTGATCATCAACAGAAGCAAAATGCTAGGCCACGAACTTTTCGAAGCGTGACCAGATTCAAAGTATGCTTAAATGGGGGCATTGATGTATGTAGAAAAAACAGGATGAAGATCCCATGCAACGCTTCGAAATTTAAAAGAAGAATAAGAAAAATAAAGTTGAGATTTCACCTTTATGTCTAGACGTTGCATAATGCAATTCGTTTTGGTATTTTATTCCATCTCAGAGTGATTATAGAAGTTATTTTTTAAGGATATTAAAGATAAAGCTGTCCGGGTTTTTAAATGCGTCAAAACAAATCGAACAAGCTGTTTATTTCTTTATTCATGGTCTGTTTCTACTGTTTATCTATTTTCATTGCCAACCCTCGAAAACGAATTTAGTATGCATTTCACAGAGGAAGTTTGCATAGGATAACTATATATATGTATGTATACATATATATATATATATAGATATATATATATATATATATATATATATATATATATATACAAATTATTTATTGGGCTTATTTTGCTTTCTAATGGATCCGTACAATATGGCACAGCTTTAGGGGCCTGGGAGACCCCCCACCGGGGGTTCCAGGGCGGGGCCCCAGGATGCTCTCGAGTTTTTTCGACTTTAAAGAGCAAGTGTCTCTAAGATATAAAGAGAGGTTATTTCTTCAATGAAGTGAAAGGACTCATGAAAATAAAATAGCCCTTTCATTTCATTTTAGAAAGAAACTCTAATCCATCCCTTGATATTTAAATTGCACTGCTCCTACTTCGTGCTTTGTTCACACTCTCCCTTATCTATAAAGGGTGTTTTCTCTATTTGATCATCAACAGAAGCAAAATGCTAGGCCACGAACTTTTCGAAGCGTGACCAGATTCAAAGTATGCTTAAATGGGGGCATTGATGTATGTAAAAAAAAAAAAAAAGGATTAAGATCCCATGTAACGCTTCGAAATGTAAAGAAGAATGAGAAAACTAAAGTTGAGATTCGACCGTTATGTCTAGACGTTGCTTAATGCATTTCGTATTGGTATTATCTCCCGTCTGACAGTGATTATAGACGTTATTTATATGGATAATAAAGATAAAGCTGTCCGGGTCTTTGAATATAATGCTTCAAAACAAATCGAACAAGCTGTTTATTTCTTTATTCATGGTCTGTTTTTACTGTTTATCTATTTTCCTTGCCAATTCTCGAAAACGAATGTATTATGCATTTCACAGAGGAAAGTTGCATATTGATGACGCAGGCCAAGATTTAAACCCACTCAAGTGTGAATTTGGCGTATCTTCACTCATCTTCTTCAACTAGGAAATGGACTTCATTGTAGCCTTAGGACAGGATGGTGAAATAAAATTGATAAAAGAACATCATAATCAGATTATCCGACCCCGGAAACCCCATGAATTCATCAACTTTTATCATACTGGTCCTTTTCCTTTTGAAACTACGCTTGACCTTTAACTCGGATGGCGGCCATTTTTTATTTGGCCAATATGGCCAGCATGACAGTCCCAAGGAGACCTGCAATATTGATACAAGCAACATCATAATCAGATTCTCTGACCCAGAAAACCTCCTTACTATATAGTTTTTTTTAATCATTTTAGCTCTTTTCCTTTTGGAACTACTATTGATCTGTAACTATCAGATGGCGGCCATTTTGGATTTGACCAATATTACCAGTATGACCCGAGGAGATCTCAAATCGATGAAAGAATATCATAATCAGATTCTCTGACCCCGAAAACCCCATAAATATATAAACTTTTATCATACTAGCCCATTTTCTTTCGTAACTACACTTGACCTGTAACTATCAAATGGCGGCCATTTTGGATTTGATCAATATGACCAGTATGGCAGCCCCAAGGAGATCTTAAATTGATGAAAGAATATCATAATCAGATTCTCTGACCCCCAAAACCCCATAAATATATAAACTATTATCATACAACCACTTTTCCTTTGGGAACTACGCTTGACCTTTAACTCAGATGGCGGCCATTTTGGATTTGCCCAATATGGCATACCCAGAGGGTGCCCTTCTTGGCGTCCGGAAGAAATCGTAAAAGTATGGTATAATCTACCTCTGGGCCAAATTTGGTGCTTTTAGAAGAATCTGCACCAAACAACCCATATTTAGCCCTAACAGCCTCCACTATATGTGAACTAGAATACGGACATTCGGTGCGGCAGGCGGACTATTGGTGCGAGACCTCTTCCGCACGGATTGTCCGTCAGACATTTGAGGCGCGCACGGAATGTCCGACACGGACATTCTGCGCGGATAAAATCCGCACCGATCGTCCGCTCTCGATCGATCTCTAATAGTCGGACGATCGGTGCGGGTTACATTCTACGCGTTCACACCGGCAGCCCTCAACTTAGATACAACAATACAAATAAAAATAAAAAGAGTGACTTGCAGAAAAGAACCCTTATCACCCATCACTTTCCTTCATGTTTTTAAAGTCACTATTATTTTACAGCATATTACAAAAATCAAAATTGATTCACACTAGTAAGTTGCCATGTTTCTATATTTTCGTCTGGTTATCTTCTGCATTCTTCTTATTTTACCTGTTTATGTCCATTAAACACAGAGGTCTAATACTTTCTGGGACTGAAACACTTGTAATTGAACCGCTGCATCCTCACGAACACGAGGTAAGTCTCAAACTCAAGGTTTTCCTATCACTTGAGAGGTTGAATCTTTAAACATTTTGTTTCAGGGGGAGGGGGCTAGAAAGATACTAGTGTTGTGATCGTCCTTTAGAGGCTAAGGTCGTCTGTTGTATGTTTAGTTTTAGTAGATAAGTACAAACTTTCAGGATTTTATATTTTGACATTTAACATAAATTTTCGTGGGGGAGGGGGCGCGATCGAGCATGGAAAATTTGTAAAGGGCGTGCCCATAGCCTACCCCTATTGTTATTGATTTTGTGTAGGACGTTGATCTCTATTCTCACTAATAGCCAATAAAGTATATTGGAGACGCCTAAGAATATCGTATAATTAGCTCAAAACTTATCTTTGTGTACAACCGCACCTTCCGTATTGCCTATATCTTTGCTGTTGTATTCGTCTACTTCACAATGTAGGCCTACTGATAAATTGCATTAAACGATTTACAACTTTGCCTTTTGTTGTAGCTTCTTGGTGATCACGTAATTGCTAACAATGGTATGAAGAGCGAATGGAGGGGTTTATATACCACATCAAGATCACATCATCACAGAAGGGTGAGGATATTACTTTTTCTTTTTGAATTTCGAATTTTTGATTGAATTTGACTTGAATCAATTTAAATCTTATTTTTTAATATACTTGAAGCATGTAAAATATACCAAATGAAAAAGATTTAACATATTTTTATTTTGTTGCTCCATAGCCATCTCGTTCCTCTATTTTTTTTTCTCAAAAAAACACATTGATTTTGTATTCATCAGATATGAGAAAGAAAAGAAAAAGAAAATAAATATATTGATATATATATATATATATATATATATATATATATATATAAAGAGAGAGAGAGAGAGAGAGAGAAAGAGAGAGAGAGAATGAGAAAGAGAAAGAGAGAGTAAACGAGAGAAGGATAGAGAGAGAGAAAGAGAGAAAGAGAGAGAGAGCGTGAGTGAGCGTTTTATGCCTTGTAATCCAATAGTTCTTTTATTTAGTCACACATTTTCGAAAGTATCAACTTCTTTTTTCCCCGTCACCCTACATATTAACACAATACAAATATATACACACACACAAACACACGCGTACACACGCACACGCACGCACACCGCACACGCACATACATACACACAGACGCACATACACACACACATATATATATATATATATATATATATATATATATATATATGATTATGTTTGAATGTAATATCTTCAAACCATTTTACCTTCAGGTCCGACGAGATGTTACTGATGAAATGAAATACATCACAGCTGATATCCTTGTTTCCCAAAGCTTTGTGAGTATATCCCGTTTGCTTCTTTAATACCTGTATCAGCTTTGAACCAAATATGGCATGCGATACTTTCGTTTTCTGTTTATTTTTGAATGATATAAATTTCCTCTTGTTAAGAGGAAAGGGAAATGGCTCTCCATCAAGCAAATTGATCTAACATAGACGAAAAATAGGAACAATTATTTGTTTACCTCATCATATGGCCCGTACTTTATTATAAAATGCAATTTCTAGGCCCAGCACATTCTACAATGCTTTCTTCCTGTATATATATACGATGTATATATTTCCTTCGTACTTTCTACTTAATAACCGTACACTATACTTGATTTAACTTATTCACCCGAATTATCTTGTAACCGACACGGCTTTTGAATTTATCTGTATTGTGGAACAAATATACTTCAAACTTCAAACAGCACTTCTTGTTATGTCACAAGAAGCAGTGCAGCTTGTTTGTCTTCATCTACCTTTTAATTATACATTCCGACGCCTCTTCAACAATTTACAGAAAGATTAATTAAACCTACATAATTTTGTCACTCCATTGAGCAAGATTTGCATTAACGGATTGTTTGTCATTATAAACCAGTAATTCCATAATTCCATGAAATTTACCAGTGAATTTACAATGTTGGCATTGAACAGGATTGGATTTGGCGTTTGAAATTTAATGATTGATGTTCATGTCATGTTTTATATTTAACGTTTTATTTGCCAATTGTGAAGATCAGCACACACAAGAGGCGTCAATTAAGAAAAGGATTGCTTATTTGTGTATTTCAAAGTCTTTGCATCCTATCAATCCCAATTGGCTATACACAACAACCCTTATATCAACTTATGAGGTAGTTTTAGGATTTAGGAATTTAGGAATAAACCACTTTTTTATCGAGAAAATCTAGAAAAGAAACACACATACTAGTAACTCAGTGTTAATTGCTCTGGCTCCTAATGGTTAGGAGCCAGATCATAATACACTGAGTTCCCATAGGACATACATTTATTCAGATGGTCATATCTCAGCTAATACTTAACATATTCACTTGGTTTTCGACATTTGGACATTATTTTTGATGCTCTTTCGGAAAATGAAGATTTTTTTTGGTGAAATTCTAAAAATAGATTTTTGATGACGTCACACTTCACCACTCTATAAACATCCTCGTTGGCACCATGATAATATTTGATTGGTAGATTTAAAGTTAAATCCCTTTCATAATCTTTATCATTCTTAGAACGATAGGTACAGCAGCAGCACTGTAGGATCTTCAAACAAAGCAAGAAACATAGCGAGCCTCGCGAATCACGTAAGTAATGACTCATTAACCCATAGTAATTAAAAATAAACTTGAGTTCTGGTAAAAAAAGAAAATTAATTCTCACAGAATCAAACGAAACAAGATTACAAATAAATGTCATTTGCCAAACAATTTTGGTAGAAAATGTATACTGGCTGAGTAATGAGCATAGAAAGATTAGGAAATCAAGGTAAGTAACCCCGACACCATTTGTGTAGTCCCATATACATCTTTCTGTGTACAGTGCTTGTTACTTTACCAAGACTGGGCCAAATTTATTATGATTTTGATGACTCCAGAACCTTGCAGTACACACCAATACTTACATGCTACATGATCAACTTTTTCTGATCTATTCCACATCTTTTCTTTCACAATGCAATCGCATGACCAGAACTCAACTTTTTCTTAAAATCTAAATGAATCAGATTTTCATTTTTGCACTCTCTGCTTATGTACAATTTTCATTTGAGAGTTTACTGGATAGGAAGATAAAAATAAAAAGTCACGAAAATATGACACTCAATTTATTGTTTTTGTAACTTTTTAGCCCCTCGACAAGGAATATAGTAACTGCTTTATATTTCTTATATTTTTAACATAATTTATACAATTGTTAAAATGTACACGGGCCTACACATTTTGTATAGTTTCAACTGCGACGCAAAGTCAATCCCATAAATATTAAGGAGGAAATCAGGGAGCAAATTTCCCCGAAGTCAAAACTTGAAGAAAACAATAAAAAAAGACAATTGAGGCCAATATCATTTTCTTAAATTGATGTAAGTTTCGTAATTCATGCACCAACAGCTATTTCTTTTCGTTCGAAACTTGTTAATTTTATCATAGGTTACGTTTCGTTGCACATTTTCAATTAAAGTTTTAAACACATTTGCATTCGATTTTGTTTTCATTATATTATTTTTCCTAGTTCCTCGACCCTTTAAAAGTCGATCTGATCATTCGTAACGTTGTGGTCTTTGTGGACGAGGATCCAATCGAGTATACATCGAACTTGCACATGATGCTAGCCGACTTAGAGAATTACGTCAGAAATACGTCATCTTACGAAGACATGAACACGCCCCCCGCAGAACTAGCCGACATCACGGAGTATCTAACGTAAGATATCAATATCATTCGTAAAAACGGAAGGGGGGTATTTCTTTCTGCCCTTATGAAGAAAAAAAATCAATGGGGAGAGCCCCTAAACAGAATTTATACTTCATATAGGAAATCCCCAGGCATTGGTTGTTGTTAGTGTTATCTCATCTAATATATCATTATCATCATTTATATATGACATAACTCTCTTTTTACGTTATAATTTGTTATGTTCCTGGAAATTTAATAAATAGATAAATAAATGAATGAGTAAATTAATCAGTGAAACGACCAATTAATGAATAAATAAATGGATAAATCGTTGAATAGGCCGGTCATAACAATATTTTACAGAGATGCCACCAATAAATTGCCATATCAAATACATCAGTATTCCTTTAGCAGCACCTTATTCTCATAATTGGCATATCGAGGAGGGAGTGGGGGGGGGGGGGGGTACAGGGCCACACCCGACCAAATCCAGCCTTGCTATTTGATTTCTGGTATATTTTCCCAACTTCTATTTCTTGACTCTTACGCCATTGAACCAATGTTAACTAATCTTGAATTGATATGTATAAGTATTTAGGAACGCTATAAGTAGAGTTTAGGTATAAAAGATCAAAGATCAAAGATTACGGGGTCATGAAGATGTTACAAATATCAAATATTTGGGCTTAAGTACGTATGAGCATGAAAAGGTTAAATGGAAAGGGTTTTGGTTTGTGAGATCAGATATTAAAAGCCACAGGTCGTTGTTTAATGAACACTTAGAAGCATATTAGAGGCATCCCACACTGTTAAAAAAAATTAAACAAGTTGTTTAAAATTTTAAACAACCCCGAGTTAACCGGTGAATCCCTCAACTGTTGTTTAAAAATTAAACAAATTAAGGTTGTTTACATTTTGAACACTTAGTTGTTTAAAAATTAGAAAACCTTTTAAACAACAGTTGTTTAGTAATAAAATTGCACAACTCGGTTGTTTAAAGCAAGTTGTTTAAATTTTAAACAATAATGTTTAAATTACTAAGCAACTGTTGTTTATTCAGTATTACTGCACAACTGGGTTGTTTAAAAGGAGTTGCTTAAATTTTAAACACAACTGTTTAATAGTTATTATCTGGTTGTTTGAATTTGTGAAATGACCTACTGGAACCACTCCTGCAATAATCACAACGATTTATACACTGTAACATGCAGAGCTTGTTGCCAATTTACTTCAACATTTGTTCATCATATTCATGACAGTGACAGACAACATTATTATTTGTCTCTATAACTTCACCTAAACCCCATCGGCGAAGCCGAGAAGAACCAAGTCGTCGCCTTGCCCCGTGTTCCGCCATTTTCCGCCAGCACTGCATGCTTGCATGCATGTATTATGTACGTACTTTGTGCATATCGCATGTGTGTGCGCAAATTGCAATCGCGTATCGAGAAAATATCAACGACGCCCCCGGGACTTTTTAAACAACTCTGTTTAATTAAAAAAATTTTAATAGATAGTTGTTTAAGCCAATCGAGCACTGATTTTTCGATTTTGAACAACGTTGTTTACTTTTTTAAACAACATTCTTTTAAACAGTGATATTTTAAACACCGTTCTAACAGTGCATGTTTTTCTATTGTAACTTAACTACATTGACTTCTAGTTAATGTAGAATACCGTACTGGAAACTGATTAGAAGTTTTAAATCTTTGTAAACCACATTTCCTCTATACATCTGCTCACTTTTTGACCTACATGCAATATTATATTCATTCCAGAATCCCAAAGACAAACTGGCTTCAAATCCTTTCAATCCATTACCCTACTCCCTCCTGTGGAACAGTCTCCCCGCATTTCTAAGAAATATTATGCGCTTCATATCTAACGAAAAGGCGCTTTATAAATGTAATATCATTATACTTTACCTTACTTTACAACACACATCTGAAAACATAAATTGTATTTGTTATTATCATTATCATTTTTATTTTCATCACTCCCCCCCCCCCCCCCCAATTCATTTACAGAGCTGTGGAGGAACCCGTATCAGCGACTGACCGAAACAGCTTCTCCTTCGGTGCGGCAACACTAGGCACCATGTGCACTCCACGAGCCGTGGGCCTCGTCAAGGTGATGAAGAAATCAGCTCTTACTCTCAATATCAGTAACCATGACAATTTCTATTGACAGCAGCGAAATATTAATGATAATAAAAACAAAAACAAAAACAAACGAACGAACAAGTTCTGGACATTCAAGATTTTGATTCAGCACCGCATGAAAATATTCTAGCGACCATATTGTACGGGCATAAGGTATGTATGTTTATGGGAGGGGGGGGGGGAAGAGGTACCACTTGTCCGAATTTTATATATCTAAATTTTCAAGTTTTTGCGACCGAGTGAGGTCAACGAGCAAAATCTTTAAATCTCTGTTTGCATCAAGATATTACTTTATCATGAAAAACATTTTAAGACTGAATATCGCGAGAAAAAAAAAATAGGTAAATAGTGGTCAGTGGGTCCAAAACAGGAAAATTAAGTGACTCCTATCCGCATGGAGTGTCCACTGAACGTCCTATCTGAGGGACGGGATGTTTTCCAATGTAACATAGTCTGCGTGTATAGAATAGGGAAGGGTTATAACATAACACACGGTTCTCAAAGCAGGCAGGATTCGAACCCTCGATCTTCGATTTGAAAGGCGGACGCCTTACCGACTGAGCCAACTCGCCTCTTCATTTCTTGACTTTCGTGTTATGATTATATTTTTCAGGATGTTGGATATGATTTCGTGATACAATCGGCTGCAATGCTGGCTCGGAATGTCGCGAGGAACATTGGACTCTTGAATGAGGATTACTATGAAAAGAAAGATGGTAAATAAAATACAACTTCTATAATATAACACGATATCGAAGACTTTCAAAAAATAATCCTAAGGCTAATTAAATTGTCTTTTCTATCACCCTCTGGAATCTGCAAGCATCAAAATTACTGTTTTGAGTTCGGAACATGATTTATATAGGCAATACAATTGGGTATTGAAACTTCCCTCGAGTTGATTTCTTGAAAGTTTTTGTGATAATATGTTGATAAAAAATGGTATATGAAGGATAAGTATTATACCCGAAAAGATGAGAAAAATCATAATATAATACAAAGAGAAGGAGAGAGAGAGAGAGAGAGAGAGAGAGAGAGAAATGGAAAGAGTGAGAGAGAGAGAGAGAGAGAGAGAGAGAGAATGAGAAGGAGAGGATGAGAATTGGATCGGGTGGTAAAAGAAAGTGTACGAGGAGAGGCAGGCAAAGAGCAAAACGAGTGTTTGGAGCTAAAAAGGCGAAATCTCATTTTACCTAAACACAGAGTTAACGCCCCCTTAACGTTACAAAATGACGTGATTTTCCGTTAGCAATTTGTGCACAAATTTGTTTATGTCTATATTGTTTGCTTTAAATTAAATTAGTGTTATTTCGAGATATACAAAAACAATACTAGAATAAAGAAACAAACAGGTCTACCATGTACATTGCTAAAAGAACTTAATTGTAATTGATTTGTTTCTCTATTCTCTTTAGGTGTTGCCTGTTCTTGCGGTAATAGCCAATGTGTCATGAACCTAAACACTTCGTAAGACCTTTCATATATTTTTTAACTTCTTCTTTCCTTTCTTACTTTTATCTTAATTTCCTATCCTTTCCTTTCCTTTCCTTTCCTTTCTTTTCCCATTTTGTCCCCTTGTTACCGACCAAGTTTCAAATTTCTGTACATGTGATGGCTGGATCATGCTGATAGCTTTACTACATTCTAGAGCTTGAATTCGACAAAACAAATAAATTTATATTTTCTGTCAATACATTTTCACGATTACATTATCCAGTTCAATGATACTAAGTAACGTGTGTGAAATACGTATACCTTGGTCTTGCCTCAATTTAAACACATAATTATATAGAATATTAAAAAAAATTGAAATGTATATTTCACACGTCCAGGGTATGGCTGGATGCTGCCCCGGTCGTCTTCGCACAATGCACCATTACCGAGTACGAGAATATTCTACAAGCGGGTGGGCTCCAGTGCCTCTATGATCGACCTCCAACCATGGTGAGTACATCTGGACTTAAGTCAGACTCGATCTTAAAGGTAAAGACCAGTATGGGAAACGCCCCAATTTCAAAAAATGAAATGGAAGCTCTCATTACCAATCATGTGAAAGAATATGTTTTGACTAATACATGATGATAAAAAATTTGCCGGGAAACCGCCTACTAATTCATATATTTGGTAAATTTGTTTCTCTCATGGTCTGAGAGAGATATAGGGTAGTCCCATATACATCTTTCTGTGTATAGTGCTTGTAACTTTACGAAGAATGGGCCAATTTTGTTATCATTTTGATGATTCCAGAACCTTGCAGATGCTAGATGCTAGATGATCAACCTTTTCTGATCGATTCCACAACGTTTCTTTCACAATTCAATCGCATGACCATAACTGATCTTTACCTTTAACTTTTCTTAATGAGACTTAATAAGTAAGTATTTGGACTTGTGTAATGTGTAATTTGACGGAAGTTAATATAATCAAATAACAATGGAAGAAAATTTATTAAATTTAGTAAATCGTTTTTCTGATCATTTCACTTGTGATCAACTCTCTGTTCTAATTTGTTTTTGTTTTTTAATTCACAGAGTTCCGGCTGTGGGAACGGTTATGTTGATGAAGGCGAAGATTGTGACTGTGGACGTGAGGTAAGTTCCTCTAAAACAAATCACTTTTTTCCATTTTAATTTACAAGTCAGACTAGGTATTTTAGAGTCCAAGCCTAAGGGCAAAGGCCTTTCTGGGCCCGGTTGCATAAAACTTACCATTAATGATAACCTAGCCGTCGATGGTAACTTCCATGGGAACCTTGATTCGATTGGCTGCTGAGTGATGGTGTCATGGTAGTTGATATTGATGGCAAAGTTACCATCAATGTTAGGTCTTATGTGAACAGGGTCCTGGCATAATACCCCAGTTTCACCATTCAGACCTATACCAGTCACATAAAACAAACTGACGAAAAGTTGACATTATCCGGAATGGCCAATAATTTGTGGGTTTGGACTCCTTGTGGATAGGCTTTGTTGACGCGACTAAGGTACACTACCTTCACATTTCGGAATTGCCATCTTATTCAATAATGTTAATTTGTATATAATGTAGTCTAAAATGCATCTCGGTGAGGTCTATACAACGTGTGAATTGCAATGTGTTTAATATATTTAATATACCGATACCGTTAGACTAAATTTAATGCAATTTAACAGGAATTGTCAATGGCTTGTTTGGGGTTGGGGCTTTGGTATTCTTGCATTCATTTTCTACATGCCTCACAACTTCCTTCTTTTTGAAGGGGGAATGATTGAGGTTCCTAAAAACACACCCTGTATTGCCTCTACTTTCGTGTAATTTATTATTACCCTTCTTTGCAGGATTGTTCATGCTGTGATAAGTCATGTCGATTTACTGAGGGTAGTGAGTGCCAAGGCGGAGAGTGTTGCGACCAGTGCAAGGTATATTTCATTTCAATGAAATAATAATCTTTGTCATCTCATGTTGAGATTCTGTTTATCTTTAGCCAAAAGATGAAGTTTAGTTGGTCATGCTGTATTCAATTTCTTGCATGGCGTCATCAAGTATCGAAAACAAACAGAATATGTAATACAGCACCACAATGGCCAATTGCAATCTGAGTTTTAAGACTTAAAATTAATCGAATGATTTACAGACTACAGCAAAGTAACGCATCACTACCGTTATCAAATGCCTGCGATGCACGAGGCGTCGTATGCCTGACGTAAGACTGCGTCGGCGACTTGACGTGCCGTGTTTAATACAGAGATATCTTATTAAAAGTGAATGGAACATTAACGTTGCATACATTTTCTGACACACATTGGTTCTGTAATTTCATTAAAGCCTCTATTGTATTTTCTTCTGTCTTGTGATCACATTATGTTTATTGGTGACTGTACACTCATTTATTATCTATGATTCTTCTGTGACATGATCTTTGTTATTGTTCAACTGATGGAAAAAGAATTGATGTTGTATGACTGATCAATCAATAAATTAAAATTAAATTAAAATTAAAATTCGATTTGCTTTTGAATAACTATCATATGCACTAATTTCCTCTATACGTTTGATTTTGGGTCTACTGAAGTCCAAGAAAACAATGACATCTCATGCGTAACGGGCATTGGGGATCTTTTTCTGCCTGTCATAACGTTGTCTTTTTGATTGCGTCAATGTCTACCCAAGCCCTTCAAACGACTGGAGTGGCGCAGATGAAATAGGAATACACTTGTGCAGATGTAACTGTAGTATATTTAAGTTTGTTTTACGCTTGTTATCATTTGCAGTTGATGACCAGTGGTGTAATTTGCCGTGAAGCCAGTGGAGAGTGTGACTTGGTCGATAGGTGTGATGGTGTTTCGGGAAAGGTAATGTGGATACATTCTATCTCTCCCATTAGACTCCCGCATCCGTTGCTATCTCTCTCTCTAGCTCTCATTTGCCCCATCTTAAGTCTGTCCATCATCAAAAAATATTTTCCCCACATATACCCTCTTCTCCCCATCCCGTTATATTGTTTATATTGGGTTGCCTCTACCCCACACTTTCGGAATGTTGAGGGGGGGGGGGTAGACACATGTATCTATAATATGTTCAATAATCATTTTAATTTAGAAATAAGATTATCCTTTTGTTTAATTTCTGAAAATTCTGAACATAATGACCCTGTACATTGTATCGGTCATCATAATTTGAGTCATCAGTGGGATATCCAGGGGAAAAAAGGGGGGAGTTGTGGGGGGGGGGGTGGGGGGCATAGATATGATTCCAAAGATGAGCTATTTGTTGGGATAGGTACACCTCATTTTCAAGTCTGTCGCTTATCAACAACAACAACAATAACGAGAAAAAAGATAACGAATAACCACAATTTCTTGTTTTTCTCTGCAGTGCCCGGTTGACGATTATGTCCATGACGGAACAACATGTGGAAATGGAAAAGTAAGTTAGCCACGTAATGAAAAAAAGCCCTCCCAACATAAATAGACAAACAATAACGGTTTAAACCTCCTTATTGATATTGAATATGCATTCTTTTAATTTTGCTTTCATGATGATATTAAATATTGCCATTATTATGACTTTGGGCTAGTTTGAGCCATTTACTGTTGTGTGCAAGTAGATAATCTTCATTTAAAAGGAATATCAGGACGAAGACACTTATAAAACTATACTATTAAATAACTTGCAATAGGCTCAACACTTAATTAACACGGCTGTCCAAACATCGTGATGTTTTTTTTCACAACATGGTGATGTTTTACGATATTGGCTGAAAAGCAGCTAGGCCACGATTTCAGGAAACAAACAAAAATGCAATCTTGAAACCGTAGATAAAATAAATAGGCCTATTAATGAAGTATTGATTACTGCTCCAACATATAAGACTTTAATCACTCCCTCTGCACACATTTAAGGGTCAATTGTTTGCTTTCTGTGCGCTATTTGCTGACGTAGGGCTGCCTATGCAACTGACGCAGTCTCTAAACGCCATTAAATGAGAGTGATGTACAAATTAAAAGTGAATGCAAAATAACAGTGCAAACGATGTTCTGACTTGCTGACGCAGGAACGAATTTCTTTGACGGGCTTGATTGGCGCAGGTAATACGGCAATCGAAATGACGCCTCGCGCACAACGGCTATTACATTTCGTTTCCTTGTTTTGGTTTTGTCATACAGGGCTATTGCTACCAAGGTCGTTGTCCGACTCTAGATGGACAGTGCCAGAATTCAATGGGAAACGGTAAGCATCTGTAGAGCGCTTAGCCATATCGTTTTATCGATGTATTGGGCGCTATATAAAAGCGGAACATTATTATTAGTATAGATATAATTTAGTTAAGCATCAGGGGTAACTTTCATTTAGACACCATTTCACATTTCCTGATTTCTTCACAGTTGTGACATTGCGTTACTCGTTGGTTCAAAATAGTAGTGGTGATATCCCTTACAAGGATAAAGAATAGCATAATGGCCACATGATCGGGGAGGGGCGTACCTGCTCTGTAGGGAATGCGTATTGTAGATCTAATGAAATTAAAAATAACATTTTCTTGGGATTCAAATGGGGTTGCTGGTAAATACACCATTGCAATTGACGATATATATGTAATGCCTAAACGCCGAACGTCTATCCAACTGAACTTTGTGAATAAAATCCAAAGAATAAATATGTAAACATGAAAGACAAATTGTTTTTCCTTATGCACTCGTGGCAGCATCATGCTGAAAAAAATAAAAAGTACTGTACTGAAATTTAAAGCATACTAAAAATAGAAAATACAAAAAAATAATTAAAAAAAAATCTTCTATTTTCCATCTATACAGATGCAGCAGCGGCTGAAACAGATTGTTACCAGGGCAACACACAGGGAGAGAAGCCATCCGGTCGGTGTGGTATCGAAACGATTTCTCTGACGGCAGGCGCTTACAGCGTAACTTATGCGCCTTGTGCTTCCGAGTAAGATTGTTATTATGATTATAATTATGATGACGATGATAATGTTGTTGAGAATGATATTGGTATTGATGATACTAATTTTGGTGATGATGATGATTGTGATGATCATTGGGATGATGATATTGTCGATGATAATATTACTACTACTACTACTACTACTACTAATAGCCTAATAATTAAACCAAAACGGAAATTCTTTTTGCCCAATTGATCGTGAGCCCGGCAGCCACTGAGCAGCGCCAGATCGACGTTGCTCTATCCCTTATTGTTGAACGCCAAACAAGGTAGCAACAACTCCCATCTTTTAACGTCTTTTGGTATGACGCGGCCGGGGTTCGAACCCACGACCTACCGGTTGTGAGGCGGCCGCTCTACTGTTGTTATGATCATGATAACGTTTGTAACTTTTTCTTTATCTCAAGGGGCGTGCTCTGTGGAGTTCTTAAATAAAATAATTATAGTGATAATGGTAATGAAGAAGATGATGATGCTGACAACGACGACGATGCTGTTGTTTTTGTTGATGATGTTGATGGTGCTGCTGATGATGATCGATGATCATGATGATGTTGATCATGGCGATAACTATTGTAATCTGTCTTTATTTCCAGGGACGCATTATGTGGAGCTCTCAAATGCGCGAATGCAGCTCAACTAGACGGGGTCGGGTTCGAGACGCTTGACGAGACTTCGGATGGCTCCTGCTCGTAAGTCAATGTCATCATCCACCTCGTTCTCCGTGTCACCTATCTTTTTTTAAATCTGACTTTATCTTTATTTTCACATTACATCTATAATATCTTCTTTATCTTACATTCTCAATCTAACTTTTCATTGACTTTTATTGAAACTATTAAGTCTCATATATCTGTATTTAGTTGGCATATCGTTCCCAGCATTGTCAAGAAAAGGTAAGGGGGTGGGTGGGGGGGGGGGGGAGAAATATATGAAACCAGCAAACGTGGTCACGTAACATAGTACGACTGTGTAAATTTTATTTCAAACCGTGAAAGGTATGGACAAAATATACAATCAAATTCATTATTTTGATCTGGAACTACAAAAATTGCCTTCTCTACGGAAATTAAGGCGTAGCATTATGTTCGTAGATTATTATACAAGAGAACTTCCTCACTTTCTTTCATTTGTATCATGTTGGATTCTTCATCTCCATCACAAAGATCATGAAAACCCACGTTATGTTCTGCCGTCTCAAATATGTCCTCTTGACATTTGTGTAGTATGTTTAGTTCATCACAGTACAATTTAGTTCGCTTTTGTGTTATTACAGAGCCTTGTGGGTGTCAGATTATGCTCTTTTAGACTTCAGCGGTCTCGGAGATGTTATTGACGGAACGAAATGTAGCGAAGGACAGGTCAGTGGAGTTAGTAGAGCGCTAGTTTTACTGAACAGGCGACGGATGGGATTAAAGAGGAAAACTATGTTTTCAACGAAAACTTTTGGTTTCTGTCTCAGTTTAGAATATCACTATTCATATGTGGCGGCACTATTTTAAAAGCATGTGTGTTTGTGTTGTGTGTGTATGTGCCTTGGTGTGTGGGCGGGTGGGTTATTGCGGGTGTGTGTGTGGGAGAGGATGGCTAAAGTAGGGCAATGATTATATTTTTTCGGGGGTGGAGTGGCGCCTTAAGCGTCCCAGTTCTCTATTCCAGAACTAGAAAAATGTTCGTTGGGGGAACAAAATTCTATTTGAAACCTTTTCATTATCTTTCACGTTTTAATCGGAATGATTAACCCCCTATTTCAAATATTTTTTTTTGTTTCTTTTGGTCTCCATCATACATGCGTTGGAATATTTCTGTTTTCCTTCAAATTACCTTTCAATTGCATTTTATTTGTGTAAATTTGCAGATATTTAATAATAAAATTATGAAATAAACATAATTCTTTAACAAAAAAAGTTTGAAATATTGAATCCTATGTTTTCCCTGACAGGTGTGCTTGGACTACAGCTGTACAGCAATCGAGGACGTTTATTCATTGGACAATTGCCCGACTGCTACACCGGGTATACCGTGCTCAGGAAACGGGGTCAGTATATAGGATTGGCAAAAACTGTCAATTTCGTTTTTCTTCTAATGGCAGAGACGTTTCCAGATTCTCAAAGTGGAGGGGGGGGGGGCACATTTTCTAAGTAAGCAGAAAGAGAGGAGATGTTAATTTGATGAAAAATAATCACCGACAAGGCGACAAAAAGAAAAAAGAAAAGAAAGGTTATTAGATTTTACAGTTTTGTTTTTCGGTTCTAAGATTTGAAAACGGGAGCGGGTCGGAATTCCTTCCAACTTCTTTAGTAGTACAGGTTGTAGTAGAAGTAGTAGTAGTAGCAGCAGTATAGTAGTAGTAGTTGGAAACTGTCAAAACAAAACAAACCTAAGTAGTAAATGTATCATTTTACTCTAACTTTTTAATGAACTATAAAGCGGTTCAGTACATTTCGCAATTATGACAGGCCCTCTTAATTCCAAACTTTGTCATATGTCTGCTGAAAAGGAGAAACGACACTGGTCTATGTATTTTACATATCTTGGTGCATATAGCTTTACTGAGCCCGTGATATGCAGTCATCCATATAGCATATGACATCATCAATGTTTGTGTAGCGAGTACTTGGAGTGAAGTTTGCGCAGCAGGCAAGGTTGTTCCGTTGCATGAGAACACGTCTGGCTCCACTGACCGCCACTATACAGTTTTGTTAAGGAATTCCCCGTACCAGACGGCTATTAGACTGTGCTCACAAAGATGAAAATTTATGAATTTCTTCTTGTCGAACGTGATACTTAACAGAAATGCACCAACTCTTTGACCTGCATATGCGATGGAGACTGGACAGGAACTACCTGCGATATACCACTCATCACTCTATCCATCGCGGTAACCGACTCTCTTGACAGCGAGCTGTATGCGGCGATGGTATTGGTGGTGTCGGGCAACGAGAGCTACCAGTTTTCAACCCCAGGCGACTCGGGCTCCGTGACAGTGGCAGTTCCGCTGTCATCCACTGAGCGCCTCGGTGTTATTGTTACCAAACTTGGATATGCTGCCAGCGGTTTCCAGTGGGAATTGGCAGATAATAGAAGTAAGTGTTCCGTGATGTGTAATAAAGGCTAACTTTTTGCAGCCAGTGTGTAATTGTTATACTGTTCTAAGAAGTTAAATGTTTCTATTATAACACAAGTCTAGATACTTGTTTGTGCCAATCAAAATGCTTTGATCGATGATAATGCTTATGATAACACAATGATGATGTTAATGTTGATGATATTAATAATAACCATAAAGATGATAATAACAGTAATCATGATAATGACAATTATGATAATGATAATAATAATATTAATGATAATAACATTTATAATGATAATACACCTGTCATAATGCTTGAAATTAGAAACATAATTCAATGTCTTTGTGTGTTATATTCTTAGGGAAATATTTGGATGTGATATCATCTTATAGCAAAAATGTGCTTTCAAGAGAAGTTTGAAAGGAATTAGGATGGGATTATGAAATTTAGGAAGAAAGGCAATATATTTTCTCAACATTTCATCTTGTACGAGTGACTGCTCGACTCAAGCTTGATCTAATGAGATAAGAAACTCAAATTTGGGTATTATTTGGCGATACCCTTCTTCTTGGAAGAAGTAATTCGTGATGTTGCTTTGGAATGACGCAGAGGACCACATTTGCTGGGTGGGGGGGGGGGGGGGGGGGGGGGAGGGGGGAGGAGAGAAGGGGGAGGAGTATCAAGGCACAGAATTTCTGTATCCTGTGCACCAGCACAAACTGTGCCCCCATGACAAACCTTAAAAGCTTTTCTATTTTGCTTGTCATAGATTTTGACCTATATCTTTATAGCTGTAAGAAAATCCTTGGTCCGTCACATGGACTGATGTTTCATGTAGGCATACATTTAATAACATTTCTCATCTTTTCTCTTTATGTTAGCCTCTTCTGTTCAGCTGGGTATTCTGGTAAATGGCTCTTTGGACCGTGCTGTTGATCAGAATGGACAGGAGACAGGATTCCTTGTTTTGGAGATACAAGATGGAGGTAGATTTGAATCTCATAAATATACATCTTTGTTTTAAAGGAAATAATTCATGTTTTTTTACTGTATTGTTTTGAATCAGTCTAGACTTTTGTTGTTGTTGCTTGAAACACACTATCGCTAGAAAAACACCAAAATAGAATACGGTACTTTTTAAGGTATTGTAAAGTGATACATAAAAAAAGGTAAATTCTTTCAAAAGAATATTTAATTTGCCAAGAGGCAGAAGAGTGTTAACCCATATATCCGGTCAGAGAGTTAAAACTCTTCTAGCTCAAAATAGAAGGTTTCTTGTCCATCATATTCACTTCTTTTTACTTCACTTCTCTCAGGCTCCATCGAGGTCCCTGCCTCTGAAGAACAGTCTATTTCTGATTCACTTCCTGGCTATCTAGTCGTCCAAGGCCAGTCTTCACTTTTACCAGAGACCGTCTTCGAGAATGTTAACGGCACCCTGGTAGTCATTGAACCATACGTAGCAGTAGAGTTTTCTCTAATCAATGACACGTATGAGGAGGTCAAAGGTCTGGAGAATGTGACTTTCAGAGTTCCTGTCAAAGAGGATTCCCCACTGTCAAAGGGTGATGTCTTGCCCGCGTTCTACTTTGACGAAAACACTGGTGAGTAGAGTTTAGGAAGTTGTTTCATTTGGTTTGCATTTTTTTTTCACTCTATATTCTAAAAATAACAAAAACATAATACATATATGCGTTCATTTGCTCAATAAGAAAGGTCTAGGGGAATAAAAGGCTGGTGGATCATTTAAATCATTCCCTATGAATACAATAGTTAAAGAGAAGGTTTAGTTCTGGGAAGAGGTGAAAAATAATTTGTGAGCGTTGTTCATTCTTATTATGCAAGTGTGGAAGAGCATCAGATAATACATGTTCCCTGAAAAGCATGGCTCTTCAAATGCCTTCATATTCTAGATATGCATGTAACATCGTAAAAATCGGGGGGGGCTGGCTTTTTACGCCACGTGTTCATGTAGTCCCATATACATCTTTCTGTGTACAGTGTTTGTAACTTTACCAAGACTTGGCCAAATTTCTTATTATTTTGATGATTCCAGAACCTTGCAATACACACAAATTCTTATATGCTAGACGATCAACCTTTTCTGGTCGGTTCCACACCCATTTCTTTCACAATGCAATCGCATGACCAGAACTCATCTTCATCTTTAAGAGGGAAAACTCTGCAATAATTATCAACACTTGGTTAATTATTTTTTAGGGGAATACATGTAAGCTCATTGAATATCCAGATTTATAGTTTAAACAAAGAAACGTGGATCTGTACAAGAGGATTGGGGGAGGGGAATGGCCCTGTCATCTCTCACTATGCATGTGATTAGTAGCTTTTGGATGATGTTTTAGGTGATAGTTTGAACATTATTCTAATCGTAGTTGCAAAATCATTTCCACAGAATTGTAGCACTAGCTGGCACGTTGAAGAAACAGTAGTTATATTCAATTTGAATTTCATACAATATTTGTGTCATTTATTTCTGTAGGTCATTGGATGCAGAATGGAGACTGGATGGTAATAGTTGGAGATGACAGTTCTACATTGTTATTGGAACTCACAGCTCCAAGAATAGATTCATGGGTGTTAGCTGAAGCCATAGAGGTGGTAACTGCAACAACTGTTAGTGGAACAGAGGCAACACCTACAAATGGAACAGAGGCAACATCTACAAATGGAACAGTGGCAACACCTACAAATGCAACAGTGGCAACACCTACAAATGCAACAGAGCCAACATCTACAAATGGAACAGTGGCAACACCTACAAATGCAACAGTGGCAACACCTACAAATGCAACAACTTCAACACCTGTTAATGTCACAGATTCAGTTTCTACCACACCTCCCCCACCACCTCCACCAACAGGAAATGCTACCACAGTTACCACAACGCCTTCAACTGTAATCATAACCACTCCAACACCTGTAAATGGAACAGATTCAACCACTGTGAATGCAACTGAATCAACACCTCTTAATGCCACAGATTCAACTCCTGTGAATGCCACAACAACAACAGCAAGCACAGACTTTCCCACTGACAACAATGTCACAGATTCCATTGCTACGTCCACTGATCCTTTGCCTGCAACAGAGACCCTAGAGATTCAAGCAGCTTTGACAGTCGCTGTTTTCTCCTCTAGTGGATCCCCGGTTGTTGACACAACCATTCTTGTTTACAACAACAACCAAACCACCTTTCTCAGTACCGGTCCAGATTCCAACGTGGTGCAGATCGATGAGACAATCCTGCGAGAGGAATGGCTTGGGGTTGTTGCCACCAAGCAAGGCTATGCTACCAATGGATTTGTATGGCAAAGTGGTGATGCTACAAGTAAGTAATCCTCTACATCTTGCTTGTCAGCTTTAAGGTAATGCAGTGGCAAGAAAGCTTGGTTTTTTTAAGGCTATTCCCAATATGATGCAGTAAACTGCCACCAAAAGCAGCCATGTTGTATTTAACGTGTAGATAATTGACAATTCCTGGGAGGTATTCTCTGAGCTCTGTGTATAATAGAAGGATACGGAAATGGGAAGCGTATTAAACTTGATTTCATCATTAACCCATTGTTTACTGGAACCTGGTGGCCTCTGTGTTAAGTCTATGGGAATTAGATAATTCAGTAGCCAACAGGTTAAAAAACACTGTGGTTTTGCAACGTATTCTCTAAAAGCGGTTTTATCCATGTAGCTATCTTGTGTACAACACCATGCGATGCATTTAACATAATACTTGGCACTCTACCTGTTATTGGTACCATCGTAAACACCTTGTGGCATGGCTTAATTGCATAATAACAAATTTCTCAAGGGTAGTAAATTTCTCAACTTTTTGATTTTTGTTGAGTTATGATCTTTTTTGTTTAACCCATGGATGATTAAATGAATTCACTGAAATGGTGAAACATTATATGGTCATAATTATTATAGTAGTCGTGCTATCACGGCAGTGGGGATACTATTTTTATTTGTTAATTATTAGAAGGTTTCAAGTTGCTGACCCTGTCATTGCTGTCCTTTACAAAAATTTAAGTCTATTTATTTATTTTTGTTACCATAATCTTTCTATTTCATACTGCAGATCGCTCATTGGAACTTATAGAATGGACAAACGTTGAACAATTACCCGGCACACTAATTGATGGAATTTTTCGAATATCCTTTGAGGCAAAAAATGGAGGTATTTATTTCCCATGTAGAAGTATTGTAATGTTAGTGATTTACATTATCATTGCTCTTTATGATAATTAGAACATCATTTTAGAGATGAGCCTGCACACTCCATCATTTGAATCAAGAAACTCAACCAGCCATGTAAATGACAAGCCCAAACAATCAAATATCTCACTGAAAAACTCATTTAACAAGCTGTAAAATGAATAAGGCCAACAAACTAAAGTTCATGTACTACCACGATGAAGCGCAAACCAACAAACCGTGATATTTTTATTTATTAAATGCATCATTATATAATTATTGAAATCCACACTGATTATCAGAAAGATGAGTGATGGAAAACTTATCTTTGCCAAGTAGTATAATCGTCTAGATGTGAAATTCGTTTACAAATTGCACAGGAAAATCAGCTAGAATGCATATCTAAAAAATGTTGCCATTTGGACTATAATTAGATATTGCCATTTCTCAAACCTGTCATTATTTTGCTAGAATTCTTCCATAAAATAGTTGATTCGATGACCAAATAAACATGCTGTCTGTTGCCTACAAGAAGGCCTTTACTTCCATTTTGAATACATAGCTGTAGCCTTCTTGTGAGCAGCCTTCAATATCTGCCAATAAGATTGTCTATAAGAGGATCAAGACTACATTTGTCTAATTTTGTTTTCATCAACAGCCACTGTAAGTTTTATCCCTGATTTGGGCCAAAACCCGGGAAGTCTTGGTTATGCTACAAGCGATGGACCTGCATCCTACCTCCCTCAAGGTGTGACAGAGGATGGCTACGGTAACATCGTGCCAATCGATCCATTGGCAGCCATGGATTTTGCCCTTCTGCAGAGAGGAGCCAGGGAAGAGATTGATTTACAGGATGTGGTCTTTACCCTACCCATCTCTTCTGATAGTGAATTCAGGGAAGGAGATAACATTACGGCTTACCTGTACAATGAGGAGACAGGTAAGGTTTCTATAGAAACGACACTTTTGATGAAAGCTGCCTTTTCATGTAGGTAACATAATGATAAGCCCAAATCTTTTATCTGCAATATCTTGAAAACTTCCACACTCCTTTTGTACTGAGGGTTTATGGTGTTTTAATCCTTGTCATGTCAGCCCAACTTGACATCAAGGAGAAATCTGTTATTTCAAGATGGATCTCCTTTTTATTCTTGGTCTTCTGTTCTTTCCCTTTCTCTTTCCCTGTAGTTTCGAACTTTCAGAGTTTCTCTAAATACTGTTGTCCATTCTCATTCAAGACAGACATGTGTTTTGTGATGCAATTACACTTTCTTCTTACATTTACAGTGTATCTTCAAGGTTGAAGATTAAGACATAGTTCTATATTGTCCCTTCATGGCCTACATTTCTTCTTTTAATACCTTCATTTTTAAATGTCTCACTTTTTGCAGGTTTATGGATAGAGGATGGTCAAGGAGAGGTCATCCTGGATGATGGCTCAAATCTTTTCTGGAGATACACTGCAGAAATGCCATCTTCATGGCTTATGGCTGCCACAACACCACCACCATCAACTTCAACAGCATCAGCCACAACAGATGGAACAGTGGCAACACCTACAAATGCAACAGTGGCAACAGCTACAAATGCAACAACTTCAACACCTGTTAATGTCACAAATTCAGTTTCTACCACACCTCCCCCACCACCTCCACCAACAGGAAATGCTACCACAGTTGCCACAACGCCTTCAACTGTAATCATAACCACTCCAACACCTGTAAATGGAACAGATTCAACCACTGTGAATGCAACTGAATCAACACCTCTTAATGCCACAGATTCAACTCCTGTGAATGCCACAACAACAACAGCAAGCACAGACTTTCCCACTGACAACAATGTCACAGATTCCATTGCTACGTCCACTGATCCTTTGCCTGCAACAGAGACCCTAGAGATTCAAGCAGCTTTGACAGTCGCTGTTTTCTCCTCTAGTGGATCCCCGGTTGTTGACACAACCATTCTTGTTTACAACAACAACCAAACCACCTTTCTCAGTACCGGTCGAGATTCCAACGTGGTGCAGATCGATGAGACAATCCTGCGAGAGGAATGGCTTGGGGTTGTTGCCACCAAGCAAGGCTATGCTACCAATGGATTTGTATGGCAAAGTGGTGATGCTACAAGTAAGTAATCCTCTGTATCCTGCCTGTCAGCTGTTTGATAATTAATGTAGTGGCAAGAATTTTTAGCTATTTTATCTTTAAAAGGCTCTTACCGATATGATGTAATAAACTGCCACTAAAAGCAGCCATGTTGTTTTTAACGGGTAGATAGTTGGCAGTTCCTGCAAGTATTCACTGAGCTATTGTTAGACGGTGCAGAAATGCGAAGCGAATTACACTTCTCATCATCAGTAAAAAAAAAAAATGGTTTTGTAATTTAATATCTAAATGAGACTGTATCCATGTAATTACAAAAGTATTGTGTACAACACCATGCAATGAATTTTACAAAATACTTTATACTCTACCCCTTATTGTATTTGTACCATGGTATATTTCTTGTGGCATAGCTGAATTGCACAATGACAAATTCTCAAGGGTAGCAATTTTCTCAATTGTTTGATTTTTGTTGAGTTATGATATTTTTTGTTTAACTCATGGGTGATTTTTATGAAATCATGGAAATGGTGTTACATTATATGGCCATACTTATTATAGTAGTCACGCTATCGTGGCAATGGGGACATTATTTGTATACCTAAATTGTTAGAGGGTGCCAGGTTTATGACCCTGACATTGCTGTCCTTTCAAAATGTAGGCCCAATTATTTATTTTTGTTACCATGATCTTTTTTATTTCAACCTACAGATCGCTCATTGGAACTTATAGAATGGACAAACTATGATGACATTTCAATTTCTGATAATGATGCAATAGTCAAGGTGTTGTTTGCAGCAGAAAATGGAGGTATTGATCTACATGCTACTCATATTTTGTACCGTATGTTTGAACTGCTCTATGTTCTCATTTTTTTCACATCAGAAAATAAGCCTTGTGAATGCATATAGATACTAATAATGCCTTTGGAAGTTCAATATCATTTGAGTAAAAAATCCAGGAGCATAGAATTAGTGCAAATGCCTAGGTGAATTGTCCTTCAAAGGAGGGTTTTTATGTGTAACATGCTCTTTTACTGTTTATCCATTCTGATTTGCTAGTCTGACTGTGCTAATCCAATCCATGAATTACAAAATAATTTAGACAAATTTTTGACAACATTTTTAGCCATTCTTTTGTTTACCTTTTATTTATTCCAGCTAACCATATTGCTATTAGTCAATTGGACTAACAAATGACAGCAAAAAACCTTTAAGAACCCAAACCAAAAACCTTAAAAAAACCATTACTAAAAGAATACAGATTTGTTTTCTCTATATCCATTCATGCACTTCTGCTTGGTGCACTAGAATTTGTTTTGTTTTAAAGATGCACACCAATAGACAGAATGAGGATCTTGGCTGTGGAAATCAATTTAGTATCAAGGTGCTAGTTAGCTTTTAATCCTTACCCTGCTGTCTTTAACAAGCAATATAAACTTCAATGACTATATTTAATTTTGTTTTAATCAACAGCTACTGTAGGCTTTAGCGCCAACGTCTTGCCAGTCCCACAGAGTGTTGGTTATGCTACAAGCGATGGACCTGCATCTTACCTCCCTCAGGGTTTGACAGAGGATGGCTATGGTGACATCGTGCCAATCGATCCATTGGCAGCCATGGACTTGGCTCTTCTGCAGATTGGAGGCAGCGAAGAGATTGACTTACAGAATGTGGTCTTTACCCTACCCATCTCTTCCGATAGTGGATTCAGCAAAGGGGATAACATTACGGCTTACCAGTACGATGAGGAGACAGGTAAGGTTTCCATAGAAATAACACTTTCGATGAAAGCTGCCTAGGTTATGTAGGCAAAATGATGATAAGCCAAAATCTTTTACTTGAAATATCTTTAAACTTTCACTCAAGGAGATGTCCTTAATATCAAGATGGATTTGCATGTTACCCTTGATCTTCTGTCCTTTCTCTTTCTCTTTCCCTGTAGTTTTCAGTTTCCAGAAAGTTACTCTGATTGCTGTTTTCCATTTTCATTCAAGACAGAAATGTTTTTTTGTGATACAATTACAGTTTCTTCTTACATTTACAGTATATTCTTCAAGCTTAAAGATTAACACTCTAAATTTCTTACTTCCTGCAGGTTTATGGATAGAGGATGGTCAAGGAGAGGTCATCCTGGATGGTGTCTCGAATCTTGTCTGGAAATACACTGCAGAGATGCCATCTTCATGGCTTATGGCTGCCACAATAACGCTACCACCACCAGCTACAACAACAGCAGCTACAACAGCAACACCTGTGAATGGAACAACTTCAACACCTGTTAATGTCACAGATACAGTTTCTATCACACCTCCCCCACCACCTCCACCAACACCACCACCGCCACCTCCTCCCACCAGAAATGCCACCACAGTTGCCACAACGCCTTCAACTGTAATCATAACCACTCCAACACCTGTGAATGGAACAACTTCAACACCTATGAATGGAACAGATTCAGCTCCTGTTAATGCAACAGATTCGTCGCCTATGAATGCCACAGATTCAACGGCTTTTAATGCCACAGATGCAACACCTGTGAATGCCACAGATTCGACTCCTGTGAATGCAACAGATTCAATGCCTATGAATGCCACTGATTCAACACCTATGAATGCCACTGATTCAACACCTGTGAATGCCACAGATTCTACACCTGGTAACGCCACTGATACAACGCCTATGAATGCCACAGATTCAACACCTGTTAATGCCACCGATTCTACACCTGTTAATGCCACTGATTCAACACCTGTGAATGCCACAGATTCTACACCTGTTAACGCCACTGAGTCAACAACTGTTAATGCCACTGATTCAACACCTGTAAATGCCACAGATTCAACACCTTTGAACGCCACTGATTCAACACCTGTGAATGCCACAGATGCGACTGCTGTGAATGCCACAGATTCAATGCCTATGAATGCCACAGATTCAACGCCTATAAATCTCACTGATTCAACACCTGTGAATGTCACAGATTCTACACCTGCTAACGCCACTGATTCAACACCTGTGAATGCCACCGATTCTTCACCTGTTAATGCCACTGATTCAACACCCTTGAACGCCACAGATTCAACACCTTTAAATGCCACGGATGCGACTCCTGTGAATGCCACAGATTCAACGCCTATGAATGCCACAGATTCAACACCTGTGAATGCCACAGATTTGGGTCCTGTGAATGCAACAGATTCAATGCCTACGAATGCCACTGATTCAATACCTGTGAATGCCACAGATACCTCACCTGTTAACGCCACCGATTCAACACCTGTGAATGCCACAGATTCAACACCTTTGAACGCCACAGATGCAACACCTGTGAATGCCACAGATTCAACTCCTGTGAATGCAACAGATTCAATGCCTATGAACGCCACGGATGCGACTCCTGTGAATGCCACAGATTCAATGCCTGTGAATGCCACTGATTCAACACCTGTCAATGCCACTGATTCAACACCTGTCAATGCCACTGATTCAACACCTGTCAATGCCACAGATTCAACCCCTTTGAACGCCACAGATTCAACACCTGTGAATGCCACAGATTCAACTCCAGTGAATGCCACTGATTCAACACCTGTGAATTCCACAGACTATACACCTGTTAACGCCACTGATTCAACACCTGTGAATGCCACTGATTCAACACCTTTGAACGCCACAGATTCAATACCTTTGAACGCAACAAATGCAACGTCTGTGAACGCCACAGATTCAACACCTGTGAATGCCACAGATACTACACCTGTTAATGCCACCGATTCAACACCTGTGAATGCCACAGATTCAACTCCTGTGAATGCAACAGATTCACTGCCTATGAACGCCACGGATGCGTCTCCTGTGAATGCAACAGATTCAATGCCTGTGAATGCCACAGATTCAACGTCTATAAATGCCACTGATTCAACACCTGTCAATGCCACTGATTCAACACCTGTGAATGCCACAGATTCTACACATGTTAACGCCACTGATTCGACAAATGTGAATGCCACAGATTCAACACCTTTGAATGCAACAGATTCAATGCCTATGAACGACACGGATGCGACTCCTGTGAATGCAACAGATTCAATGCCTGTGAATGCCACAGATTCAACGTCTATAAATGCCACCGATTCAACACCTGTCAATGCCACTGATTCAACACCTTTGAACGCCACAGATGCAACACCTGTGAATGCCACAGATTCAACTCCTGTGAATGCAACAGATTCAATGCCTATGAACGCCACGGATGCGACTCCTGTGAATGCCACAGATTCAATGCCTGTGAATGCCACTGATTCAACACCTGTCAATGCCACTGATTCAACACCTGTCAATGCCACTGATTCAACACCTGTCAATGCCACAGATTCAACCCCTTTGAACGCCACAGATTCAACACCTGTGAATGCCACAGATTCAACTCCAGTGAATGCCACTGATTCAACACCTGTGAATTCCACAGACTATACACCTGTTAACGCCACTGATTCAACACCTGTGAATGCCACTGATTCAACACCTTTGAACGCCACAGATTCAATACCTTTGAACGCAACAAATGCAACGTCTGTGAACGCCACAGATTCAACACCTGTGAATGCCACAGATACTACACCTGTTAATGCCACCGATTCAACACCTGTGAATGCCACAGATTCAACTCCTGTGAATGCAACAGATTCACTGCCTATGAACGCCACGGATGCGTCTCCTGTGAATGCAACAGATTCAATGCCTGTGAATGCCACAGATTCAACGTCTATTAATGCCACTGATTCAACACCTGTCAATGCCACTGATTCAACACCTGTGAATGCCACAGATTCTACACCTGTTAACGCCACTGATTCGACAAATGTGAATGCCACAGATTCAACACCTTTGAATGCAACAGATTCAATGCCTATGAACGACACGGATGCGACTCCTGTGAATGCAACAGATTCAATGCCTGTGAATGCCACAGATTCAACGTCTATAAATGCCACCGATTCAACACCTGTCAATGCCACTGATTCAACACCTGTCATTGCCACTGATTCAACACCAGCCAATGAAACAGATTCAACACCAATGAAGGGAACAGATGCAACACCTGTGAATGTCACGGATTCATCACCTGTGAATGCCACAGATTCAATGCCTGTGAATGCCACAGATTCGACTCCTGTGAATGCAACTGATTCAACACCTCTGAATGCCACAGATTCTACACCTGTTAACACCACTGATTCAACACCTGTGAATGCCACAGTTTCAACACCTTTGAACGCCACGGATGCAATACCTGTGAATGCCACAGATTCGACTCCTGTGAATGCCACAGATTCTACACCTGTTAATGCCACTGATTCAACCCCTGTGAATGCCACTGATTCAACACCTTTGAACGCCACAGATGCAACACCTGTTAATTACACAGATTCGAGTCCTGTGAATGCAACAGATTCAATGCCTATGAATGCCACTGATTCAACACCTGTGAATGCCACAGATTCTACACCTGTTAACGCCACTGATTCAACAAATATGAATGCCACTGATTCAACCCCTTTGAACGCCACAGATTCAACCCCTGTGAATGCCACTGAATCAACACCCTTGAACGCCACAGATGCAACACCTGTGAATTCCACAGATTCGACTCCTGTGAATGCAACAGATGCAACACCTTTGAACGCCACAGATTCAACACCTGTGAATGCCACAGTTCCAACTCCTGTGAATGCCACTGATTCAACACCTGTGAATGCCACAGATTATACACCTGTTAACGCCACTGATTCAACACCTGTGAATGCCACTGATTCAACACTTTTGAACGCCACAGATTCAACACCTTTGAACGCCACAGATGCAACGTCTGTGAATGCCACAGATACAAAACCTGTAAATGCCACTGATTCAACACCAGCCAATGAAACAGATTCAACACCAATGAATGGAACAGATGCAACACCTGTGAATGTCACAGATTCTACACCTGTTAACGCCACTGATTCAACATATGTAAATGCCACAGATTCAACCCCTTTGAACGCCACAGATTCAACCCCTGTGAATGCCACAGATTCTACACCTGTTAACACCACTGATTCAACACCTGTAAATGCCACAGATTCAACCCCTTTGAACGGCACAGATTCAACCCCTGTGAATGCCACAGATTCTACACCTGTTAACACCACTGATTCAACACCTGTAAATGCCACAGATTCAACACCTTTGAACGCCACAGATGCAACACCTGTGAATGCCACAGATTCGACTCCTGTGAATGCCACCGATTCTACACCTGTTAACGCCACTGATTCAACCCCTGTGAATACCACTGATTCAACACCTTTGAACGCCACAGATGCAACACCTGTTAATTCCACAGATTTGACTCCTGTGAATGCAACAGATTCAATGCCTATGAATGCCACTGATTCAACGCCTGTGAATGCCACAGATTCTACACTTGTTAACACCACTGATTCAACAAATGTGAATGCCACTGATTCAACACCCTTGAACGCCACAGATGCAACACCTGTTAATTCCACAGATTCGACTCCTGTGAATGCAACAGATTCAATACCTATGAATGCCACTGATTCAACTCCTATGAATGCCACAGATTTGACTCCTGTGAATGCAACAGATGCGACACCTGTGAATGCCACAGATTCGACTCCTGTGAATGCAACAGATTCAATGCCTATGAGTGCAACTGATTCAACACCTATGAATGCCACTGATTCAACACCTGTGAATGCCACAGATTCAACACCTGTGAATGCCACAGATTCAACTCCTGCGAATGCAACAGATTCAATGCCTATGAATGCCACTGATTCAACACCTGTGAATGTTACTGATTCTACACCCACTAACGCCACTGATTCAACACCTGTGAATGCCACTGATTCAACGCCTTTGAATGCCACAGATTCAGCTCCTGTGAATGCCACAGATTCAACACCAGCAGATGCCACAGATTCAACACCTGTGAATGCCACAGATTCAACGCCTATGAATGCCACTGATTCTACACCTGTTAACGCCACAGATTCAACACCTGTGAATGCCACAGATTCAACGCCTATGAATGCCACTGATTCTACACCTGTTAACGCCACAGATTCAGCACCTGTGAATGCCACAGATTCAACTCCAGCTACTGCCACAGATTCATCACCTGTGAATGCCACAGATTCATCACCTGTGAATGCCACAGATTCAACACCTGTGAATGCCACAGATTCAACGCCTATGAATGCCACTGATTCAACACCTGTGAATGCCACAGATTCATCACCTGTGAATGCCACAGATTCAACTCCAGCTAATGTCACAGATTCATCACCTGTGAATGCCACAGATTCATCACCTGTGAATGCCACAGATTCAACTCCAGCTAATGCCACAGATTCATCACCTGTGAATGCTACAGATTCATCACCTGTGAATGCCACAGATTCCACCCCTTTAAATGCCACAGATTCAACACCTGTGAATGGAACAGAATCAATACCTGTGAATGGAACAGATGCAACACCTGTGAATGGAACAGATCCAATGCCTGTAAATGCCACAGATTCCACCCCTTTAAATGCCACAGATTCTACACCTTTGAATGCCACAGATGCAACACCTGTTAATGGAACTGATTCAACAACGACGAATGGCACTTATTCAACTCCTTCAGCAGGAAACACTACCACCACTGGTACATTACCTCCAATCACAAATTTGACAACAACCTTAGCTCCCACCACTATTAACTTTATTGCTGCAGATCTTATGCTATCAATCTTTGACAACAATAACACACCCCTCATTGACAGCAACTTGCTGGTCGTTGAAGGGGACAACATACTTGCTGAAGTGAGTACTGGGAATGAATCTACATTTGAGATGGAGTTCAACCTTCCTGCAGATGGTTATCTTGGAGTAATCATCACCAAAGATGGGTATGCTTCTAATGGCTTCCTCTGGCAGTATGGAGAAGAAACAAGTGAGTTCTCTTACATATTATTATTTTTTTCACATTTGATATGTTAGATTTGGATGTTAGATTTGCATTACGACAAAAAATCTTTTGTATATCTCAGTTCCCTTGTTTTGATAAAAGAAAGTAAGAAAAGTGAAAATATATGTATTAGTAAGCAAAGAAAACGCTGTACATTATCTTTTACTGATATGCAAACTACCCCAAAATTATATACTATATTTTGCAACCCTAAAAATGCTTAATTATCACCAGCAGAATAAACGTCTTTTAGGATTTGCATTGTAAAAATACATATAATTATTTATTTTTCTACAGATCGCACTGTGTATCTCATGGAATTGCAGACTGGAGATCTTGTCAGTAGTAACAGTGTTTTTACAACACCTTTGGCAGGTAATACTTTTGACATCTGGTTTATTGCATTTTCTCTAGAAAGCTGTGGAATCCTAATACTTTCACGTGAGGTTAACATCCTTCTGGCTCTCGGAATTTGAAAGCATGATGTTTTAAACATTTTTACTGAATGTTACACCAATCAAAAACGAAATTCTATACTATATATAGGACAATAAAACTTTAATCTTGAATTTTATGTCTATGTGTGGATTAGCAATTGAATGTTATGGCTGGCGTAATAATAATTATGACATAGAGTACTTAAAATTGCAATATACAAATGTGAACATTTATATGTTTGTTTGATATTCCTCACAGATCCTGGAATCCGCCTCGTAGGTGGAAACTTGGTTAACGAGGGTCGTGTGGAGCTCTTTTACGATGGAGCCTGGGGAACCGTCTGTGATGACAACTGGGGCATAGAGGACGCCCAAGTTGCCTGCAGGAGTCTCGGTTATGCAGGAGCGGTAGGTGCACCGGGCATTGCTGCCTTTGGCAAAGGTTCTGGACGTATACTCCTGGATAATTTGATGTGTTTTGGAAATGAATCAAGCCTGTTTGACTGCCCTCATCTAGGCATCGGGCAGAGCAATTGTGATCATAGCGCAGATGCTGGAGTGAGATGTTCATCAGATGGTTAGTTAATATCTGTGCCCTGTTTCATAACACTTATTATCAATAAGAATACACTAAATTTGGTACATGTAATTTTATTTATTTTATTTTATTCATTCATAGCAACCAAGGGTTGGATTGATAATAATACATACATTTTCAACATAATTATGAACATTATTAAATTCAGTACAATGAAATTGATAAATTATGAATAGAAATACATGTAGATCATTAATACAAAAAACATTACAAATCATTCAGGTATATCATATTACAAATAAATCATTACAAGAAAAAGGGGGAAACAACATAGACTTGAATAGACAAGAACAGGGAGCAAGAGAGGGAAAAAGAAAGAAAGTGAAGAAGTGAAAAAACTGCAATGATCAATCAAGTAAACTATACATCCAAATATAAAAATATATAATATAATTATAAAATGTAAGCTACTTAAATAATTGCAGTTGATTGGCTGTAGGCAAATTTGTTGTAGAAATGTTACAGTTGTTATTGATAATAGGATGATGAAACCAGAGGCCTGATTGAAGGTATTAGACATTACTCAATGAAAATAAAAACAAGACATTTGATGTAAGGCTTTATTTATAGCCTTTACACGTTTGTTATTGCTTGTTTTCTCTGTAACACAGAATTTTGTAACATGGACAATGGTCATTAAGAATATGTATTTCTACATCCTGAATGTTCTTGTCTTTAATAAAATTGTTGAATAAACAAACTAGAATAGGAAAATGCATTGTAGAGTATTGAATAGTACAAGATTTATATTTGTGTGAAAGCAATACTGAGAAACGTGACTTCATTGACAGTGCCCCAGATATAGATTATGACACGCTGTCTATAAGACACTTACCATGTATTCATTGTCTTTTGCTTGTTCCCCCCATAGCTCTGGTGTCAGCTAATTTCTCATCCGCTAACCTACCTGCTGATGTATCTTCTGCCTATACACTGGCATCTGGTGGTTCTCGGACAGTCCCTCAACTTGTTACCATAGACGAGAACGGTGAAAGACATGACATCCTCCAACGGGTAGCGGTGTATTTTTCTGTGTTGGATAGCTCTGGAATGGAAGTAGGTGGCATTGGTGATGTTCAATTCAATCTTCCCATTGACAATAGAGATGGTTTGGAAGACGGCGACATACTCACTGCGTTTTACTTCAATGGAAGCACAGGTAGGCCATGTTCGTTTGAATTTATTGTATAATGAATAATAAAGCTAATGTTTTCTTAAACATATATTTTTGTAGTTGGACGGGGGACACAAATGTTTTCATGATTATTATCAAAGGTAATTAACAATTCATTCAGAAACGTGAATATCCAGCTTCTTATTTTGTGTGCTTTGGTAATTTAACAAACCAAGAACCGTGTGTGAAATTTATGAAAATGAAATTCTCACAAAAGTAATGTCAAATATGGCAATCAGAATTATCCTTCACTTCATGAAGTTACTACATCCTACATTATTTCAACTTATTAAATACATCTACCAGTAACTTATTTTGTGCACAATTAAAGCTCATGTATGCCACGATCTTCTGGACATAATTGACAAGATTTTCCAATATTGTACTGTACCTACCATCTGTATAACATATTCTGCTCACAAACACATCACTATTGTAATTATGTGTAGATTCTGAAGGCTTTGAAGATATATCTTTAACAAAATCTTGAATCTTGGATTTTTGTCATATCATGAAACTGTAAATGATGATACTGTCATAATCTTTGTGGAAATTAAAATTTCTGCAAAATTAATTATGGTGTATCATCCATATCTATTTACTTCAGGCCTGTGGACCGAAGGTGGCGTTGGTGTAGTTTCCACGGATGACTCCTCCTCCAAGCTGATCTGGAATTTTGTGGCACCATTTACGGCATCATGGTGGGCAGCTGGGGAGGTGTTGCCTCTTATGTCTGCTATATCCACAGATTCCCCATCTGTAAATGCAACAGATTCAACATCAGTAAATGCCACAGATTCAACACCTGTTAATGCCACAGCTACAACACCTGTGAATGCCACAGATTCAACATCAGTGAATGCCACAGATTCAACACCTGTAAATGCAACAGATTCAACACCTGTTAATGCAACAGATTCAACACCAGTAAATGCCACAGATTCAACACCTGTTAATGCCACAGCTACAACACCTGTGAATGCCACAGATTCAACATCAGTGAATGACACAGATTCAACACCTGTAAATGCAACAGATTCAACATCTGTTAATGCAACAGATTCAACACCAGCCAATGAAACAGATTCAACACCTGTTAATGCCACAGCTACAACACCTGTGAATGCCACAGATTCAACACCTATGAATGCTACAGATTCGACTCCTGTAAATGCCACAGATTCAAACCCTGTTAATGCAACAGATTCAACACCTGTAAATGCAACAGATTCAACACCAGCCAATGAAACAGATTCAACACCTGTTAATGCCACAGATTCAACATCAGTGAATGCCACAGATTCAACACCTGTGAATGCCACAGATTCAACACCTGTGAATGCCACAGATCCAACACCTGTAAATGCCACAGATTCAACACCTGTGAATGCCACAGATTCAACATCAGTGAATGCTACAGATGCAACACCAGCCAATGAAACAGATTCAACTCCTGTGAATGCCACAGATTCAACCCCTTTGAATGCCACAGATGCAACGCCTGTGAATGCCACAGATTCAACTCCTGTGAATGCCACAGATGCAACACCTGTGAATGCCACAGATCCAACCTCTGTGAATTCCACGGATCCAACACCTGTGAATGCCACAGGTCCAACACCCGTGAATTCCACAGATCCAACACCTGTAAATGCCACAGATTCAACCCCTTTGAATGCCACAGATGCAACACCCATGAAGGCCACAGATCCAACACCTGTGAATGCCACAGGTCCAACACCTGTGAATGCCACAGATTCAACACCTGCTAATGCCACAGATGCAACACCCGTGAATGCCACAGATGCAACACCTGTGAATGCCACAGGTCCAACACCTGTGAATGCCACAGATCCACTACAATTGAATGCCACTGATTCAACATCATCTCCAGACAATGGTACAACATCACCACCAAACACCGCTACAATCCTTCCACCTGGCTCTGTCCTTGCCAATCTCTCTGTTACTGTACTGGGTACAAATGACATGCCTGTATCCAATGCTAGACTGCTCTTTCGATCGTTTGGTGGAAACATTACTAATGTGACCACTGATGCATCTGGTGCTGGAAGGTTTGAAGCAGTGATACCGCAAGATGGAAGGATCGCTGTCGTTGCAAGTCAGTCTGGTTATGCCAGTAATGGTCTACAGTGGAGTCCCTTGGATGACCAAAGTGAGTAGTGCATGTAACAGGGATTACGTATTGTTTTAATAACTAGATCGTCCTTAGAATTTATGATAAACATCAAGAATTACACTTAAAGTTGATACTCTAAGCAAATAAATGTCCCTTAATTTGTTACCTACGGCAAGTATATGTTATTTTTAAGTTTTTCAATTACTTAGTATATCACAAAAAATTCTGTCTACTCGAAATCCTCAATTGAAATGTCTAAAATATCCGCCTGTCTTTGCATAGAAGATCAGTCACGACGCTGGTCTACTATTTATGACCTCACGTCCGGGAGAGAGTATATGCACGTACCCGGATGTTCCATAGCAAACATGTGCAGAGTGATACGATTTTCTGCATATTTTTGTTTTTAAGGCTGAAAAGTCTAATAAATCATAATTCTATGTACAATTCTTTACCTTCCCCTAGTACTTCATAGTATTAATATCAATTCCCCTTTTAAAAATAATGACATATACATGCCAACGATGTGCTATTAGTCGATATTTTCACCATGTAATTTTTGTTTTGGTGTTGAAATCGGCCCAGGCACGGAGTGAACAGTAGCTGTCTACCCATGCACAGTTCATTACCATACAACAGCGATCTCCCGATGGTTTCTTCTTCCTTTTTCCCATGTCTTTCGCCTTCCTTGGCCCTGAACATCCTTCATCTACCAATTCTGACACCGGTAGTCAGGAGCTAGTCTTTGTTAGTTGTTTTTCTTAGCTGGCAACGTCGCTTTCATTCTCTTGCAATTGCCGATAAACATAACTAGCGCACGTACGTTCCATCACAAGCAAGCAGCGCCTAGAGCAGCGGCTTGGTCTTACCTCCCGATTCTGCTCGCTCCACGAACGTTCATGCAAGAGCCGCATCACTCGCCAAAATATTATAGAGGAAGCGCCCCCGGGGAAGCGCGCTTGCATGATCTCGTTCAAGTTTGATATTTTACAACATAAAATGTTTAACTGGTACTGTATCCTTTTTTGAGGCAGTCACACACATCTATGATAAGTACTATCATAGTTCTAGACCTATTCGTTTTACAAAACTGCTCATGTACATCTGATGACAATATAATGCATCCGCCTATTCATAAGTGCACGATTTAACTTTAATTCCTAAGCAGTAAACTCGTCTTAAATCTCTACCAAATAGGTGAATATGAGGATATAAAAAGAAATCAGCGACTGGAAAATGTTGCTTCGTTATTCTTCATTCAAATGAAAACAGAAAATCCATCAAATATACTCCTTAACAACAACAAATCTAAGCTCTGACAGGATAGCATTTACGTAGGGATATCACTGCCATTCACTCTCTGTGAGCCCATGACTCCCGTTCGTGACGTCACGGATAGAGGCCCGACTCTACGTGCACTTCCGGGTTTCAGACTTAGATATTTTGGTAGAGTTTACTCGAATAAATTCATTATTCTAAACTTGTTTTGTCGGGTGGACACCATTTGGTGTTATTATGGGGGTTAAAAGCTTTCTATTTATGTAATTATCTCAGTATTTGGGATTGTCTTAGAGTATCAATTTTAATACCTTGTCTAGGAACTAAGTGTCTCTTGTAGTAAAGCTCATGCAGGGGAATGAGATAATTCAGTAGTCAAAGGGTTAATGCAATCCTAGTTGTTGTTTTTTATGTCTGTTTTTGTTTCAATACTTTTTATGGCATGTTAAAACCAATCTTGAATTCTTGCAGTGGAATTCCATTTGAAAAGAAACTGACTGAAAGTACTCCTGAGTTGCGATATCTAACCTGAAGTTAAAAACAGTTGCTGGGATTAATCACTGGAAAGCATGACTAAAATGTTTGCTAATATTAGACCTCACGTTATGTAAGTTGATCAGGACAACTACATGAATTTCTAATTTTGTGCATCTTCCATGTTCACAAGTTCACACTGAGATTTATTTGATTATGTCAACATCATTTATATACATGTCCATATAAGGTGAACTACATGTAGATGTATCTGGAAGTATATAATAATTGTTGAAACGTACTGCATTATTAGGATCATGTGTTCTTTTTCCATGCTAGACATCACTCTTCGACTTCTTCAACATCAAACTGTCACTCCTGTCCAACTTGGGGAATACTCTGTCTTTGAAGTGACTGATAACAGTAAGTTGATGAGAATTTTGGGAATATTTACCCCACCACACAAGTAAACCTAACCCTACTTCTAACCCTACTTCTAACTGTAATACCCTACTCCTAACCTCAATATGAAAAGTAAATCTACCCATACACTTGCCCCTTCCCTTACTTCTAATTTTGTCCCTACATGTACCCCTACCCCTAACTCTGTAACCTTAACATAATTGTAAACGTAACCCTGATCTTAACCCCACCCCTTACCATAGCTAAACCTAACCCTGTCCCGAACTCTATGCCTAAACCTCATCCTAAGCCTAACCCTATTCGCTAATCCTAAAACTAATTATAATCTTCAGCCTAACACTGTACTAACCCTGAACCTATTCCTAGTCCTATCTCTACCCCTACCATTACCCCTACTCCTACACCTACACCTACCCCTACCCCTAACCATAACCATAACCATAACCCTTCCCCTAACCTTAACCCTAACCTCAACCCTCTCCCATAGCCTAACAGTAAGACTGATAAATTAAGATGATAAGAAATTTTAGGAGCAACTGCAGAATATCCCACCACACAAGTAGCCCTACCTCTACCCCTACATCTATGCTTCCCTTAACCCTACCTCTACCCCTACCCCTACCCTTAACACTATGCTTCCCCTAACCTTTCACCTAACACTAACCTTACCCCTACCCCTAACCCTACCCTTTACCCTACCCTTAACCATACCCCTACCCTTAAATCCTAAACCTACCCTTTCTCTTATCTTATTGCAATACATGGCACTCAGTAGTTCAGCCAAATTTTGTTATGATTATCATCTGATGCATTTTTAACATCTTGTATCTTCAGCTTTTAAGATCCTTGTCATTTCTCCCCAAATATTTATTTGGGATTGCCCAATTTTGGGTAAAATGATTATCAATTTTTGTTTGTTTTTTGAACGACATTTAATTTAGTTTTGTAGTTTTGAAATTCATAACACAAGCAAATGATACATGTTTAGTTGATTTTCGTTCTTGTTTGTATACCGAGAGAGGTGAATGGTCTGGCAAACAAATGGATGGGTTCAAGGAAAAGGATCACAGAAAACGATTGAAAACTCATGAATGCATATCAGTTATCTGAAAACAATTTCCATTCAGTAAAAATGCGGAAATATCAGCTTTATAGTTTACCCTGTCAAGGCATATTTATTTAATCTCTCTCTCTCTCTCTCTCTCTCTCTCTCTCTCTCTCTTGTACATGTATGTTTCATAATGTAGATAAACATATACTTGATGAATAAATAAATCAATCAATGAACACAAATGAGAAATTTGTGTTCCATTTAACCATTTGTCTATGTATTGTATGTATGTACACATTGAGAATATTTTAAATTAATAATGATAATAATGACAATTTTTTTGTATGGCGCAATCCAAAACATAGTAAGTTCTCAAAGCGTCTAACAAAAGGAGTATACATATACAGAGAGCAGATAAGCTAAAATATTATCAACTATTTGTTTATTACAGTTAGGGAATTAAACCATTTGTTTGTCATCTAGGTACGGGAGAGTACTATGTTGCGTTTACCCGGGTCCAGAGCGATCAACTCTCTTTGGAGAATATTACTATAGCTGCAGCATTGGTTGTTGGAGAGGGTTCAGAAGTGGTCCCCCACACGGTCATCGTAGACGACAGTGGTGCCCTCCAGGACATCCAGAGTCTTGTAGCAATAGAGTTGACGGTGACCAATTCAAACGGGGAGGATGTCCAGGGAGTGGAAGACATCACGTTCACGCTGCCGCTGGGAGCTTTTGACGAATTAGAAGCGGGAGAGTCTCTGACAGCATTCTTCTACAATGAAGAAACTGGTTAGTGCAACTGACATGAAATGCCTCAGTTATCTTTTACAAAATTCAGATTTGCTACATATATGTTTGTTTTGCCTGCACGATGGCATATGAAGAATATGATGATGGAAAAGGCAGCACTCATACATTTGAATAATGAATATTGAAGGCTCTTTGCATTAACATTCAGTTTCTAGGATATACAGCTTTTAGGATCAGTGATCTACTTTTGGATATTTGTACATGTAAATATTGAACAGCAACTTGTAAGTTTCTTAAAGGTTTTTGCATTTGAAAATGTCTGTACTGTTGATAATCATTCTGTTCCTATTTTTCTTATTTTCTCTAATTTTTCTTTTTACTACTTGTATGTTTTGCCCTTTTGCCTTTTTTCTTCTTCTCCATCCATCTCTATTTTGTTTCCCTCTCTCTGTGTCTATTTCCCTATTGTTAATTTTCTCTCTACTGCCATATGTCTCTCTGGTTCCCCCTCTCTTTCATTTTCCTCAATGTATATTTTCTCTCTCCATCTTTATATTTCTCTTTTATCTCTTTCTCTCCCCCTCCTCCTCCCACAGGTTTTTGGGAGGAGTCTGGCAGTGGCACGATTATCGTGGATGACCAGGGGATGAGACAGTGGATCTTCATTGCACCCCACATCACCTGGTGGATAGCTGGAAGACGGGTGGAGCCACCGGTTACACCTGCCCCCTCTGCACCCACTAACACGGGGCCACTCGCCAGTAAGAACCCATTTTGATTAATTAACATGGGGAAATACTAAATGTTCTAGGGGTAAGACATCTATATTGTCCATCAAATGGTCACCAGGGAGAAAATCCTTGTTACTCAACATCTGGTAATTGTTTTTAAAGGATTATGTAGCTACACGTACATGTCAGGACTAATTTGATGCTCTGATAAATCTATGTAGCTGATATCTGCAACAAAAAAGATGTCACAAGCAGGCTTAATTTTGTAAGGGAAGCTTGCCAGTGTTTTTTTTTATATTTAAACATGAAAGTTTATTTTTCTCTCTTAAAGATTCAACGCATTTTGTTTAATTAAACCACTGGAAATATTTAGGGAATATTCAAACAAATTTTGTTTAATTGCTAATCCTTTTAATCAGGATGGTTTAGATAATTAGAAAAGAGTTTTATTAGACATTTGCATATCATTTATCTATCTGACAGTGTCCGTGTCTGGCCTAGGACACCGACACTGTCACACAGGTAAGGAATATTTGGATGTGTCATAGAACTCTTCTCTAAGTATGTATAATGTCTTTGTTTATCCTTCAATGTTTCAGCAACATCAGGTTACCTTGGCACAATCCTTACCCAGACTCAGTTCTATGTCGTCATACTCCTCTGTGTTCTTCTTATTCTTCTCATGATCTTGCTCAGTACGTGGCCTTGTTGCGAGTAAGTCAGCTGTTTTGTTTTCTTCAAGAAATTATTTAGTAACTATACATGCAATTATGTGAGTAAATAACAATTAGGATATATCGTGGATCCTTTAAAGTACAAGTAAAACATTGTCCTACATGACAATTATACAGACCTATAGCATTATATCACTGCTTTCTGTCTACTGCCAAGTAGATGGAAGTCAATTTGAATGCTTTTTGCCACCTTTTCATATTGTCTGTCAAAAGGAAAGAAATATGAATGAGATGGTGGAATAATCCACCAGGTGTATTAAATTCAGAATGCACATTCTTCATGAGCTTTGAAATATCATCAATTTCCTAAGAAAGACTTGTGCGGAAAGAAAAATAATATTAACGTTTCACTATAAAAAATAATGATGATGGCAGAATATACTTCATCTGTAGCTGCATTAATATAAACGATATATATGCTGCTCATCTTGAGGGCCGTGCAATTATTATTAATGCAATATGAGGCCGCCATCCATCTCCAGCCTAACCGCTCACGATGTTGGTCTCCTGCGTTTTAAATTACCTCTCTAATTTATTGAAAATATTTCATATTTCTTATCTTATTGTATGCTTCGTACATGTTTATCGTAGGATATAATTGTACATGATTTTTCATTTAAGTACTTTTGTAAACATTTTCTTCATTGTATTTGTTATTGTTCGAATTTTTGTACTTTGAATTTGGATTTGTATATTTTTGAATGCAGAAATAAAATCAATCAAACAATCAAACAAATACAGCCAGGCACCCGTACAATACATAAGGGGTAAAAAATGGACAAAATACCTTGTCCAAGGATATAAACACCAAGCAAGTACCGAACTGGCACTTCCCATATGAGAGTCAATTTACCAATATACCACAGCTTCATACTATCTTTATTATAATGTGACACATTTTCTTATTCATGCTTACTGTGCACAGTTGCAGGAAGAAAGAAAAGCAGAGCATCAATTTTAAACCTCAGGAAATGCAAGAGAGACGGATCTCTGAGGCTGAAGACAACGATTACCAGGATTTCGCTTACTCGAACCCCAGTATGGAAGTGGACGAGATGGATAGTAGTCCGTCCACCTCCAACCAGGACGTTGAGCGGGGCGTTGAAGCTGAAGATGAAGCCGCTGAACTCCCGGGCAAGATCGACGTTGTGAGCATCATTACTTATGAGACAGAACCCCCAACAGACCCCAGTGAAGGAGAGGAATTCACCACTTTCAAAGGAGCGGATGAAACAGAAGATGCAACGGGTGAAGACGAGACCTTTATGGTTGACGATAAGGGTGTCAACACAGTTAACGGTGATTTGGCATAGAATATGATTACAGTCAAACCTGTCTGTCGAGACCACACAAAGGAAACAGAGAAAGTGGCCACTGTAGACAGGTTGCCTTTATAGACAGGTTCTACACCACACATTACATTTACTTCTTGTGGCAGACAAAATACATGGCCATTAAAAGACAGGTGGCCTTTACAGAGAGGTTGCCTCTAAGACAGGTTTGACTGTATATTATTCTGTGTAATTGAATTATCTCTAAGAATATCCACCAGTGTGGAGAAAGATAGGTCTCTATATGATTAGAATGGGAATTTTTTAATATAATTATAGTTTTAATGCCTGTGCCAATTAGAAATAAGAAGATAGGATATGAATTAAAAGTCTGCCTGTTGAATATGCCACACCTCCTATTTGATCACAGTGTATCATGTGCTGTAGTGTGAACACAGTCCATTATAGTATTAAAAAAATGTTTGAACAATCAGTTTGCAGTCCAAAAATGTTCGAAATCCCTTTTGTGTATCCCACTGTGATGCTTATATACTTGGCTCGTTATGTTTCCACAGTGTTTTTGGGAGTGCCACAGTTTGTCAAACAGTGCCATAATGTGTAAACAGTTTAATGTGAAGGCATTGTGAAAACATTGATGGCTCTAGAAAAGTATTCAAAATCCCCTTTGTAGCCACACGCAGCTGTGATACACAAACTGTGATTCTCTCAGACCACAGTGTGCAAAACTTTGCCACAGTTTGAAAAGGAGTTAAGATAATGCGTACACATCAAAACATTGCCAACAGTTTGAAAGTGTAAAAGGACGTGTCTGTTCTCATTATGTTGCTTACACACTGATTTGTTCTATGCCCACAGTGTTTCACACTTTTTCACACACTAGTAAACAGTATAAACATGATAACCTCAGCTCAGTCTTTTACATGTACATTACTAGCAATTTTCCTTATCATATGGTAATACTGTGGATACCTTTCCTCTTTTTTAGGCAAGGCTGTGAATGCATTCGAATTGGAGCCGTAAACAAGACAAATTACTATGAAAGAACAAAATATTTTCATTGACAAATTTTAGAGGTATTCTTTCCTTGATTTTTTGTTTTCAACAGCACCGTCTCGAGATTTGGTGTCTTCCTTTAAGCAACCCCAACTTGAAGAAACTCCTAAAAAAGTTCGTTTCAGCGAAGGTGATGAGTGATCGGTGATCATTTCATAATATATTTGTTATACATGTGGGTTATCATGTACACATATCATACTCCAAATATTCTTTAACTATTTCTTTTTGCTGTGGTATCATGTACATGTCTAAACCAGACAGAACTTCATTTGCTTTCTGCCAGTTTTTAGAGCTGAGAAAGAGGCCCTTTCATCATTGAGGGAACATGTTTTATTTCATATCGTAAGATTGTTTCTAACTGTATGTGGTTGATATTTTGCACTTTATTTTCACCTTTTTCATTAAGTCTATTTGGATGCAGTGTTGATATGAAATGAATTGAACATTTGCTTATCACACTTGCTGCATTTCTATATATAAACATTTGGCTGTATATGGCTGTATATGAAGAAAATGATTTTGTAATGGAGATAGATGTACATGTGTCTAAATATCCATGGCTTCTAACCCTTGTGTGTATGAAAATTAAGAAAGTATCCACTTTTACACTTGTCCTCATACTTGTTAACAATTTCAGAACAAATTATTTTATAGATAAATTGATCACTTTTTCTTCAAATTGGCAACAATTGTATTTTACTTTTATTTCAACCTTGTTCTAAAAATGACAGGAATTTAAACCTTGATACTGACAAGAGTTATTTTGAGTCTCTCAGCATGTTGCCAATTTCAAAAGCTTATTTTTACATTTTAAAATTCCATTCATAAATTGCACTGTAGTACATGTGGTGTTACCAACATGGACACAGATGTGTGTATATACCGGTACAATTTTTCTCTATCTGAATCAAAAGCTATTGAGCAAAACTAATTAACATAAAGCTTGTCCAAGTTTTTATATGGTGAGAATATATTTTCTTATCACAATGTGGCATCCTTCCCTCCTCCTCTCTTCCCCTCCTCCCCTCTTCCCCCTCCTCCCCCCTCCCCCCCCCCCCTCCTCCCCTTCTCTGATCCCATGCCAAAGGTGCTACATGTAATTGAAGTGTTGAATGTGCAATATTGCTTGAAGAAAAAAATTATTTTAACATGGGGTGAAAAAAGAAATCATCAAATGTTTGCAATTTGGGGATTGCGATTGCTGGTATTCTAACATTGAACATGCTATATGCACCTATATAATCAAAAGATTGGATGATTACATTGTGATATTCATGAAATGTAAACATGTTTTTCGCTTTTTTAAATTTACCATATATTTTCATTATTTTGAAAGATAAACAATTTGTTTTCCTTCTCAGCAGGCTTTTCATTCAAGTGCATTTTTCAAACAAAATTGGGTTCAGTGTATATTGGGGGAACAACGCTTCTGCCTGTACAGGTTTCTTTGTTTGAGACTGTATTTCCTGAAAAAAGTATATATTCTGGCATGTTGTTAGAAAATGGAAATGGTAAATCAATCATCAAACATTACTACCTAATATGCATTTTTGCAGTTCCTTTTTTCCTATTTTCGTGCCACTACATTTCACAAATCTACCTTACCTTCCAAGATAAGAAATTTCACCTAATAATTGTATTGTTTGTTGCCAAACTGATTAGAATGAGACCTTCATTGTATATATAGAGCATAATGAATCATGTTTCAATTAATGATTATGGGATAGGTTCTGCTTATTTAATTGTGGTGGAAGTGGTAAGAGAAGTGGATTAAGATAGTCGGGTCATGTATTAAGAAGGAAAGATGGTGAACATGTGAAAAAAACATGGGATCTGGAAGTGGGTTTCATAAGTGGGAAAAGAAGACCAAATACTTCATGGAAAGAAGCAAGGTGGGTCTAAATGAAGAGGATGCTCAAGACAAGAAGAAGTGGAGGGAGGGAGTGTCGTCATGGTATGGAAGTTAGTAACCCATCGTAGCAGTGAAATGTTGACTCTAATAGATGATGATGATGATAGCATATATTTCTATTCACTTATTGGTATGGACCAAGAAAACTGCAGAGACTGCACGATGTAAAAATTCAAATATTTCTGTTCTTACTTTGAATTTGGATTGCACCTGGCTTCTCAAACTATCTCCTTGATTTTATAGCAAAATTGTGTAAATAGAATGTATACTGTAAGCAAACAACAGAGATGTTTCTGATATCAATGACATACATATATGTATGAAGAAGTGTCGTAGTTGAGTGGTTTAAGCACTTGACTTGCAATTCAAAGGTCGTGGTTCGATCCCTGACACGGCACTAATGTCCTTTGGCAAGGCGTTAATCTTCATTTGCCACACTCAACCCAGGTGAGGTAAATGGGGTACCTGGCAGGAACTTATTCCTTGAAATGCTGGAGCGCCGTAATGGCAGCTAGGCTAAAGCCGGGGTAATAATAAATGCGCCTCGGAATAGAATTTCTAGGTAGACGGCGCTATAGAAATGCCTTTTATTATTATTATGTATGACAGTACATTGAACCTTTTTCATAATCTCTACCTATTAACTTTTCAAAGGAGCACGTGTTAGTCAGCCTTTACACAAAAGTTGTTTAGACCTTTTCGGCAAAATGGTAGTGTATTCTTGTTCTCATTCACTGTGTTATGGTTAATTTTCTATGCGGGTTTATTTGGGTTTTTCTCTTTACATTAGAATTGATCATTATGTTGCCATAATTTAGTTCAAATGTATTTGTTTTATATTACATGTGTACTTTCATATTTTCTAACTCAGTGTGCATGTAGGTTGCATATATATAGCACTTAGCTTTTTAAAATTTTGTTTATTGGAGCACATTTCCATGTACAGTACTACAAAAATGATTTATGATGTGATATATTGTGCTAGTTGACTTTGCTGCCGGTTTCTGTTTATAAGTATAAATGAAAACGTGAAGAATCGTGATTCGTTATTAGCATTTAATATATTGGAAAAAAAGGTAATTTTATTCATTATATTTTACTCGTTAATGTACATGTTCTTGTCAAAAGTGGCAGCTGCATGTGTTCATGTTTTTATGGTAATTTTCTTTACTTTCGTGCAAGTTTTATCTTGTCCGTGTTAGGGTAGAAATTGTTCTATTTGTATGGGTATTTCTCTCAAATTGCATAGAGCAAAATAATAAATTTTCTTTTCGACAAGCAGTATTCAATTATGTATGTGTAACGTAAACTCCTCAATAATATATTCTTATTTTGCCTGTAAAAACTTTTTTAAATACCTTTCTAATAATTTTTAATATACAGTTGTGAGATAATATGTATATTTATTCACGGGTGTACTTATCATATTCGGTGCTTCATTTAAACAATGTTGTGTCTTCCATGTAGAGAAATATACAGAATTTTAACACTATTTTAAATCTGTAAATAAATGGATAATAATGCCATTCATTTGGTTGTTTTCAATCTTGTACTGTAGAGGTAAGAGTCTTTATCATTAGTTTGCCTGTTCTTATATGTGAGTAGGCCTTTTCTTCAAACTTAACCAAAAGAAAAAGAAAGGTGAATAACATGTAGATGTTTTTAAATCTTGTAAAATAATTTCTTTAAGAATCCTTTTTTTTAAATAAAATAATAAACTACTTACACGTGGGAAGCCATTGTTTTCAGTATTTTTGTGTGATTCTCTATTTTTGTGTGTGTTTTGTTTGTTCTCAGGTTTATTGGACTACCACCATATGTATTCTATGTTTTAATCCTCACATTTCTTGTCTAATATACTCATTTACTCTCCAGGTCTTATAGTTATTTTCTTTTCTTAAACTATCGTATTTGTACCTCTTACACTGTACTATCCTTCAACTTTCTCCTCTTTCCATTTCTCTATATTTTCATAGTCTTTTTACTGAGGATTTCGTCGGCCAGCTGGCAGAAGGGCGTTGGTGCACGAGCGACTCAAAAAGTACTTTTCGAATTAATCGCATTTAAAGATTTGTTTTATATTTAAACTGCTTTCCGTCCCGAAAATTGTTTTAAAACTCAAAAGACTAATAGAAATGTTTTAGTAGAACACGGCCACAATTTTTGTGTGGAAATAAGTCAGTTTTATAAAAGTTTGAGGCAATTTAGTGCTAACGCCCTTCTGCTTAACGCTTCATTTTTTACCTGAAATTCGATCTAACGCCCTTCTGCCAGCCAGGCGACCAGGCGACGAGTCCTATGTTTACCAATGTCACTTTCTTTCACAAGATCCTGTTCTCTCTTCCTTCTCTTTCTTTTTACACAATTCATGATTCCTACACCACACCAGAAGTACACACATTTCCCCCTTTTCTATATCCTTTTGACAAATACAAATACATTGTAATGCTAAATATATTACTTATTGCGGATATAGTATCGAAAATAGTGACATTCGTTTGTCTCGCAATGTATGGTCAACAAGGGATCTCAAAGATCACAACATTGTAGTTTACACTTTAATTAATTTCAAAACCTACTGTCCTATATTCTTCTCTGACAATCTCTTTTCTTTTCCCTTAATTATCTTCAGCTCTCTCTAATACATCAAAGGAAACTCTTCCATGATGGGATACATACTATGTAATAATGTATAATAGGGCCTCCCCACTTGTACATACCCTTATATTCTTTTAATGTGTCATTTGTTGCTATATGTATCTCACAAAGTATGCAAAAATGCATTTGATGTAATTGCAATGTCAATTGTTCTTTATTCACAAATAGATGTATCTGAAAGAGATTCCAAAATACACATTGTATGGCATGATATTGAATGAACTACATAAATATATTACATAAATGTTTCAAACCTCATCAAATCATATACCAATGTATACATGTAAATCAATTGTTTACATTTTGTTTTTATCATTTGTTGGATGAAAAAAATGCATTATTTGGATTAATCAATTATATCTTGGAAAAGGCTTTCCCTACATTTCAAAATCTTTCTAATCAAATGGCTGTTGGTCGAGTTCATGTACAACATATCTCGATAGATGCTTCTCAAATATATCATTTACCCAGATCAAAATGGTTTCTGTTGCCATTGGGCTTTAGGTTACATGTAGGTTTAGGGTAAAGGATATAAAGCATACTGTTTGGTCCGGGGTCAAAGTTGGGGATTGAATTAGTCTCTAAAATTTAAATGGAGCAATTGTCACCAGAGCACATGTCGTTGGAGTTAGAATTACCCTGAAAAGCCTAACCCTAACCCTGAAAAGCACCTATCGAAGACATGTGTAGTCGGTATCTATTCATCAAGGAAGGCATTTATCGGCCTACGGCTGCACAGTCCGTGGCCTGGCACTCACACCTCTCAATGACCGGCAGATAGCCGATGACCGTGCTACCATCTGGACAGACGAGCTCTATCTCCCTGACCGTGTCGCCGAGAACACCGCGACAACAGTTACATGTCTGGTCGATGAAGAGTTGGTTTAGAAGGGTGTTGCATTTGGATGGGCAATAGCCATCACAGGTGGTCACAGGAATGTCTGTTGCGATGCAGCCGTCGAGGGTGAAGTTCTGCGCTTGGTGTTTGGTTCTGCACTGGTTGGGTTCTGGGAAGGGATTGAGAGTTTAGAGTGGTTAGGACATAGAGGTCAGTTTTTCAGTGTATAGGGATGAATATGAAGTGTCACAAGACTAAATCTCAACTTTTGTGGAAAATTTTCTCTTTAAAGGCAATATAAAAACTCCAATATCATCCAAATAATGCTACAGATGTACATACATGTATAAGTAAAATGAAATCACTAAAAAATAAACGCCTGATCTGATATTCATCAACAAAAAAGAAAATATATGTACAAGTGGTATTTCATTAATTTCAGATTGCAGTATATTTTTGTAAAAAATTGGTGTTTACCTTTTGTCTAACTGAGAACAAATCATATGTGGTTTTGGGGGGCAAAACTATGGCAGAAAAATAAATACTGTACAGGTTTTGTGATTGTAAGATCTTATAACCCCTTGATTATAACATCCAACAACTTATACCGGTAATTTACTCACCAGAAACTGCTCTGCAAACTGGACAGCAAGCACCGTCTTCCATAACAGCGATAAATCCCTATAAGATGCATCAGAGAAAAAAAATATGTATTGATAACTACTAGTAACCATGATAGTAAATTAATAATAAGATTAATAATAACAATAATAATAATCAGTTTTCATATAGCGCTTATTACAATCACTAAGCGCTTCCAAACTTTAGCTGTGCTGCCATTACAGCGCTCTAGCATTTCAAAGAATTAATTCCTGCCAGGTACCCATTTACATCACCTGGGTTGAGTGTGGCGAATGTTGATCAATGTTTTGACAAAGGACATTATTGCCGCGGCGGGTCTCGAATAAGAATACATCAACACATAATCAGATTAATTTACAAGAGCTGCACTCGATCAAACACAAACAGGCAACTCTGTTATTTCCTTGCAAGCAGCTATTTTATCAAACAAACTCATTGCCATGCAGGGTTGAATTCCCCAAATTGTTTGAGAGTGGGATCCTACCTCCTCGCATTCAACCGGCTCGCATTCCGTCTTGCAGACCACAGCTCCGTTCTCACACAGGCACGTCTCGCACTGCCCCCTCTGCCAGACCTCGCCTGCGCCCCGCGTCACCCCCTCATCATCCACGCATTGACAGGAGGATGGGAGAACACACTCATCGTCATGGTTACGATAGAAGCCCGGCTCGCAGATGCAGGTTTCTTCATCTTGGGACGGCGGTGACGAGCAGCTGGAGTTGAGCTGGAAAGCAGCGGCGTTACTCAAGTCTGAACAGCTCACCATGCTGCAGTTAGACACCTGGGTGGACCATACCTCGTTCTCCCCACAGGCTGTAGATAAAGGCAACAAAGAAATCAAATAATAACAATCATTTTTCATTCTTCAGGGCCCAGTTGATATCAATCGCAAGCATGTACAAAAGAGATAGGAGACTGCGAACGTTGCGATTGAATGGAGGACTTGTGATTGATTTGGATCAATTGCAACTCTTTGTAAGACAGGGCCCAGATTGACCCAAAGCAATGCAGAATTTTCTACAGGTCTAAATGATTCAGCTTCGCCCCCTCAAGATGGCAAAAATTACTATTATTTTCCACTCTTGGATAAATTCAAGACCAATCAAAATGTACATTACATGTAAATAAATCAACAAAATTAAAAGTAAAGACTATAAATTACACTCTGTATTGACAATTTAGAGATTTTAATGAACAAAGGTCAGTGAAATATAGATGAGAATACAAGTTTTCCAATCCCACACGTGAACAGGCACAACAGTTATATATTAATTGCATCATGATTAGAATTCACATTTGTAAGTAAATGGCCCAGTAACAAGTTTGACTTCATAGGCCTACTGGAAGCCCAATCTCACTAATTCAGCACTTTGCGTAATACAGTCAAACCTGCTTTAGTGACCACCCTGTCTACAAAGGCCACATTTGTTGTTTCCCTTGGGTGGTCGCTATAGACAGGTTTGACTGTATTACATTCAGTTCTCTCATCCAAGGAAAAATACTTACGGCAACTTCCTGAATTACAGTCAGCAAACTCTATGTCCTGGCCGTCACACTCTGCTCCTCCGTACGCAGCGGATGGGTTGTCAGGGGTACGTTGCCTGTAGATGCCGTTGGTCACATGACCACATGTTTGAGGACACTCCGACCAATCAGACCACTCGCTCCAACCGCAGTCCACTGGCAATGGTTAACAAAGAAAAGGATTATACAACTGAATCTATACTTCAGGTACAAGTACTTGGATCGAAGTTAATAATTTTATGATGTAGTCTTAACTTGGGTAACATTAACAATATTTTCATGTACATTCAGTTCAGAATATGGATTGATACTACTTGGTTTTTTATTTTATTTTCAAATTGACAAGCTATTTTGCACCTCTGGAAATTTACATTATTAAACATACTTGTTAAAGGTGAAATTCAAAGAAAATCACAAATCTGTCAACTAATGTATGACTAACTGGTAAGCTAAGAAATGGCCATCGTACAAGTTTTAGGTCAACTACATATCGGGTGATTTATAAAAATACAAATACAACCACCTGCATAGCAGCTGGGATATACGAGAGATTCGCCGGAAAAATAATGATGCTTTAATGACGTCACTATATGGACCAATACTGCCCAAGCAGACGACATCCCATAAAGAATGAACATAATTACAAAGCTTTTATTTGTCAAATTATAATGAGTTTAGTGTGTATAAATGTGATGGCATGTCAAACCATTCAAAAGGGGAGATGACCCGATTCCGATAACTAAAATCGTTTGCTTGTAAATACACAGGATAGGGGTTAATTAACAATCAAAGAAACCAGACTTTCGAATCGAAAACCCCCCGGAATGATATTAAGGACGGCATTTGTTCCTCTTGGAACGCCGAACATACCGCGGTGTGTGCAGCTGAATATTCAATTGCGTCTTATTTTGTTTACAAGCGACAGATTCCTTTATTTTTGTATCGCTGCATTTGTCATCAAAATAAAACCATGTGCAGGGTTTAGAGTGAGGCAATAGATTATACATTTAGCCTGACGGTAGTGTAGTAAGAGAAAGAACTCAAGAGAAGATGAAAACACAGGCACTGAAAATGTGTGAGATGTCATGGGACATCGTCTGCTTGTGCAAATCGTGTCCATACTGTGATCTCACACACTTCAGCAGCGTTCGGAGAGCTCTTCAGGTGCTATGCCGGGGCTGTATTTAAGCGTTTTATAATTTATAATAATCAATACTTCAATTGTTTCCAAGTATTGAATTTTGATAACCTTGTCAAATCAAAGTTTCAACTTTGCAATAATGAAATTAAGTTAGTTTTTAAAATCAATGAATATTTACTTTAACATCATGGAAAATATAATAATCTGAAAAGTCATAAGACAGAGAACTTGAAAATAAAGATATTCACAGCTGATATGTGTCATTATACAGTATATGTACACAAACAAACAATATGTATCATCACTTGCATAATTATATGAAAAATCATTACCTGCACAATCCACTTCTGTGCAAACAAAGGATCCACCTTGGCAAGTGCTGAGATGTACCAGAAAAAGAAAGAAGTGAAAATGAGATGAAAATGAGTGGAACCATAATTAGTTATTTAATTTTTTTCTATCAAGCAATATCTGTACATAGAGCTGCAATACAATTAACATATTCATTTCTAGATTAAAACAAATTTTGGCACAGTTGTGATATTAACCCTCTCAGTGCTCTATGCAGTTGTAACTGTCACATCCCACCGCTGCCACCAGTTTAGAGGGGCCTAGTTTGCTCAACCTGGGGGGGCGTTTCACAAAACTTGTCATCAGTGACAAATGACAGTTTTGTCATAAGCTACTGAAATCCTTGCTCCTGATTGGTTATCAGCAGATTTGTCACAAATTTTTGTCATTTGTCATTGAAAAAAGGCTTTGTGAAATAGGCCCCAGGCTTCACTCCACAACAGAATGTGACAGCATAGAAAAATAAGATCCTCCAAGCTCAACATCTGGCGCTCTGAACCTGGGCTCCTAATGCTTGGAGACCTTCTTTCTTATTCATCTCATTTGCATATAACAATTCATACAACTTGAATATTCAGCAAAATTCTTAATAACAAGATACCTCATTTGAATACCAATTTTTTTGAGGGTATTTTCAAAGATCTTATGCGTACTCTTTGAACAATTTTTTTTCTTGACAACTAGAGAGCATTTCAAAGGCTTGAGAGAAAAATTGCAACAACTGAAGAATGCAACGTGGATCCCACCGATATAGATGCCATTACGCATAGCAGGTGAATAAAACAGCTGGTAACCAGAGGTTAGGGAGAGAAATAATCATATAAAATTGAAATACATTGGCAACCAGGGGGTGTTTCACAAAGATCCTAAGTTGAACTTATCTCTAAGTTGGACTTAAAATTATGGAGAGCCATTTGTAGCCTTAAAAAAAAAATATATTCAAAAGCGAAAAAGCAAGTATTCTGACTTTTTATAAATTCCACATCAAGAGCATGAAATCTCCTTGATAATAGAAAATATGATTGATTTGAATCAACATTTTATGCCTTTTAAAATACATTTTACAAAATATTTTCATAGATGCCAACGGCTTTCCATAATTGTCAAGTTCAACTTAGAGATAAGTTCAACTTAGAGATAAGTTCAACTAATAGGATCTTTGTGAAACACCCCCAGGTCTACTGAACCTACCAGTTATTGCACTCCATGGTAACCAATGCTCCTGAAGGGTACTCTACCATCCCATCTAGACTGATGGAGATAATGGATCCATCGGGAAGTGAGACATCAGCCAGGTTACCGGTATGAGAGGCATCCAGGAGACAGCGGCAGTCACTCTGGGCCACACAGTGGCCATCTTGAAGGACCTGGTTGATTGATGATTTATTTAATAACAATAATAATAATAATATTGGATTCTTATATAGCACACGCATCGACCTTGCAAGGTCCTCAAGGCGCTCCGGCATTACCCGGCTATGCTAGGCTGCCGATTTTGACGCTCACAGCCTTTAAGGAATTCCTTGTTACCGGTTCCCATTTAACACTTCGGTGGAGAGTGGCAAGTGTAGATTATTGTCTTGCCAAAGGACATTTTTATCCAGATGCTTAAAACAGCCGGTTAATAATGCTTAACAAGATCTAAGCCCTGTCTGACTCAGTAATGAGAATCCCACGTAAATGCCTCGCCAAGAAAACTACATGTAACTCTTCTCCTTAGTTTGGAATCTCAGAAATCTTAGTTTTAAGGCCACCGACCTACATGTACCCCCAAGCCATCATTCCTTCCTTCTCAATGGGATGATTAAAATAATTCTTACAAAAGCATCCACATCAAGTACATACCGGTAAATGTCTACATTTTTATTTGTTAAGCATCTAATATCAGACTCCTTCCTGTGTCATCGTATCGTCTATGTTGAGCCACAAGGGCCTTAACTCTTAATTATTGCCTTGTGGTTAAAAAAAGAAAGAATACACTGTGAGATACAATAACTGTATGTCACAATATTCTATACATGTACAATATACCTATGCAACCAGTATATATTGGGCAAGATCTGACCAGCATATAGGGTGAAAGTGAAGCCCATTTTAATAATAATAATAATAATGGTGGCTTCTTATATAGCGCACATGTCCGTCACGTTGTGACACTCCTGGCGCTGCCCTGATTATTACCCTGGCTTTAGCAAGGCGGCTATTACGGCGCTCTATCATTTCAAGGAATTGTTAGTACAAAAACTCACATGTATTTACCAATAACTAATACATTTTATGAAGCAAAATGGATCCATTCCATACCTGATTGCCATTTCAAGGAATTGTTAGTACAAAAACTCACATGTATTTACCAATAACTAATACATTTTATGAAGCAAAATGGATCCATTCCATACCTGATTGCCAGGACAAGCGCATCCTGCAGTACAGTTCTCCAGGAGGCAGTCTGTTCCAGACTGGATATCAGCGCAGGTAAGAGGGCACCTATTAGCACAGTCACTAGCAACCAGCTCACCCTCACATACAGCTTCATGAAAAAAAAAAATAATAGATCGGTAAAGAAATTGTGTTCTAAATAGACATTCAATGGTTCCAAAGAAAGTAGATCATCATTGTCATCATTATCATTGTCATCGTCATCTTTGTCATCATCATCATCATCATCAGCATCATCATCATCATTTATCACATCTAGCATGATGCGACTTTCGATATGCTGTGCATCTGATGGAGTTCCTCATCACTCCCTTGCCCCAGACACCACAAGAATCTATATCTCCTTCTCTTGTTGTTGCTCCCCACTTGCTTCATCATATTTGTCTTTCCCATATAAATTGGCCTACAAATAAAACCAACTTGTTTCTTCCTAAAATAATATACATATACTAATTAAGGTTCATACAGGTGCATTGCAATTTTTCATGAATGGTATTTGAATCCAAATGAACAATGAAATAGAGGATTAAAATCCCATACTTGAATGTTATAAGAGTACATGCTGTAGTTACGATAATTGTTTGTAGTGGCATAAAAGGGATGTAACTATTGCTTTCAGGAAGCGGGTGGCTCTAGGATTGAAGCCTGTGATGATGAAAGAATTCAGTAGTCTAGGGTTTAAATGACAAAAGCCAGGGTAATGATATGATTGCAGGGCCCTCAGGGAAAACAGTATGAATACTGATAAGACTACCCTGGGTAAAAAGACATAATATAATTAATAATAATAGTGGGTTCATGTATAGTGCTCATGTCTGTCAGACTCGACACTCCTGGCACTTCCGATTATTACCCTGGCTTTAGCACGGCTGCCATTACCGCGCTCTAGCATTTCAAGGAATTAATTCCTGCAAGGTACCCATTTACATCACCTGGGTTGAGTGTGGCAAATGTAGATCAATGTCTTGCCAAAGGACATTAGTGCCTTGTGATCGACAATCCGGTGACATATCCACTCAACCACGACACCTCTATGATTACTATTATTTGGCACTCTGTTCCAAAGATAATATAAATACCATACATTCAGTCTCCTACTTACGTCCACAAGGCTCCATGTTACAGCCCCTAGATTCCAGAAGTGATCCATTGCATGGAGTGCCTCCATAGGCAGCAGGCACGGTGATGTTACGATGGCGCCTGGTAGTACCTCCATCACAGAGGGCGCTGCAGTTAGTCCACTCTGTCCATTCACTGAGTACACAGTCCACTGGAGAGCAAGCAGAATAGGTTTAAGGCATGTACTCTTATCTAGTGGAATACTTCAACAAAAGTTGAAATACATACAATACTATACTGCGCTATTTGTATAAGAGTAGCGGGAAACTCTGGTGAAGTGGTCCACCTGGACATCCTAATCAGAGACCCAAGGGTTACAATGATTCAGTTGGCTTTTCGCCTCCCAGGCACAGGTAACGCCAAATACTTAATAATAATAATAATACTGCACCAGCAGATGGGAGCAGTGATAACCCTACAATGAAGTTTGCTTTTTTTTTCCCCCTCTTCTTTATACTACATTATAACTCTGCATTGATTCTGTTTTAGTCTAATGAAATCTCTTATACGGTATGTGAAACTACGATTCATGTTTACTGTGTAATGCTTAAAGTGTTATAATGAGAGCGATAAAGGGGAAAAAGGTACACACATCTAGAATAGATTACTGTTTCAAGATGGAACAGTAAATAGGGAAAATATGTTTTTGTAGTATTTCATAAAATGCACTCTTCTTTATATGGACTGTATTTCTGGTACCAATATACTCTTGAAGGTCCACTTCACAGGTTTCAACTTTAAATAGGGGATGATGTCTAGAACCACTTGAGTAAACTTCAGACCTGATTGGTAGGACATTAAGCTAGTGGAGCATTCCAGCCAGGCGTCATTTTTACAAGCACACCCTTGCTAACCTAAGCACATTTTAGCTTTCGCATATCCTACCAGGTACCCATTTAACACCTGGGTGGAGAATGGTAAATATAGATCAATGTCTTGCTAAAGGACATTAGTGCTGTGGCGGGACTCGAACCGAGGTCCTCATGATCCACAGCCCGACGACTTATCCACTAGGCCAAAACACCTCTACATGTTAATAAATAAGTGTGGTAATTGCCCTGCCTATGTGTCTTACCTGGGCAGGGGTGTACATTGCAAGCAGTAGTCTCTGCACCAGGCCCCTGGCATTCCTCTCCCCCATCCTGGGGCTCTGGACAGCCACAGACTCTGCTTCTGTTATGATACCCTCCAGCACAGAGCTCTGTACAGTCACTCCACGGCTTCCACTCGCACCATTCACCATCAGCTATGGAAGATCAAAAAAATTTATATATATTTCATTTATTTATTTCATTTATTTAGATTTAAAAAGACATATAAATATAAATGACTCAAAGGTCCAAGGACCAAGACTGATCATGTTTACAAATTAATAATACAATAAAGTTATAGATACAGTAGTGAGCCAAACAGACAGATATACATGTAACAAGTACAAGATGGCAATAAAGATTATTAGACACGTACGTAGCATACAATTTGATGAAATGTTTTAGTAAACCTTGCCTGGCTATGATTCATGAACACTTATGCAGCTAAATAACTGAATCACAACCTATACAACTTCAACATTTATAATTTTTAAAAGTTTCTGGCAGTGAAAATCGGGTTTGTTTACGATTCATGAAATGTTCTGGTTTCACAGTAGAACTTGCATTTTCATGGACTCCAGCCATAGTTATGTATTCAATCAGTTAACTCCACGGTTCCCATTCATCCATTCACCAGCTTATATTTTGCCCTAATCAGAAGCAGATTCAGATGGAGGGGAGAAAAGGGTTAGGGGGGAGGAAGGGAGTAGTTTTGAAGAAGAGTGAGCTACTCTTCTTCATTTGGCCAACGTACATCCCAGTAAGACTCATCAAAGTTACATATAAATGGCGTATTGAGGATATCAGTTTTGTACACATTATTTGTTGTAAGGCTTGAAGAAGATTATGTTTGTCAGAAGCACCTTTCACTTAATAATAATAATAATAATACATGAGATTTATATAGCGCCATTATCCATTTTAATTTAATGCATCATTATATGAGTGAAACTGTTCCCATAAAAAAGAGAGAGGTCACTGAGGGAGGTAAATGCATAAAGTACTTTTCTATCAAGCTTTCGTACAAAAAAAAAATCACTTCTTAAAGGTAATACAAAGTTTTGGTATGGGGTCATGAATTATGAACACATTGGAAGCAAATGCGATCCTACAATATATAGTGATCGTTGTCGTGGTTGAAATCAAGTCTAAAGTTATGAAATTGTAAATAATATACTCTTTATGCTGTATAGCTCCCTCTCTAGGTCAATATATTATTTCAGCCATAAAACAATGTTTGAAATTATATATCACAATTACATATTCTGAGATTTTCATGGTCGTAGCTAAGCACTATTTGAAATTTTCAAAATTTCAAAATTTCCCAAAACTTTGGTTTACCTTTAATCTATACTGACCTCTCCAAAGTACAGATAGGTAAAACACTATAGCTACATGTATGATAACAAAAGCTGGACTCACTTGGACATGGGTCTGTATTACAACCCTCCATCTCCAAGGCATCACCCTCGCATCCTTGTCCTCCGTTGCTAGGGGCGGGCATGGAGCAGGACCGCGTCCTCACCGTTATGCCATCACCACACGTCGCATTGCATGAGGACCAGGGTGACCACTGAGACCAGTTCCCGTCACAGGTGTTGTTGGTGCACACGACTGTTCCATCCTTACAGGTGCTACAATGGAAAGTTGTAAGAAAGGATTTCGCAATCTACCGGTATATCAAAGCATTCAACACTGTTGCAGAGAGAGATAGTTGCCTTGTACACCTCATATATTGATATTTCTTTAGCTCATGAATTAGTAATTATGTGTAATTTTTGTTGTTTTATTATTGCAAAGCGCATTGATATTTTCTCTGAAGATGAAATGCGCTATAGAAGCCGAGGTTATTATCATCATTATTATTATATAAGATAATGTTTTGGTCTGGTCATGAAAAGAAAATTGGAATGAAACTTTTTACAAGGTCTCATATAGTTTTAATCTATACTCTAAAATTAAAAGACATACCAGATGAGAACAAGATATTTTGATGTTCCATCCATGATTTGTATTTTGAACTTCAATTGTGAATACTTGACACTACAAACTGAGGCCAATGCCAAACTCGACATCTGATATACATGTTCAAGAAAGTGCATTAAAATTCATGCAAATACTGGTAAGCAAGTATTCTTAAGTGTAGAATAGGCGGAGTCATGTAAGCACAATTACCAAACATACAGGTAATCATTCGTATTTATTTCAAGTCACATACAGTACGTACCAATTATTACAGAGGTCTTGTGATACCAGAGCACCATTATCATAGGTGGTTCCACCCACAGTGCAGTTGGTAGGGCAGGAGTCAAGGTCACATGTCACTTCCTCTGATGCAACCCCTTCACATTCTGCACCTCCATGCTGAGCTGGAGGGTTGTTAGGAGACCTGAGATTGTAAAGCGATGGATGAAATATATAGGCATATAATAATAATAATAATAATACTCAGTTTTTATGTAGCGCTCATTACAAATTTGGAGATTATTACCCCGGCTTTAGCTGTGCTGCCATTACGGCGCTCTATCATTTCAAAGAATTAATTCCTGCCAGGTACCCATTTACATCACCTGGGTTGAGTGTGGCAAATGTAGATCAATGTCTTGCCAAAGGACATTGGTGCCGCGGCGGGTCTCGAACCGCGGACCTTGTGATCGACAGTCCGGTGACTTAACCACTCAACCACGGCACCTCTGCATGTACATGTATGATCCGCGAGTTTCCGCGAGTTTCTGGATGCCAATATGATGGATATGCACATTATTTGACATCTATTGTGAAATGGCCCTCACCCTAGCTAGCTGCACTTTCCCATGATCAACATCATTAGCTTTGCCATACTTTTCATCATCATCATCCCCACTGTAAATGTTATCATGATCATCATCATCAATGGTCTACCCAACATCCCTCCTCCTGGAATTCATCATCATCATTACCATCATCATCTTTATGTTAATGCATCGTTCTCATTCTCATCATCATCACTGTCACCATCAATAATATCATCATAGTTGCCTTAATGCTCATCATCATCATCATCTTCACTGATTGCACTAATTCTGCAATCGATCTCACAGTCATCTTGTTCCCATGGTTACCTAAACCTGGTCTTGGTCCCGTCACCACATGTAGCAGAACATCCAGTCCAGCTAGACCAGCTACTCCAGCTGCAGTTCACAGGGCAAGCCTCCTCATTGCAAGTCACCACTCCATTTACACATGAGCTGTAGAGGCCGGGCAAAGAAAACAGATGCTATTATTTTATTCAACATCTTCACGAATTCAGTTTAAATGTTACAGGTATCTTTAATAACAAAATGTTATTCAACTATTACAACTAACATTTAGCAGATCAGAAGAAGCAATGTAAATATTGCTTTATTTCTGTATTAATTATAATGAATGAACAAGTTAACTCAGCCATAAACAAAGAAGAAAAATTGTTCCATGAAAAGAATTATATCACTATATTTATGGTATATTTATAGGATGAAGAGGTTGATGCTTGTGCCCAGAAACCAATGGAGTAATGACACTCACTTCATTTGGGGTATGAACTCGGCCTGAACTATCGTTGTACCATTTACCGTAAAACCAAAAACTTTCGCAGAGGACAGTCTTTTTCATAGCAAGAAACTTTTGCAAATTATAATAATCTAGTGCGCTGTTAATTGTGATTCCACTGCACGAAACTTTGATGAATCTAAATAATTCACAACATCTGCAAACATTTCATGCACACAAATGTTCAGGGAATTAAAGTAGTCAAACTTGAGTGTCAAGTAACGCCTGGCTGGAATGCTCCCCAGCGAGTGGAGAATGTGCACAGTGTGTGCGGGGGCAAGCACTGAATCCAATGACCGGGTAATAGTACATCTGTAAAGCACTTTAGAGACATTGTACTAAGCGCTATATAAAAGCGGAATATTATCATTGTTATTATTAATACATGTATTAGACGAGGGAGCTTCAATTAAACCTACCAATTCCTGCAGTCTTCAGTGAAGCTTGAACCAGGGGGATAAGAGTCCCCGTACTCATCTAGACAATCACACTGCTCCTGCGGTACACACACTCCTCCCTGCTCCAGCGTGCCGTTAGGGCAGTGACACCCGGCAACGCATCCCTCCTCCTCCACGCAGACCAGTCCAACCTGGAGGTCTGCACAGCTGGAAGGACATCTATTGGCACAGGTGGTGTAGATACGCCCTCCTTCGCATTTTGTTTCTAACGAGGGGATAAAAAAGTGAATGAAAACGGTCAGAGAGTAGAGATGAAAGAGAAAGAAATTACACAATGCCACCCAAAATAGTAGCTTTAAGTTAGTAAATATAAAAAAAGCTACATCTGGAGCAAACTTACAGACTAGATTTTGAAAAAGTGTATTTTGACTAGGAAAACTTTGTAGCAGGCACGTAGCGAGAGTTTGATGTTTGGGGGGGCACATACATGTAATCGATCGAGGTAAAAAAAAAAGGGGTCCAAAAAAGTTCAACCGATCATGGAAATTTTTGGGGGACATCCCCCCCCCTCCCCCGTGGCTACGTGCCTGCTGTGTAGACATGGCCATCTTCACGTAATGCTGTTAATTATGGTATGACAAAAGAGATTCACAATAGAAGATTGAAGGTTCAAGTTCCACTGTGATACAGGAATCTGCTTCCAACTGGTGTTATGTGACATATAATTTAAAAATACATGGTTATTTGTGTCCAGATTAAGAAAGGCATCACAGAAAAGTAGAATAGATTATGAATGCGCATGTGTGTGTTCAAACATGAGAGGGTAGGGGAGGGGATAAAAACAAAAGATGATTTGGGGATCTAGCTATAATGAAAGATACAGAAAATCGAAGCATTATATGCTTATATTATATTATTTGCTGTGGCTTTTCTTTTAAATGTTTTCTGAAATAGCCTTTAGAACAGAAGCTCACCACATTCCTGCGGGTTGCAGACAGTCGTCTGGATGACCTCCCCCACACATGGTGCACCGCCGTTCTTGGGGGCAGGGTTAGAACAATTTCGATAGCGGAACGAGGTGCCTCCATTACAAGTCTTATCACATGTTGTCCATTCATTCCAAGGGGACCAGTTTCCATTTGCTAATATTAAAGGAAGAGGAAAGCACCATCATCGGTTAATCATAAAAAAAAGACATGAACCAGAATGTAGGCAATGTCATTGTTTGAATTATAAAATGACCGTGAACATCTTAACAAGCATCAATCTTTCCTATGAGGACCAATTTTATAACATATATGCCATACCGTATGTATGTTTTATGGCCCATGATTCGGTGAAAGGCATTGATCTCTGTTAAGTCACAATACGTGTAAAAAATTCAGAAAGCCTTGTTCATTCCTTAATGGAGTCTTAACCCTCATGAACTGCATTTTCACACATATACATGTATATAAACTTGCAAACATGAATCATTTGTAAATTTCTTCTGCAAAAGGAAGTTCTATATCCGATACATAATCATTATGAAATGACCGTACTTAGACAAGCATCCGTATTGCAGTACTCTACTTGATGAGAGTCTGAAACCTCATTCCCACAATAGCTGTTTGCAGAGGTCCTGTCCTGTACCGTATGTATGTTTTATGGCCCATGATTCGGTGAAAGGCATTGATCTCTGTTAAGTCACAATACGTGTAAAAAATTCAGAAAGCCTTGTTCATACCTTAATGGAGTCTTAACCCTCATGAACTGCATTTTCACACATATACATGTATATAAACTTGCAAACATGAATCATTTGTAAATTTCTTCTGCAAAGGGTAGTTCTATATCCGATACATAATCATTATGAAATGACCATATTCTTTTAGAACCTACTTGGACAAGCATACGTATTGCAGTACTCTACTTGATGAGAGTCTGAAACCTCATTCCCACAATAGCTGTTTGCAGAGGTCCTGTCCCTGTACTTGGTCCCAACACCACATGTCACTGTACATGTAGACCAGTCACTCCATGGGTTCCAGGAACAGCTTGGTCCTAGTCAAATGACAAAGCATCACAGAAAATAATGATAATATGTATTACAAATTGAGATTCTATTGAAGAGCAGCAGCTATTAGCGGAGGTCCCATTCCGTTTGATCCCAACACGACATGTAAACAAGTCACTCCAGGGGTTCCAGGAACAGCTTGGTCCAATGAAAAACCATCAGGTTGAACAATGACGATGTGAATTGTGATGGATTTTAGATCATGTTTACTATGGATGAAGATTGATTTGACTATTACATTACTGGATATTTGTCCACATTATAAGTATGCAAAACAAATGCTAGGAATGGTGAAATTACATCTACTCCAACCCTCCCCCCCCCCCCCCCAAAAAAAAATAAAAATAAAAAAATAAAATAAAATAAAATAAAATCCTCCTAAATTTTGGGATGTGCCTTGTAAACAATAGTGCTTTATGGAATGAAATTTACAGTACATTTATAATATTTTTAATGTTAAAGTCAATTGGTGATGAAAACACTGTATCTTACCTGTTGTAGTTTCTTCTGTCGTATACGCGGATGTTAGCTCCACAGTAGTGTAGGACAATGTTGTGGTACTACCTAAATTTCGTACAATAAATAAAGAAAAATGTATTATAAAATTCTGGAAAGAGAATTTAAAATGGTTACCAATTTGGATAATTAATAACACATTACAAAAAGGTCTGGTAAACATATACAATTTATGGTGTTATTAGTGATAGAAAGAGAATGACATTGTGTATTGCAAATCTTTAGATTTATGTTATAAGACACAAGGATAATTCTATACTGTAATAAAAAAAAGTACAGCCAGTGATAAGCAGTATGATATGAAAACTTTACTAGAATTTGCATAAGATCTAAAGGTCCAGATGAGTTTGGGCAATTAAACATATCAAGGGGTCAGTGACACAATGACGTAACTCCATTTTGAGAAAAAGTGGTTTATATGTGTCACTGAGCCCTTTTTCTGAACGTTTTGATATCAAATACTCATTTTGGCAAAATATGGAGCTACGTCTTTGTGTCACTGAACCCTCGATATTTGAGAATTAAACTCTTTATAATCATTATAAAACTTTCATGATAAGACTGGAGTACTACTGCAATATCGAAAGCAGTGAGTCATATCGACAAATGGTTTGAGAAATAACACTGTGAAATGAACTGTAAATCTTCAAATTTATACTGGAACATTGCTCCCACCTCAAATGAAGTGAGTAAGACAGACAGACATACAGAAAAACGTGGCAATGTACAAACATACCACACATGGCCTCATCTGAACAGTCAGCACAGTCACAGGTTCCTTGGCAGACCTTATCTCCTGACACACAGGCTCCATCATTACAAGTAAACTCATCGTTGAAGCACTGGCGTGTGGTGACAATTGGAACTGTTGGGGTGGGGCCTGTAAAAGAAAGAGAGAGAAAAAAAAAATAGATTTATCATCCCGCTCCTAACACCATCCTACTCCTGTCATCATCCCACACTTGACATTACTTCACTCCTGACAACATCCCATGTTTAACACATCCCACTCCAGACACCAGTCCCATCTTGACACCATCCAACCCCAAACACAATCCAGCTATTGACACCATATCACCCATTACATCATCCCACTCCTAACACCATCTCACTCCTGACACAACCCCACACACCATCCCACTTTTAACACACCCCACTCCTGATATCAAGCCACTAACACCATCCCACTCCTAACACCAATCCCATCCTGACACCATCCAACTCCAAACACAATCCAGCTATTGACACCATATCACCCATTACATCATCCCACTCCTAACACCATCTCACTCCTGACACAACCCCACACACCATCCCACTTTTAACACACCCCACTCCTGATATCAAGCCACTAACACCATCCCACTCCTAACACCAATCCCATCCTGACACCATCCAACTCCAAACACAATCCAGCTATTGACACCATATCACCCATTACATCATCCCACTCCTAACACCATCCCACTCCAGACACAATCTCACACCATCAAACTTTTAACACATCCCACTCCTGATATCAAGCCACTAACACCATCCCACTCCTAACACCAATCCCATCCTGACACCATCCAACTCCAAACACAATCCAGCTATTGACACCATATCACCCATTACATCATCCCACTCCTAACACCATCCCACTCCAGACACAATCTCACACCATCAAACTTTTAACACACCCCACTCCTGATATCAAGCCACTAACACCATCCCACTCCTAACACCAATCCCATCCTGACACCATCCAACTCCAAACACAATCCAGCTATTGACACCATATCACCCATTACATCATCCCACTCCTAACACCATCCCACTCCAGACACCATCTCACACCATCAAACTTTTAACACATCCTACTCCTGATATCATGCCACTAACACCATCCCACTCCTGACACTAGTCCCATCCTGACACCATCCAACTCCAAACACAATCAAACTATTGACACCATATTACCCATTACATCATATCGTCTTTGTTTTCACGAAGTGACGGTAGTGAGGAAAATCGTAACGCAAAGTGAATGCAATTTTTTTTCACTACCGTCACTTCGTGAAAACAGCGACGATATCTCTCCTAACACCATCTCACTCCTGACACCATCTCACTCCTGAAAGAATTCTACAGTCACCATCCCAATTTTAACACATTCCATACCTGACATCCTTCTACTCCTGACACAATCACACTCCTGACACCATCCCACACCATCCCGACTGGCGACTCTAAACACAATCAAAATATTGACACCATTCCACTCCTAACACAATATCACTCCAGGCATTACCTCACTCCTGAAGCAATCCTACACCATCCCACTTTTAGCACATCCAACTTCAGACACCAGTCCCATCCTGACACTATCCCACTCCTGACACCATCCCACTCCTCATATTCCCATTCCTAACATCCTATCACAATCTGCCAGTAATTGACAGCATTGGAATTAAACTAACCTTCTAGATCACATCCAATGAGCTCCAGCCTCATGGTGGGACGACTGTTATACTCCACAGGATAGATGCGGATGTAACGCCCCAGAAGACTCACTGGGAACAGTATCTCATTCTCAGTATCAGCATCAGAACTACCATGGAATATCTGAACAGCAAAAAGAACAAACAGGGACCTGTTTCACAAAGCCTTTTTTCAATGACAAATGACTAAAAGCAGTGATAAATCTGCTGATAACCAATCAGAAGCAAGGATTTCAGTAGCTTATAACAAAAACTGTCATTTGTCACTGATGACAAGTTTTATGTAGCCCCCAGAACAGACATATTGCAATATGCATTATGTAGGGGCGATGGGGGTGTCAGTACACATGAATCAGGCTTCAGTCCTCACCAGCCTTACATACTTTTTTGTGGGAGAGTCATCATAAATTGCCACTCCATACACAGATCAGAGAATAAAGATTTCATAGGAAATGTTGATACCCAATGGAATAGAGTTTCTGGTATTACATAGAGGGATGTTCAGTAGTAGGAGTAGCTGTTTGTCGCGAAGCGACAATGATCGCCTTCATTTTCACTTTACAGCTGTTCTCTATACAGCTCGCTGGCCTGCAGCAGTTGTCCAAGTCTTGATTTTAATTTGCCTCCGCTTAAGGTTCCGCTTGATCGTGTCCTTGTAGCGAAGCCGTGGTTGACCAGTTGTGAGAATAGTACTTGCTTTGGTAACCTTTCAGAGGGCATCCTGATGACATGGCCTGTAGTACCCTTGTAATAATGACATGTTCAGTAGTACCCTTTACAAAAATACTAGTTAGACCTTTGCACAATCATTTTGAGATCAAAGTTACAGATAACCCTTTACAAAAATAAAAGATAGTTGCAAATAAAAACGATCCTTACCATAATTTGTCCACTTGGTGCTGTGACATTCAGAAAGTTACTCTCATCTAGGCTGAAAGCCACTGCAAAGGTTGTCACAAATTCATCTCCCTCACGTCCACCACCCTGAAGAATGACCCCTGACACCTGCTTTATCTGCTCGAGGTCAAAGGTCACAAATGGCGTGGTGTCAGCGGGATCTGGTGACCAACCCACATAGCCATCTGTGTTTGGTCCACTGTTCAGACGGATGCTGTCCAAAGAGCTGCTTTCCTGCACAGATGTGGCATTGATGTTTTCCAGCTCTATGGTGCCGCTCTCGAGTCCCAGTGGCTCATGGCAGTTGGAAGCAACTGCCAATGTTTAACAACGAGATGGAAAAATTATTCCTCCAAGATATCTTCAGGAAAATTCACGACATTTAAGGCTACAATTTATACAATGTTAGATTCAGTTTTGTCAAAGGTTCCATGTGGGTTTAAGTATATATCATGCTTTAGGTGTGACTATCGAACTTTCCAATTAATGAATTTTTCTGCCTAGAAAATAGGATTTCTCATGACTCTAATATTGTGATCTGGTCAGTTTACTTGTATTCAGTTCTACTTCTTTTTCATGTGATTACAAAGGCTAAGTTAAGAAAAAATACAAATCTGTTAACAAATGGTCGAAACTATTCTATGTGTAAGAGCATTTTCATGTTTGGCCGATAAAAACATGGGAACTTTATTGACATGATTTTTAACGGTAAATTTAAACTTTATAACCATTTCCTGGAACCATGAATGCAAAACCATAGTTTTAATGCATAGTGATATTGGGATATAGAGCTAGTACAATCCCCTACCCTTCAGTAGCCTAAATAATAGCAATAGTATTATACAGAGAAGTTGGATTATACATGTACTTAGTTGCAATGCACCAATATCACCCAGAACAATGCCTTTGGTATTAAGGTGCCACAATTCACTGAGCTTCATGATTGGCACATGTCCCTTCACACCCAACATTCTTTAATTTTGCCTTGTTATAAATGGCCGTGATTAGACTGAAAAAAATCCCAACCACTTATGGATTACCTGTGGTAGTTGCCTCACTACTGGTCATCGTCAACTCTGTTGTTGGTTTCGTGGTAGTACTTGTGGTATACAAGACGGTCGTAGCATTCTGGCTGAATGTTGTAGAATACATTGTGGTGGTGACTTCAGTTGTAGGGATTGATGGCATTGTCGTCGGCAAAGTTGAATACACGCCTTGTGTTGTTGTTGCGGACCTTGTAGGTGATGTTGAAACGATTGAAGGTGTAGTCGTCACAACTGCAGAAAGAGAGCGGAAGCAAATTTGTGCAATTTTTTTAAATGAATGTCCTCTGACCATGTAATTCCAAGTTTGCATCAGTCATTCACATCCTTATTGATGTGGCCTTACTTGGAAATCTACCTTTGACTTAAATTATTTTCTGAAAGAGTGTTTATAGATATGATGTATTGGATTAAAACTGATTCAATTGTAGATGTATTTCATTTAAAGAACAAACAAAACATTTTTCATTTTAATATGTAATCAGGCAAGAGAGTAAAACATGTCAAAGAATTTCGTATGACTGCCCAGTAAATAACAAAATTCTGTCAGCATTCATGAACTCACCACATCCCCTTTCATCAGAATAATCTCCACAGTCATTGAAGCCATTGCAGAGTTGACTATCAGGACCGCTAAGGACACATTTGCCATTATCACACTGAAACTGGCCAACTTGACAGGTTGTAGGCATCGTTCCTGTTGATGTTATAATTTCAGTTGTGGTTATTGACTTTGATGGGGTAGTCACTGCTGGTGTAGTCACAGCTGGTGTAGTCACAGCTGGCGTTGTCACTGCAAGAGTGGTTACCTCTGGTGTAGTAACTTCTGGTGTCGTTACTGCTGCAGTTGTTACTGTTTGTGTTGTCGCAGCTTTTGTAGTCACTGCTGGAGTTGTCACTGAAGGAGTGGTACGTGCTGGAGTAGTCACTGCTGGTGTAGTTATTGCCATTGTTGTCAAAGCTGGTGTTGTTACTGCTTTTGTAGTCACAGCTGGTGTTGTCACTGATGGGGTTGTCACTGATGGGGTTGTTACTGCTGGAGTAGTCACTTCAGGAGTGGATAACTCAGGTACGGTATAAACTGGAAGTGTCGTTGTATGACCTTTTTCAAGTATTTCTGTGACGACTGCTGGTGTGGTAACTTCTGGTGAAGTCACTGCTGGTGTTGTTACTGAAGGAGTGGTTACCCCTGGAGTAGTAACAGCTGGTGTAGTAATCGCCTGTGTCGTCACAGGAGTGGTTACTGCTGTTGTAGTCAACGCTGGTGTAGTCATGGCTGGTGTAGTCATAGCTTGTGTAGTCACAGCTGGGGTTGTCAAAGCTGGTGTAGTCACAACTGGTGTAGTCACTACCGCAGTTGTTACTGCTGGTGTTGTAACTGCAGAGGATGTCACTGCTGGGGTAGTTTGAACTTCAGTTGAATAAACTTGAGGTGATGATGAAGGTGTAATGTATCCAGTCGTTTGCATTTCAGTGGTATACACTGTTGTCACTTCTGTAGTCGATTGAGAAGCAGAAGTTGCCATTGGACTTGTGCTTACAGTAGGTGGTTGCAATGTAGTTTCAGTAACTACAAAAGGTGTAGTAACAGTGTAACTTGTTGGAGTTGCAAGAGAGGTACTTTCTATTTCAGTTATAATCCTGGGAGATGGTGTTTGTGAGGTTGTATGAATTGTGATCTCTTTTGTTGTTTCATACGCTGTAGTGGAATAAGCTTCTGGCGTTGTGACAGCATTGGTAGTGACTGCAGGTGTAGTAATTGCATGTGTTGTCACTGCTGGTGTAGTTACTTCAGATGTGGTAACTTCAGGCATAGTATAAACTGGAAGAGTTGTTGTGTGACCCTTTTCAAGTATTTCAGTGACCACTGATGGCGTTGTCACTGCTGGAGTTGTCACTGCTGGTGTGGTAACTGCTGGTGTTGTAACTTCTTTGGTTGTTACTGCTGGTGTTGTCATAATTGGAGTAGTTACAACTGGTGTTGTCATAATTGGAGTAGTTACAACTGGTTTTGTAACTTCCTGGGTTGTTACTGCTGGAGTGGTTAATGCTTGTGTAGTCACAGCTGGTGTAATCACAGCCGGTGTAGTAATTGCTGGTGTTGTTACTGCAGGTGTAGTCACTGCTTGAGTTGTCACTGCTGGTGTGGTAACTGATGGTGTTGTAACTTCTTGGGTTGTTACTGCTGGTGTTGTCATAACTGGTGTAGTTACCACTGGTGTTGTCAACGCTGGTGTAGTTACTGCAAGTGTTGTCAATGCTGGTGTTGTTACTGCAAGTGTTGTCACTGCTTGAGTTGTCACTGCTGGAGTTGTCACTGCTGGTGTGGTAACTGCTGGTGTTGTAACTTCTTGGGTTGTTACTGCTGGAGTGGTTAATGCTTGTGTAGTCACAGCTGGTGTAGTCACAGCCAGTGTAGTAATTGCTGGCGTTGTTACTGCAAGTGTAGTCCCTGCTTGAGTTGTCACTGCTGGAGTTGTCACTGCTGTTGTGGTAACTGCTGGTGTTGTCACTGCTGGAGTGGTTAATGCTTGTGTAGTCACAGCTGGTGTAGTCACAGCTGGTGTAGTCACAGCCGGTGTAGTAATTACTGGTGTTGTTACTGCAAGTGTAGTCACTGCTTGAGTTGTCACTGCTGGAGTTGTCACTGCTGTTGTAGTAAATGCTGGTGTTGTCACTGTTGGAGTGGTTAATGCTTGTGTAGTCACAGCTGGTGTAGTCACAGCCGGTGTAGTAATTGCTGGCGTTGTCACTGAAAGAGTAGTTACTGCTGGTGTTGTTACTACTAGTGTTGTAGGTGAAGGAGTTGTAACTGCAGAGGATGTCACTGCTGGGGTAGTTTGAACTTCAGTTGAATAAACTTGAGGTGATGATGAAGGTGTAATGTATCCAGTCGTTTGCATTTCAGTTGTATACACTGTTGTCACTTCTGAAGTCGATTGAGAAGCAGAAGTTGCCATTGGACTTGTGGTTACAGTAGGTGGTTGCAATGTAGTTTCAGTAACTACAAAAGGTGTAGTAACTGTGTAACTTGTTGGAGTTGCAAGAGACGTACTTTCTATTTCAGTTATAATCCTGGGAGATGGTGTTTGTGAGGTTGTATGAATTGTGACCTCTTTTGTTGTTTCATACGCTGTAGTTGAATAAGCTTCTGGCGTTGTGACAGCATTGGTAGTGACTGCTGGTGTACTAATTGCATGTGTTGTCACTGCTGGTGTAGTTACTTCAGATGTGGTAACTTCAGGAATAGTATATACTGGAAGAGTTGTTGTGTGACCTTTTTCAAGTATTTCAGTGACCACTGATGGCGTTGTCACTGATGGAGTTGTCACTGCTGGTGTGGTAACTGCTGGTGTTGTAACTTCTTGGGTTGTTACTGCTGGTGTTGTCATAATTGGAGTAGTTACCACTGGTGATGTTACCGCTGGTGTTGTTACTGCAAGTGTTGTCACTGCTTGAGTTGTCACCGCTGGAGTTGTCACTGCTGGTGTGGTTACCGCTGTTGTTGTTACTGCTGGTGTTGTCATAATTGGAGTAGTTACCACTGGTGATGTTACCGCTGGTGTTGTTACTGCAAGTGTTGTCACTGCTTGAGTTGTCACCGCTGGAGTTGTCACTGCTGGTGTGGTTACCGCTGTTGTTGGGACAGCTGGTGTAGTTACTGCTGGAGTAGTCACTGCTTGTGTGGTCACAACTGGGGTTGACACAGCTGGTGTAGTCACAACTGGTGTAGTAATTGCTGGTGTAGTAATCGCTGGAGTTGTCACTTCTTGGGTAGTCAAGGCTGGTGTAGTAATAGCTAGAGTTGTCACTTCTTGGGTAGTCACAGCTGGTGTAGTAATTAATGGAGTTGTCACTTCTTGGGTAGTCAAAGCTGGTGTAGTAATAGCTGGTGTTGTCACTGAAGGAGTGGTTACCGCAAGAGTAGTTAATGCTTGTGATGTCACAGGTGATGTTGTCACTGCTACAGAAGTAACTGCTGGTGTTGTCACAGCTGGTGTGGTTATTGCTCGAGTAGTCACAGCTAGTGTTGTCATAGCTGGTGTAGTCACAGCTGGTGTAGTAATCGCTTGTGTCGTCACAGGAGTGGTTACTGCTGTTGTAGTCAATGCTGGTGTAGTCATAGCTGGTGTAGTCACAGCTTGGGTTGTCAAAGCTGGTGTAGTCACAACTGGTGTAGTCACTACCGCAGTTGTTACTGCTGGTGTTGTTACTGAAAGAGTAGTTACTGCTGGTGTCGTTTGAACTTCAGTTGAATAAACTTCAGGTGATGATGAAGGTGTAATGTATCCAGTCGTTTGCATTTTAGTGGTATACACTGTTGTCACTTCTGAAGTCGATTGAGAAGCAGAAGTTGCCATTGGACTTGTGCTTACAGTAGGTGGTTGCAATGTAGTTTCAGTAACTACAAAAGGTGTAGTAACTGTGTAACTTGTTGGAGTTGCAAGAGAGGTACTTTCTATTTCAGTTATAATCCTGGGAGATGGTGTTTGTGAGGTGGTATGAATTGTGACCTCTTTTGTTGTTTCATACGCTGTAGTTGAATAAGCTTCTGGCGTTGTGACAGCATTGGTAGTGACTGCTGGTGTAGTAATTGCATGTGTTGTCACTGCTGGTGTAGTTACTTCAGATGTGGTAACTTCAGGCATAGTATATACTGGAAGAGTTGTTGTGTGACCTTTTTCAAGTATTTCAGTGACCACTGATGGCGTTGTCACTGATGGAGTTGTCACTGCTGGTGTGGTAACTGCTGGTGTTGTAACTTCTCGGGTTGTTACTGCTGGTGTTGTCATAATTGGAGTAGTTACCACTGGTGATGTTACCGCTGGTGTTGTTACTGCAAGTGTCATCACTGCTTGAGTTGTCACCGCTGGAGTTGTCACTGCTGGTGTGGTTACCGCTGTTGTTGGGACAGCTGGTGTAGTTACTGCTGGAGTAGTCACTGCTTGTGTGGTCACAACTGGGGTTGACACAGCTGGTGTAGTCACAACTGGTGTAGTAATTGCTGGTGTAGTAATCGCTGGAGTTGTCACTTCTTGGGTAGTCAAGGCTGGTGTAGTAATAGCTAGAGTTGTCACTTCTTGGGTAGTCACAGCTGGTGTAGTAATTAATGGAGTTGTCACTTCTTGGGTAGTCAAAGCTGGTGTAGTAATAGCTGGTGTTGTCACTGAAGGAGTGGTTACCGCAAGAGTAGTTAATGCTTGTGATGTCACAGGTGATGTTGTCACTGCTACAGAAGTAACTGCTGGTGTTGTCACAGCTGGTGTGGTTATTGCTCGAGTAGTCACAGCTAGTGTTGTCAAAGCTGGTGTAGTCACAGCTGGTGTAGTAATCGCTTGTGTCGTCACAGGAGTGGTTACTGCTGTTGTAGTCAATGCTGGTGTAGTCATAGCTGGTGTAGTCACAGCTTGGGTTGTCAAAGCTGGTGTAGTCACAACTGGTGTAGTCACTACCGCAGTTGTTACTGCTGGTGTTGTTACTGAAAGAGTAGTTACTGCTGGTGTCGTTTGAACTTCAGTTGAATAAACTTCAGGTGATGATGAAGGTGTAATGTATCCAGTCGTTTGCATTTTAGTGGTATACACTGTTGTCACTTCTGAAGTCGATTGAGAAGCAGAAGTTGCCATTGGACTTGTGCTTACAGTAGGTGGTTGCAATGTAGTTTCAGTAACTACAAAAGGTGTAGTAACTGTGTAACTTGTCGGAGTTGCAAGAGAGGTACTTTCTATTTCAGTTATAATCCTGGGAGATGGTGTTTGTGAGGTGGTATGAATTGTGACCTCTTTTGTTGTTTCATACGCTGTAGTTGAATAAGCTTCTGGCGTTGTGACAGCATTGGTAGTGACTGCTGGTGTAGTAATTGCATGTGTTGTCACTGCTGGTGTAGTTACTTCAGATGTGGTAACTTCAGGCATAGTATATACTGGAAGAGTTGTTGTGTGACCTTTTTCAAGTATTTCAGTGACCACTGATGGCGTTGTCACTGATGGAGTTGTCACTGCTGGTGTGGTAACTGCTGGTGTTGTAACTTCTCGGGTTGTTACTGCTGGTGTTGTCATAATTGGAGTAGTTACCACTGGTGATGTTACCGCTGGTGTTGTTACTGCAAGTGTCGTCACTGCTTGAGTTGTCACCGCTGGAGTTGTCACTGCTGGTGTGGTTACTGCTGTTGTTGGGACAGCTGGTGTAGTTACTGCTGGTGTAGTCATTGCTTGTGTGGTCACAACTGGGATTGACACAGCTGGTGTAGTCACAACTGGTGTGGTAATTACTGGTGTAGTAATCGCTGGAGTTGTCACTTCTTGGGTAGTCGAGGGTGGTGTAGTAATAGCTAGAGTTGTCACTTCTTGGGTAGTCACAGCTGGTGTAGTAATTGCTGGAGTTGTCACTTCTTGGGTAGTCAAAGCTAGGGTAGTAATAGCTGGTGTTGTCACTGAAGGAGTGGTTACCGCAAGAGTAGTTAATGCTTGTGATGTCACAGGAGATGTTGTCACTGCTACAGATGTAACTGCAGGTGTTGTCACAGCTGGTGTGGTTTCTACTGTTGTAGTTACCTTTTGGGTTGTTACTGCTGGAGTTGTCACTGCTGAAGTGGTTATTGCTCGAGTAGTCACAGCTAGTGTTGTCAAAGCTGGTGTAGTCACAGCTGGTGAAGTAATCGCCTGTGTTGTTACAGGAGTGGTTACGGCTGTTGTAGTCAACGCTGGTGTAGTCATAGCTGGTGTAGTCACAGCTTGGGTTGTCAAAGCTGGTGGAGTCACAACTGGTGTAGTCACTACCGCAGTTGTTACTGCTGGTGTTGTCACTTCAAGGGTAGTTACTGCTGGTGTCGTTACTACTAGTGTTGTAGGTGAAGGAGTTGTAACTGGAGAGGATGTCACTGCTGGGGTAGTTTGAAATTCAGTTGAATAAACTTGAGGTGATGATGAAGGTGTAATGTATCCAGTCGTTTGCATTTCAGTGGTATACACTGTTGTCACTTCTGAAGTCGATTGAGAAGCAGAAGTTGCCATTGGACTTGTGTTTACAGTAGGTGGTTGCAATGTTGTTTCAGTAACTACAAAAGGTGTAGTAACTGTGTAACTTGTTGGAGTTGCAAGAGAGGTACTTTCTACTTCAGTTATAATCCTGGGAGATGGCGTTTGTGAGGTTGTATGAATTGTGACCTCTTTTGTTGTTTCATACGCTGTAGTGGAATAAGCTTCTGGTGTTGTGACAGCATTGGTAGTGACTGCTGGTGTACTAATTGCATGTGTTGTCACTGCTGGTGTAGTTACTTCAGATGTGGTACCTTCAGTCATAGTATATACTGGAAGAGTTGTTGTGTGACCCTTTTCAAGTATTTCAGTTGTCACTGACGGCGTTGTCACTGATGGAGTTGTCACTGCTGGTGTGGTAACCACTGTTGTTGGGACAGCTGGTGTAGTTACTGCTGGTGTAGTCATTGCTTGCGTGGTCACTGAAGGAGTGGTTACTGCTGGTGTAGTCACAACTGGCGTAGTTACCACTGGTGATGTCACCGCTGGTGTTGTTACTGAAGGAGTGGTTAATGCTTGTGTAGTCACAGCTGGTGTAGTGATTGCTTGTGTTGTCACTGCTGGTGTAGTTACTTCAGATGTGGTAACTTCAGGCATAGTATATACTGGAAGAGTTGTTGTGTGACCTTTTTCAAGTATTTCAGTGACCACTGATGGCGTTGTCACTGATGGAGTTGTCACTGCTGGTGTGGTAACTGCTGGTGTTGTTACTGCTGGTGTAGTCATTGCTTGCGTGGTCACTGAAGGAGTGGTTACTGCTGGTGTAGTCACAACTGGTGTAGTAATTGCTGGTGTTGTCACTGCTTGAGTTGTTACTGCTGGAGTTGTCACTGCTGATGTGGTTACCGCTGTTGTTGGGACAGCTGGTGTAGTTACTGCTGGTGTAGTAATTGCTGGTGTTGTCACTGAAGGAGTGGTTACTGCTGGTGTAGTCACAACTGGCGTAGTTACCACTGGTGATGTCACCGCTGGTGTTGTTACTGAAGGAGTGGTTAATGCTTGTGTAGTCACAGCTGGTGTAGTGATTGCTTGTGTTGTTACTGCTGGTGTAGTTACTTCAGATGTGGTAACTTCAGGCATAGTATATACTGGAAGAGTTGTTGTGTGACCTTTTTCAAGTATTTCAGTGACCACTGATGGCGTTGTCACTGATGGAGTTGTCACTGCTGGTGTGGTAACTGCTGGTGTTGTTACTGCTGGTGTTGTCATAATTGGAGTAGTTACCACTTGTGATGTTACCGCTGGTGTTGTTACTGCAAGTGTTGTCACTGCTTGAGTTGTCACCGCTGGAGTTGTCACTGCTGGTGTGGTTACTGCTGTTGTTGGGACAGCTGGTGTAGTTACTGCTGGTGTAGTCATTGCTTGTGTGGTCACAACTGGGGTTGACACAGCTGGTGTAGTCACAACTGGTGTGGTAATTGCTGGTGTAGTAATCGCTGGAGTTGTCACTTCTTGGGTAGTCAAGGGTGGTGTAGTAATAGCTAGAGTTGTCACTTCTTGGGTAGTCACAGCTGGTGTAGTAATCGCTGGAGTTGTCACTTCTTGGGTAGTCAAGGCTGGTGTAGTAATAGCTAGATTTGTCACTTCTTGGGTAGTCACTGATGGTGTTGTCACTGCTGGAGTTGTCACTTCTTTGGTAGTCAAAGCTGGTGTAGTAATAGCTGGTGTTGTCACTGAAGGAGTGGTTACTGCAAGAGTAGTTAATGCTTGTGATGTCACAGGAGATGTTGTCACTGCTACAGATGTAACTGCTGGTGTTGTCACAGCTGGTGTGGTTTCTACTGTTGTAGATACCTTTTGGGTTGTTACTGCTGGAGTTGTCACTGCTGAAGTGGTTATTGCTCGAGTAGTCACAGCTAGTGTTGTCAAAGCTGGTGTAGTCACAGCTGGTGAAGTAATCGCCTGTGTTGTTACAGGAGTGGTTACTGCTGTTGTAGTCATAGCTGGTGTAGTCACAGCTTGGGTTGTCAAAGCTGGTGGAGTCACAACTGGTGTAGTCACTACCGCAGTTGTTACTGCTGGTGTTGTCACTTCAAGGGTAGTTACTGCTGGTGTCGTTACTACTAGTGTTGTAGGTGAAGGAGTTGTAACTGCAGAGGATGTCACTGCTGGGGTAGTTTGAAATTCAGTTGAATAAACTTGAGGTGATGATGAAGGTGTAATGTATCCAGTCGTTTGCATTTCAGTGGTATACACTGTTGTCACTTCTGAAGTCGATTGAGAAGCAGAAGTTGCCATTGGACTTGTGTTTACAGTAGGTGGTTGCAATGTAGTTTCAGTAACTACGAAAGGTGTAGTAACTGTGTAACTTGTTGGAGTTGCAAGAGAGGTACTTTCTATTTCAGTTATAATACTGGGAGATGGCGTTTGTGAGGTTGTATGAATTGTGACCTCTTTTGTTGTTTCATACGCTGTAGTGGAATAAGCTTCTGGTGTTGTGACAGCATTGGTAGTGACTGCTGGTGTACTAATTGCATGTGTTGTCACTGCTGGTGTAGTTACTTCAGATGTGGTACCTTCAGTCATAGTATATACTGGAAGAGTTGTTGTGTGACCCTTTTCAAGTATTTCAGTTGTCACTGACGGCGTTGTCACTGATGGAGTTGTCACTGCTGGTGTGGTAACCACTGTTGTTGGGACAGCTGGTGTAGTTACTGCTGGTGTAGTCATTGCTTGCGTGGTCACTGAAGGAGTGGTTACTGCTGGTGTAGTCACAACTGGCGTAGTTACCACTGGTGATGTCACCGCTGGTGTTGTTACTGAAGGAGTGGTTAATGCTTGTGTAGTCACAGCTTGTGTTGTCACTGCTGGTGTAGTTACTTCAGATGTGGTAACTTCAGGCATAGTATATACTGGAAGAGTTGTTGTGTGACCTTTTTCAAGTATTTCAGTGACCACTGATGGCGTTGTCACTGATGGAGTTGTCACTGCTGGTGTGGTAACTGCTGGTGTTGTTACTGCTGGTGTAGTCATTGCTTGCGTGGTCACTGAAGGAGTGGTTACTGCTGGTGTAGTCACAACTGGTGTAGTAATTGCTGGTGTTGTCACTGCTTGAGTTGTTACTGCTGGAGTTGTCACTGCTGATGTGGTTACCGCTGTTGTTGGTACAGCTGGTGTAGTTACTGCTGGTGTAGTAATTGCTGGTGTTGTCACTGAAGGAGTGGTTACTGCTGGTGTAGTAACAACTGGCGTAGTTACCACTGGTGATGTCACCGCTGGTGTTGTTACTGAAGGAGTGGTTAATGCTTGTGTAGTCACAGCTGGTGTAGTGATTGCTTGTGTTGTTACTGCTGGTGTAGTTACTTCAGATGTGGTAACTTCAGGCATAGTATATACTGGAAGAGTTGTTGTGTGACCTTTTTCAAGTATTTCAGTGACCACTGATGGCGTTGTCACGGATGGAGTTGTCACTGCTGGTGTGGTAACTGCTGGTGTTGTTACTGCTGGTGTTGTCATAATTGGAGTAGTTACCACTGGTGATGTTACCGCTGGTGTTGTTACTGCAAGTGTTGTCACTGCTTGAGTTGTCACCGCTGGAGTTGTCACTGCTGGTGTGGTTACTGCTGTTGTTGGGACAGCTGGTGTAGTTACTGCTGGTGTAGTCATTGCTTGTGTGGTCACAACTGGGGTTGACACAGCTGGTGTAGTCACAACTGGTGTGGTAATTGCTGGTGTAGTAATCGCTGGAGTTGTCACTTCTTGGGTAGTCAAGGGTGGTGTAGTAATAGCTAGAGTTGTCACTTCTTGGGTAGTCACAGCTGGTGTAGTAATCACTGGAGTTGTCACTTCTTGGGTAGTCAAGGCTGGTGTAGTAATAGCTAGATTTGTCACTTCTTGGGTAGTCACTGATGGTGTTGTCACTGCTGGAGTTGTCACTTCTTGGGTAGTCAAAGCTGGTGTAGTAATAGCTGGTGTTGTCACTGAAGGAGTGGTTACTGCAAGAGTAGTTAATGCTTGTGATGTCACAGGAGATGTTGTCACTGCTACAGATGTAACTGCTGGTGTTGTCACAGCTGGTGTGGTTTCTACTGTTGTAGATACCTTTTGGGTTGTTACTGCTGGAGTTGTCACTGCTGAAGTGGTTATTGCTCGAGTAGTCACAGCTAGTGTTGTCAAAGCTGGTGTAGTCACAGCTGGTGAAGTAATCGCCTGTGTTGTCACAGGAGTGGTTACTGCTGTTGTAGTCAACGCTGGTGTAGTCATAGCTGGTGTAGTCACAGCTTGGGTTGTCAAAGCTGGTGTAGTCACAACTGGTGTAGTCACTACTGCAGTTGTTACTGCTGGTGTTGTAACTTCAAGGGTAGTTACTGCTGGTGTCGTTACTACTAGTGTTGTAGGTGAAGGAGTTGTAACTGCAGAGGATGTCACTGCTGGGGTAGTTTGAAATTCAGTTGAATAAACTTGAGGTGATGATGAAGGTGTAATGTATCCAGTCGTTTGCATTTCAGTGGTATACACTGTTGTCACTTCTGTAGTCGATTGAGAAGCAGAAGTTGCCATTGGACTTGTGCTTACAGTAGGTGGTTGCAATGTAGTTTCAGTAACTACAAAAGGTGTAGTAACAGTGTAACTTGTTGGAGTTGCAAGAGAGGTACTTTCTATATCAGTTATAATCCTGGGAGATGGCGTTTGTGAGGTTGTATGAATTGTGACCTCTTTTGTTGTTTCATACGCTGTAGTTGAATAAGCTTCTGGCGTTGTGACAGCATTGGTAGTGACTGCTGGTGTAGTAATTGCATGTGTTGTCACTGCTGGTGTAGTTACTTCAGATGTGGTACCTTCAGTCATAGTATATACTGGAAGAGTTGTTGTGTGACCTTTTTCAAGTATTTCAGTTGTCACTGATGGCGTTGTCACGGATGGAGTTTTCACTGCTGGTGTGGTAACTGCTGGTGTTGTAACTTCTTGGGTTGTTACTGCTGGTGTTGTCATAACTGGAGTAGATACAGCTGGTGATGTTACCGCTGGTGTTGTTACTGCAAGTGTTGTCACTGCTTGAGTTGTCACCTCTGGAGTTGTCACTGCTGGTGTGGTTACCACTGTTGTTGGGACAGCTGGTGTAGTTACTGCTGGTGTAGTCATTGCTTGTGTGGTCACAACTGGGATTGACACAGCTGGTGTAGTCACAACTGGTGTGGTAATTGCTGGTGTTGTCACTGCTGGTGTGGTTACCACTGTTGTTGGGACAGCTGGTGTAGTTACTGCTGTTGTAGTCATTGCTGGCGTTGTCACTGAAGGAGTGGTTACTGCTGGTGTAGTCACAACTGGCGTAGTTACCACTGGTGATGTCACTGCTGGTGTTGTTACTGAAGGAGTGGTTAATGCTTGTGTAGTCACAGCTGGTGTAGTGATTGCATGTGTTGTTACTGCTGGTGTAGTTACTTCAGATGTGGTAATTTCAGGCATAGTATATAGTGGAAGAGTTGTTGTGTGACCCTTTTCAAGTATTTCAGTGACCACTGATGGCGGTGTCACTGATGGAGTTGTCACTGCTGGTGTGGTAACTGCTGGTGTTGTAACTTCTTGGGTTGTAGCAGCTGGTGTTGTCATAACTGGAGTAGTTACCACTGGTGTTGTCACAGCTGGTGTTGTCACTGCTGGTGTGGTTTCTACTGGTGTAGTTACCTTTTGGGTTGTTACTGCTGGAGTTGTCACTGCTGAAGTGGTTATTGCTTTAGTAGTCACAGCTGGTGTAGTCATTGCTGGTGTGGTCACAAATGGGGTTGTCAAAGCTGGTGTAGTTATTACTGGTGTTGTCACTGAAGGAGTTGTTACCGCAGGTGTAGTTACTGCTTGTGATGTAACAGGTAATGTTGTCACTGCTACAGATGTTACTGCTGGAGTAGTCACTGCCGGTGTGGTTACTACTGGTGTAGTTATTGCTGGTGTAGTTACAGCTAGTGTTGTCAAAGCTGGTGTAGTCACAGCTGGTGTAGTAATCGCTGGTGTTGTCACAGGAGTGGTTACTGCTGTTGTAGTCAACGCTGGTGTCGTCATGGCTGGTGTAGTCACAGCTGGGGTTGTCAAAGCTGGTGTAGTCACAACTGGTGTAGTCACTACTGCAGTTGTTACTGGTGGTGTTGTCACTGGTGGTGTAGTTACTACGGGTGTAGTTATTGCTGGTGTAGTCACAGCTAGTGTTGTCAAAGCTGGTGTAGTCACAGCTTGTGTTGTCATAGCCGGTGTAGTTACTGCTTGTGTTGTCAATGTAGGTGTTGTTGCTTCTGGAGTTGTCAAAGCTGGTGTTGTCAAAGCTGGTGTAGTCACCACTGGTGTTGTCATAGCTAGTGTAGTAATTGCCATTGTTGTCAAGGAAGGAGTAGTTACAGCTGGTGTAGTCACTGCTGGTGTTGTAGGTGAAGGAGTTGTAACTGCATGTGTAGCAACGGCTGGAGTGGTTACCGCTGTTGTAGTCAATGCTGGTGTCGTCATGGCTGGTGTAGTCACAGCTGGGGTTGTCAAAGCTGGTGTAGTCACAACTGGTGTAGTCACTACCGCAGTTGTTACTGCCATAGTTGTTACTACTGGTGTAGTCACTGCTGGAGTAGTCACTGCTTGAGTAGTCTCTGCTGGTGTAGTGATTGCTGGTGTAGTCACAACTGGTGTTGTCATAGCCGGTGTAGTTACTGCTTGTGTTGTCAATGTAGGTGTTGTTGCTTCTGGAGTTGTCAAAGCTGGTGTTGTCAAAGCTGGTGTAGTCACCACTGGTGTTGTCATAGCTAGTGTAGTAATTGCCATTGTTGTCAAGGAAGGAGTAGTTACAGCTGGTGTAGTCACTGCTGGTGTTGTAGGTGAAGGAGTTGTAACTGCATGCGTAGTAACGGCTGGAGTGGTTACCGCTTGTGTTGTTAGTGCCGTTGTTGTTACTTCCGTTGTAGTCACAGCTGGTGAAGTAATTGCAGGTGTTGTTACCGTTTTTGTGGTCAAAACAGGTGTGGTCGGTGCTGGTGTGGTAACAATGGCTGTTGATGAAGTAGCCTTCGTCGTGGTTTTGGTGGGCATGGTCGTCTGTTGAACACATCCAAACTCATCAGATCCATTTGGGCAGTCCGACACTCCATCACATCTTTGTGTGGAAAGGATGCAATCAGCAGCTTCTTGGCATCGCCACTGATTCTCTGAGCAACTTGGTTTGGTGGTTTGGGGATGTGGGTGAGGTGTTGTGCCTGTATGCACAGAAGAAAAGATGCAGATACTTTTGATAGTTAATTAATGTCTTTCTTTTTTATTATCACTTTGCTATGTTGGCAAGTTACAAGAAGTATGTTCATCCCTTTAGATTTTTGACTTTCATTTACCAATATCCTTTAACACTGCTGGTATAGTAATTAATATTCCAGCAATTTTTTTGTTTGTATTTCTGTCCATTTTGTCCAGCACTTGATTTAAAAAAAACCAATTCCCACCGCAACTATTTATTTTCTGCCAATCTTAATATCTTCTCCTGACGTATTTTGAAATCCTCCAGGAACACACTATAGATGAAAAAGTAAACAGAACTTGAAGTGACTCACCACAATAGCTCTCATCAGACATGTCTCCACAGTCATTAATTCCATCACAGACTACACTGTCATTCCCACCAGACACACATAGACCATTGTCACAGGTGAACTGGTCAGATCCACATGTGATATTCTTAGATGGGGTCGGGCTGGGAGTGACTGGAAAATGAAGAGAGATGTTGAGGTTAATAGCAGTTACTTTATATCAGGTCTGTGGGCATTACAAAGCAATGAATTGCGCATATTTTGTCTGCTCTCGATGTCAGCAAGGAATATTTCCTTATGTACTGCATGTTCAGGGTAAATCTTGTTTTTCCCATTGACCCCATCTTCGGCAATGACTGTACAGAATATCCAGGTAAGTGGTCATGTCTAACATACACAATTTAAAGTAGGTTTGTGTTTAAATGTGCTAATTTTGTTGTTGCAAAGTAAGTAAAACCTGAAGAGAGAGGGACCTATTTTGAAAGAAACTTGTTTTCACAGTCAAATTACATTATGATGCACTGCCTATTCTTGCCTATCAAAAAATGAAAATAAACTTAGACTAGCTCAATCATAGCGCATTTCTTTCACTGCTATTTTGATACAAACAACATTCTAAATCTCATTTAAAATTCATTAACCCGGCCATTTTGAGTTTCAAAACAAAGTATTTGTTGATGAATGCATATAAACATGAGGGACAATATACTATTTGGATGCTTATATGGCAAGGGTTAACTTGTAAAGTGTTTATACTTTATTGGGTCAAAACCAGTCTATAAGATATTATATACCTCACTTAAGTAATTCAGCAATCTGATTGGTCGAAATTGCATTCATAAACTTTAACTGTTCCCGAAAATTCCCAGTAACCATGGTTAAAACAGTTCTAAAATCCCAATAACCATGGTTAACGGGAAAATAGTTCAGTCTCCATGGTTACCCCATAGGTTTACATGTTAAAAATTGGTCTGAGCGATCGAGGATACCGTACGTGTGCGAAGAATTGGTCGGTAATTTCAATACAATTGAATCTCGATCGATCTTACCGACAATTTTATCTTGCATTGTTGACATGAAGACGAAAATAAACTTCCAAAAACAAAAAAACAACATCTGCCGATAGATCTTGATCTAAGTTCGTGCCAATATGCATTGCAAAAGTAAAAGAAGGGCCCGTTTAATGGAGCAGCGGCGAAGCATCTACCACGGGAAGCCGTTTTCAATCCATTTTAATGTATATATTAGAGAAAACTATTATATATGGTGACAGAGCGCGCTGGCCGAGTGGTTTAAGGCGCTGATTGTAGTTACAACACCTTTAGTACGCAAGAGATCGAATCCCATCTTCGACAAAAGTTTTTTTATTTTTTAGTCTATTTTTTTTTTGGCATATAAAAGTATTAATGACTGCTTTAATATTCGAGAAATAGTTGTTTTTATACGCTCTCGGGAAGGTTACAATTGGGCTATTGCCCTCGGCACGCCTCGGGTAATAGCACAATTCAAACCTTCCCTTGAGCGTATAAAAACAACTATTTCTCTCAAAGCAGTCATTAATACTATACTGTAAGCGTTGTTAACATATTTGCTGGTTCTTAAATTCGCGTTGCACCAAATTCAGCCCGTTCAAAACACGCATAAGAAGTCGTGTTTATATTTTTGCGGGTTCTAAAACTCGCGGACACCGACTTCAGCGCGAAATCCACGAAAATTAATGTACCACAAATATTTTCACGTTTACAGTAGAATAGTAATTTTACTTACCACAGTCATTCTCATCAGTAGCATCACCCTCGCTACAGTCAAAGTCGCCATCACACACAAAAGATTTAGGGATACACAAGCCATCTCCACACATGAATTCATCTGGGCCACAAGTCAGAACTGAAGAGATATAAAATGAAGATATTAATAAGATATCTACTGAATTCTTTAATCCTATGGGTTCATTACAGGGAACACTTTGTTCCAATGGCTACACGTGGGCAGTGGATTCGGAAAATTGTATTCTGGTAAAGGATAAAGTAATTTTTGCATATTTTCTAATTTTTTTAAATTCCTACATATATGTGGAAGAAAATCATAGTATCATGCAATGTCCAAATTAAATGATTGCTCTTATAGTCAGTGCTCTTATAGTTCAGATACGATTAGTAGTGGTCAGCTTCGGATAAGATTTTGATGGCAAATATTTGTGTAGTCCCATGTACCCATATCTGTGTCCAGAGTATTTCCATACTTGTTATTTTCAAAAAGATTTTATAATTTGTTTGATTTTGAATCTTACAACATTATACCACTTAATTCATTATTTTACTGTGTTGTTTACTTAAGAACTATTTCTTGACAGTTTCTTTTACAATGAAATTAAATGACCTGTTATAATCAACATTTTTCTTAATAAGTCACTGCATCAGATGGGTCATCGCTCACCACATCCAATTTCATCTGAAGAATCGGTGCAATCTTGAGTCCCATCACAGTAGAAATCACCATCAATGCATAGACCACTGCTTGCACACTGAAACTCATCAGGGTCACACTCATAGCCTATCAAAGGGAAGGAAAATGGGTTTGTAAATCAAGGGAAACCTGTATATAAAGACCCAGGGACACCTGTAAAGTGGTCTTCAAAGGGAAATCTAATCTCAGAGAAAACAAGTAGACTGGCAAAAGTATAAATGAAATCGGACAATAAACGAGAAAGTTATGGATTTTTGAAAGTTGTAATCACTATGGCCCGAATTCACAACGGAGCTTTACATTTAACCCATGGTTTAAACCTTCATTTACATAACCCATAGTTTAAAAATGAGCGTACTTTGCCTTGCACGTATCTAATATTGGACCTCTTGACTGTGTTGCGCTTATTTTGAGCTGACTTTAAACCATGGGTTATGTAAATGAAAGTTTAAACCATGGGTTAAATTTAAATCTCCTTTGTGAATTCGGGCCTACGGGTATGGGCTCTTCAAAATAGTTGAATTGTTATTGTCTCTGTGATGTAGCAGCGAACAACTCTCCCGTTTGTTCCAACACACAAAATATCTAAAATCTCAATTGTTCAAAAATGTTTGACTCAGGAGAATCTTTTCTCTTTAGAGGAACTAATATCCTAATACGTGATACATAATATATTTTGAGTAGTGCCCAAAGGGAGAAGATACTTAGGAGAAAAACAGAACTTAATGATATGTTTGTACATGACAAATGAGAGAGAGTTGTCTGTGTCTTCGTCATAATCCATAGACCAAATTGCCAATCGGTGGAATTTAGGTGTACATGTCCATGAAGTCAAGCCTGTTGTTATCTGGACAGCTACATGTTGGCAGAATGTTGGCCTTATTGGTTCACTTGAACAAAGCAGGTAGATAATAAGAAAATCTTTTTATGATAGGATACTATTGCAGTTTCGGCTGAGAGAGAGTATACTACTACACAATGTCGCACGCATGAATTTATATCAGTTTGAAAACTACAGAACCTCTTATCCAAAGTAGAAATGGTTGGAAGCTGTAGTGTACTATAAATGTATCTATTAAACAGTGCGTCCCAGAAAACTTGAAACCGAGAATTATCGTTGTTTTATCATAACTTAATCACATTTATAATTAATAAATGACACATATGTATAAAGCTTAGACCCTCCTCTTTCATTTGATGTAAGTCATATAAGGCATATTTCATGCATGAGTTATTAAAAAAAAATTGAAGAAAGGATACCAAAAAAATCAATCGGCGAATGGTATCTGAATTTCAAAGAGAAATTCACATTTCTATAAATTTCATTTTTTGCCCTTTCATATGACACCTCAATCAGGAAAAATGAGCCAGGAATAACAAACTTCTGATTGTTAAAAGTAATTCTTGCAATTCCATAATTTTATTGAACAAATTCATTGTCACTGGCTGCCTGCAGTGTCAACAAACAGAGTTGACAAAAGACTTAACTCTGTTTCGTTAACGATCAGCCATGCATGAAGTCTTTTGTCTTCTTTGTTTTTTGTTAGGGCAGGGCAGGCAGCGAGTGGAACAGATTTGTTTAATAAAATTATGGAAATGCAAGCATTACTTTAAACGAAATGAAACAGAAACATATATTACTTACTGCAGTCTGTTTCATCTGTGCCATCCCCACAATCATCTAGTCCATCACATAACCAGCCCATAGGTACACACGCTTTATTGTCACACATGAATTCAAGGAGACCACATGTTTCTAGGGAACAAAAAAAAAAAAGAAGAAAGATGTTGCGTTTATTTTAAAACTTATTGACAATTGTTTTTATTCTTAAATATATTTCTTTAAAATTCAATCGGCATAACTACATGTATATTTAATAAATTATTATTATTATTTATTTGAACATTCATAAAAAAAGCATGAATACAATACAGCATGGCAAGAGACAAGTACATAATAAGAATGAACAAACACATGCAAAGAGATAAGGGGGCAGCAAATGAGTCAGGGTGCAAAAGTGAAGTACTTCAACACTGTTGCCCGGAGGCATTAAAGCAAAATTAAAACAAAATTTCAGTTCAATATTTAAATAACATGTAAGTTTGTCATCTACTCATATTGACAAATTATTGTACATGTGAATACCCTCAAAATAAAGAACTGATGTTGTGTTCTTTATGGGCAAATGTGTAACATATTCAAGTCAATATAACTTGAAAACAAACAGTGACATTGTGTGTTGTGTTTAAATTAATTATTATTTTAAAAAAAATTAAAAAAAATAAAATAAAAATCATTTAATAAACGTACCCTCACAAGGCTCTCCAACACACTCCATAGTTCCAGCATGGCAAGTACTGAAAAGATAAAAAGAATTTTATTTATCCAAATAATAACTAATGTAAAATTATAAGGAATAATGAATACAATTTATGATTTCCACTTTATTCCTTGTTTCTTGTTAATAGCAATGTTTATCATACACACATATAAAGAGTTTGATTCAAAAAGGAGGTAACTCAACTTTTGATGAAATTGAGTTATTTTCTCGGATATCACCTGTCAACAAAGTATTTACCAAAATTTGGGGAGTAATCATGAAAAAATGCACCTTCTAATATCACTTTTCCATAAACGCCTGTACAAAATATGGTAAACAAATCCTTCTTTTCTCTGAAGTCTCAAATAAAGGATTTAGTGCCTTTCGAAATTAAACTCTTCATAAATACATGAAGACTAATGAAAAACTGGGAAAAATAATTCTGACATTTATCTCTTGCAAAGTGATTGCTAGATTAAAACATTCAGGGTAAGACAATTAAATTAATCAATATCAACATGACTTCTTCTTACAAAGATAGAACATCTTAATGCAAACCCAGTTTCAACTCACCAGTTTTGACAATTGATAGAAGTAACAGTTCCCGCTGCATATTCAATTCCATCTTGGTGACATGGGCATTCCACCTTTGCAATGCAATCCCCATCTATAATGAACCAATGTGTAATGGAAATGAGAAGCTAGGTCAGACAAATTCACATGGATTCTGTACACTTCAAACTATAGCTTTGCTGATTGTAAAATACACCATCAATTGCCTACACTTGTGAATTCAGATACCTTTGAACACTATCTAAATTAAGAAAACACTGAAACTCATCAAATATTAGATGTGATACATTTCTGTAAACTTGGTGGCATGACAAGGGTTAAATTGCAAATTTTCATTTACCTTCAGACAGGGATCCATTTGGACAGTGACATCCTTCAGCACAGTTTCCAAAGCCAATCTGATCTCGGTCAAAAGAGGCACAGGTATCAACTGCTGTCGTTCCACAAGTGTTGTACTCAAAACCAGCATTACACTGGACAGCTGAAATTTGAAAAAATTACAACTCTATTTATTGGAAAACATATTTACACTTTAAACATTGCTATAAATCATTGTTAAAGCTGCTTCTTTGATCTTTATCAAACGAGGTGTAGGTTTTCACAGCTATTATCACATACCAATGTGTTGGACAGATGAGTTTTAAAATGTTTTTTTTAATATTAAAAACAAGAAAATTTTACTGATACAACTCTCATACATAATAGTAATATATAATAATAATAATGTAATAACATGTTTGTATACGAACATGAATTTTAAAATGTTATTTCATTTATTGGAATATCATATTTTAAAATCTCAAATAAAAGAATCTTATCTTCTAAATCAGTCAAAATTGTACTAATATGGTCAAACAATCTTTTTATCCTGATCAAATAAAGTGTATAGTATAATTATCTTCTCCTTCTTCAAAGGAGAAATGAGGAGATGATGCGTTTTGAGAAAAAGTGGCTCAAAAACTTCTCGGAAATCACATTCACTGAGGTACTGAGACTGATATTGATATGAACATGCAGCATATCATAAAAGGTGTCATAGTTAAATGATTTAAACACTTGACCAGAGATACATGACTAGAAATTACCTTCAATGCTTTCTTTGTTAGATATGAACATACATGTTCTGCGCGTCATAAACGTTTCTTAGTTTAATGGTTTAATTCCTTTACTAGCTCTTAATGTGCCGATTGAGTACCAAGCCCAGTGCCAGCAATAGATCCATAATGACTATTGTCACATATGTGTTGTACTTGTGTGTTGTACAGATGAAATGTGGAATATAATAACATTTATTGGAATATCAGGTTTTAAAACTACATGTCAAATCTAACCTTAAAAGTTAGTCTATATCATACTGACATGGTCAAACAATCTTTACCCTGACCTTTAATGATATGAACATGCTGTATCATAAAAGGTGTCATACATGTAGTTCAATGGTTTAAACACTTGACCAGAGATACTAGAATTTACCTTGAATGCTTTCTTTATTAGATATGAATATACTGTGTCATAAAAGTTGTCACAGTTTAATTGCTTAATTCCTCTAGTAGCTCTTAACGTGCCAACTGATTACCAAGCCCAGTGCCAGCAATAGATCCCCAATGGCTATTTGCATACGAAAGAAACATTGAAATTCTCTCCCAGATGATTGATACACAGGTAACGAGTGCCAAAACAAGAGATTCATAAATTGAATCAGTCATGATTCATCATACTCTGCAAGACACAGGTGATTTAAAACAGAGATTTGAAGAATTTTACAAGCAATATTTCATAAATCTTTTAAGACATATGTTTGACAATATTAAAAACAACAAATATCTTGAGTCTTTATTTTTGTTTCGTGTCCGGACACCCGCCTCCCCACATCATACTACCAAGACAATACTACAGTTCATTGGATGAGTGTACAACATACATGTACATTGCGTTACTACATGAACAAATGGACAAAGTTTTGGTAGGTTAAGGGCTAGATATGAAGATTCTGGGTCCCATCTGGGCTTGCAGGTCTTAACCAAATTAATCATGACACCATTCAAATAATAATAATACTACAGTATTTGTAATGCGCCAGCGATCTAGTAAACTACTCAGAGGCGCAGAGGGAGAGTATTACCCTTGCTTTTGCATGGCTGCCATTACAGCGCTCTAGCATTTCAAGGAATTAATTTCTGCCAGGTACCCTTTAGCATCACCTGGGTTGAGTGTGGCAAATGTAGATCAATGTCTGTACCAAAGGACATTAGCGCTGCGGCGGGACTCGAACCGTGGACCTTATGATCGACAGTCCAGCGACGTATCTACTCAACCATGACACCTCTCAAATAATGTTCTGGATACTTACGACATAACTCCTGAGATCTCCATCTGATATCGAATCCATGTCTTGAGCATTCCATGGCATACACAGCAATAGCTGTACACAGACATTCACAGTCACCACCCAAGTCACATCTGGTTAAAACAGACACAGATATTACAAACTATTATTATAACTTTTAGAAATATGATAACAATTATAATAATGAATGCAATAAAACAAGGCTTATTGCATGGTTATGGCTCAAATTATTTTATCATTTATAACTTTTCCCCCAAATACATGTTGAAATAGAAGCAAAGCTTAGGCCTACTGTTATTTTCTTACACAGTTGGTTTCGTTTTGAGCAGGCAAAAAATAAAGATAAATAAAATTCCTCTCAAAGAATTCAACTGTTATCCTGTACATGTAGATGATATGATATAAATAGTGTCTTTCACCTTGAAAAATACTTCATGACCAACTTGACAATGACAGTAATGAATCTAAATGATTGAAAGGTACTTTTTAGTGGTACTAAAGGAGTGATTATGTGTAGAATTCTTGGGGAAGGAATTGTCACCCTTGGTTGGAATTGTAATTTGGTATTAACTGGAGGCTGTGGATCGGGAGCTAGCGGAAGGGGGGGGGGGGGGGGGGGGAGTTGACAGGAAATATGAGACATTTTAAATTATGACGCATCTTAATTGTAGACAATATCAAATTGAGGGGCACATGCATATTTATGTACATTGTTTTCTATTGTTAAATGTTATATTGCATTTTCACTGTCAAAAAAAACCATTGGAAGCAAAATTTCTATGTAATGTTTGCAAGCATGGACCAATAAAATAATCTTGAATCTTGAATCTTGAACTCACCCGCATGAATCATAGATACAATTAGCAAGGTATGCCTCTGGATCTACCACAGAGTGGCATGGCTCAAATGTTCTGGAGTTGATGATGCTACATCGACGCTGCGACCAAGCTTCACGATGACTGTTCACCTACAAATAACAAGATTCATCAATTATTATTATTGTTGTTGTTGTTTTTTTGTCTAACCTTTTTCTCAGATTTTAAGATTATAATATTTTGAAGTTAAGTCTAAAGTTGTTTTCTAACCATATGAAGCAGAAACAATCAACAATATTCCAAACATTCATGAACAGATTTATTGGTTTGACAACTTATTCTGAAAGAAAATTGATCAATAATGATTGTAACCAGTTTTTTTTTCTTTCAATTTTTAAATATCTACAACTCGCTTTTTAATATTGCATGTACTTGTCAAATTAAAAAAAATCAAACAGCCAGGTTCTCTGGGTTACAGAAGTTCCATACATACATGCAGGAAAGTTACACCTTAAAGGAGTAGTTCAATCGGCAAACCGGCAACTCCCTGTAGTGGTACATGTACCATAAAAAAGACTACAGTAATCTTCAGTATTGATGGAGGCAGTTGTACTCAGCCTTTAATGCCGGTCTGCACTAGTTTGGCCAAGAGGGAGTAGACCACCCTGCATGGTCACTGACAGGTGGATATCTCATTAAATCAGCTTTCAATTAACATAAGAAAAAGGGGATCATGGGGACCAATGGTCACCGATTAGTAGCTATACTGTAAGTAGTGCAGTGGGGCTTTAATAGGAACAATGATCAAAGACAACTCTTGAGCATTCTTAGCCCTAAACCTACCCTGCAAGGATGGACCAGGTCCTCTTTGTAAAGTTCTGGACATCCACTGCTGACCTTCCAGCTGTTGGCAAAGTTATCACTGCTGTGCTCCACCGCGCCGTTGCGAGCTGTGAAGTCGTTCTCCTGGTCCCCATCAAAGTTTCCGCACAGACCGGAGAGACGGCCCTCAAAGTCTGGCGTGACTGAGACGTAGATTCTGGTACCTACAGTATGGTTGATATACAAATTAATATAGTATGTCATTATTGACTGAACACTTGGAAGATGAACAATTTCATATGGATCTGATGGGATCTGAGGTCAATTTGTATTATTTTGTATAAAACAATATCTAAAGATATATAGTTGAATTTGTCTATGAAAGAAATGTAAAAAATAACCACTGGTAACAGATGGCAATTATAGACAGGTTATAAAACCAAAATTTCTTCCTAATGTTTATGTAAAACATATAAACGAACATTCCAGAATGTTCCAACAAACCATTCCTCACCTCCGTCCCAAAGGACTTCCAGTCCAAAGTTCGCGAAGATGACATAGAAGAACCCTGATCGCTCTATGCTCCACGCAGAGTAGTACTTGGGCAGTGAGACCGGCACTCCATTCACCGTCACCTCACCTCCCCGCACTAGAAATATCGTGGAGTCGTCGTCAAAGATGATCTCGATGGCCCTGGTGCAGGTGACGCCGCTGGATCCACACTGGATGTTCTCCACCTCGATGGAGAATGACCCGTTGATGTCTTGGGCAAGGGTGTAGCGGCAGTCTCCGGTGAAGGTATACTTCTTGCCGTCGAACGTGGTGTAGTGCCCTTCACCCACAGCAGAGCACAGGCCTGGGGGTAACAATAAACAAAAATTTTAATTGGTCTAAGCATAACAGATGGAATTAGCACATTCCGAAACTTGGAACATGTAGTAGGGAGGGTCTTGGCAATTTTCAAGTTATTAAGGGTCGTAACCTAATCTAAAGATTGAAGTTATATGCTATTTGGTTTCAAATCATTTTTCAAAATGTTTTATTTGTTTTTTCCCCGGAGATAAATTACATGCATATGTACGTACCTGGGCAATCATGATCTGTGCATTGCCAATGAGAACCATTGCAGTAACTGTAAAGAGTACAATAAAAATTATTGTTATACAGTGGGAAGTTTCTGAATGTTATGTGGGAAAGTAGCTTGCCATTATAGCATGAGTGTTGAATTTACAATCTTGATTGGCCATTAAACGAGAGTTGTTGTCACTTGCATTACATTTCAACAATGTCACTTTTCATTAGTAGCTACATGAGGGCACAAGGGGCGTGTGCCCCTCCCATCAACAGCTTTAAAAAAAGTAGAGGCTATAAGAACAGAAGAGGGGAGGAAACATGAAAAGAAGATCGATAAAATCCTTTACAGTATCCTCCCCACACCTGAAAGCCTGGCTTTTTATCTCATATCTGTAACTATAGTGCCCTCTCAATAGCTGAACCCCTATGCCCCTGCTATACTCACCATTCATTGCACGTGTCAGTGTGAACTACTTCTCCATGTTCATATCGTCTATCTCCATGGTAACATGGGCATTCAGATGGCAGCACACAGAGATCTCCCTACAAGACAATGCCAACAAGAGGAAATATGGAAAATGACATATACAATGATGACCCCCATCTTTTACAAGAAGGTATCCTTTTCAGGTAATTTTCATCTTTTTGCCCAACACATCGACCTTATGTACAAACAATAAATTACAGTAACACTTGGATATAACACTGCTACACTTATTTGTTACAATTTTGTCATAAAAATATAGTATATTAATACACTACATATCAAGCTGAACTAAAATATACACTAGACATAGTTCATTGATAGTTGCACACATATATATGGGTTCATTGATGAATTTCAAAACCTAACCAAATTTGGATACTTGCAAGATAAAATTTGAATAACATTCATAGATAAAAAGCATTTTATTCTCTTAAATGACCTCTTTGCATAACCGATAATGTGGAGACCTATGATCACCATCTCCACTCAAACACTTACATCTAGCAGGTAACCTTCCGGGCACATGCATCCGGGGCCCGCCTCTACTCCACAGCTAAAGCCATGAGCAACACTCTCGCAGGTCACAGGGCATCCTGGGGCCAGCGTGTCGTAGAGTTGGTTCTCTGGACACATGTCGGTCACGTTGCACTTCTCACCCTCGCAGTGGAAGGATCCATTGATGCAGTAGCTTGATGGTGCAAAGAAAACAGAGTATGGAAGAAAAACATCAGTACATACATGGTAACAGTATTTGTCTCATATGCACCCTTGGTTTATGAAAGAGCAGTATATAAAAAAAATATAGGCCGCCAGTCTGAGTAAAGTCATTTCGGAAGCGGTTTAAAATTTGGCACAGTATAAAATAACTCGGGCCAGTCCAAACTAGGGTGCATCAGAAGGGCTATAAACTTTGAGTACAGTAATAAAGAGTCATCAGACTCACAATGACCAAAAGGTTCCACAATTATCAAATATAAAGACATAACAAGAACCCTAGTTTGGATTATCAAAAAATAACATTCTATGCTCGTGGGAAAGATGAAGCCCTTACCAATCCTGACACATCTGTTCAATGCGAGCTCCAGCAGGGTAGGACTGATCTTGATAGTAGCAGGGACAGTTGATCGGCGAGATACAGTTACCCTCATCGTCAAGGACAGTGTTGCCAGGGCAGTTGCATCCTTCCACGCAATCCTCCGTCTCCATGCAGGTCACAGAGAGGTCACGACAGGTCTGACCGCAGGTCGGCCCACACTGCTGGTAGACCTGACCACCGTCACACTGGACACCTTGGTGGAAAATTGTCAGAAACATATGGAATGATGGAATGCACAAACATGCGGTAAAATTGAGGTCTGTGTTTTATTCCTCAAAGCACATTTCTCGTCAAAGGGGTGTAAATATGTACTTTATTTCATTTCATTTGACTTGATATGGCTTAATATATGTTTTTTTTAAATTAAACAATTATATACAGGTGTATTTAAAGTAGCAGCTACACTGTAATTATATAGACAAACTGAATTTCTTGAAGTCTTAAAACATCCATTGAAATATATTTTAAACTTGATTTATCGAAAAACAATAACAAATACAATACTGTAGAAGTATTTTTCGTTGGATAGTGATGTTCATCTCTATGTAGAGGAAGAATGAGGGTTTTGAGCCACCTGCACATACGTGTAAATGTAAGATTTCACCACATATTGTGCACGTGTCAATTGTAAAAGCATGCATCTCAATGAATGGGTATGCTTATGATACACAACAGCACTACAAGGTTCAATTTATAACAAAAACATGGCTAATCAATGATGTTTGAAACACTTACTGCAGTACTCGGATATGGAGGGGTGGTCTCTCCAGTCCACATACACCCCTTCGTTGGCGCAATCCGTTGCGTACCCTGCAATGACCTCACAAAGGCACTCCAGTGTACTCCCCGCATCACAGCCGCAGACATCATACAGGCACATGTCGTAGTACATGTCTGGGCTTACGCTTCCGTGGCAGGGCCTGAAGGCGTCGCTGTTCATTACCCCGCATTTCTCGGCCGCAAAGCTCTCCATGTGGGAGTTGAGGCTGCAGGGGGAGAGCGAGAGCGGGGATTCTGTCTCCTGGCAATCAGGGTCCACAGCGAATTTGTTGGCAAATGCAACGATGCTGGTTTCGATGTCACCAGCTGGCGTCATGAAATCATTGTTCTGGTTGTGGTCGTAGGTACCACATAGACCACGCACCTAAGAAAATACAAACAATTCTTACTATTAACTTTGGTTCGGTGAGAAAGCATTAGTCCCATAACCATCATATCTAGGATGACCAAGGTGAAACGCTAATGACCTTTGCTCAGTCGTTCATCCTTAATTACAGAAATGCTCTAGAGAATCTGGTACATTGTACTGTAGGTCCCCCTGGTTGCTTACATACAAGCAATATACATGATTTCTTAGAAGATAGGAAAAAGAAAACCCCACACCATCATAAACATGCATGTATGTTCATGTTGAGCCGCATTTATATAATTTTGTTTCTTTCGCAAAAGCTTCTATCACTGCATCATTGCTAATGGCATGCTCTACAATTGTGTATTAACTGTCAGTACCACAGGCCTCAAATCTGTCTTAAAATGTATGATAAAATCATCTGATGAACTTGAAAAGATCTTTGTGGAACAAATGCAAGTACTTTTTTCTTGACCAAATTATATCTGTCGGGAGGTAACATTTAACATTTTGATTTGATCAATTCCCAGTCGAAGGTATAACCTACCCTGTTAATATACTCTGGATACAGTGTCACATAGAGCCTGTTGATCCCATCCCACTTCACCAAGAATCCATTCCCCTCCACGAAGATGAACTTAGAGGATGCTCTTCGCACTACCACCTCTCCATTGGTGTAAGGCAGGATGGTTTCCTCGCCATCAACAAACACGATCTGGTTCTGCTTGAGGTCTATCGGGTTGGTTCCGTTGACAATGACAGTTGCGGATTTGGTGCAGGTGACTTTTCTGGAGGAGCGCATGTTACACTCCACGTTCTCTGCCAGAACAGTCAGGTATTGCTCAACAAAATCCTGCAATGTTCAACAAAAGAATTTGTCAATTTGTCATATTTATGTCATGCTCTTTAAATAGAAACAACTAGGTTGTAGATCAGGGAGAATTCTGTCAATACAGATCCTACCACATTATAATCACATCTTATCCCCAACGGCTCTTGAGCCATAGACAACATATGTGACTTGTTTTCTTTCTGTCTAAAAAGCCTTTCCATTGCTAAAATAATAGATTAGAATACATGAATATGTTTATCTCCTACATGAGCTGCATGAGGGATCTGTAAACTATTTCATCTTTGAAACATCACAGCACTGTTGTCTACAGCAAAGTCATTCCTTCCTGAACATCCTACCAAAAACTTTCTTTTAAGCAATAATTCCAGAAACATGTAAAAACGGTTTTTATTTTAATACTCAGAGTTAAAATTCTGGAGAGAGATTGGTGTATTATATTTTGTATAGCGCCTTGAGTAATTTATAAGATAAGTGCGCTCTATAAGTATTTATTATTATTATTATTATTATTAAATGGTACATACTTCCACTAGAATGTAGCGGCATCCTCCTTGGAAATTGTACTGTCTCTTGTCAAAGGTGAGATAATGAGGGTCACCGACTGACTGGCAGGTAGCTTGGCATGGAGACTGCTCACAATCCCAAAGCCCTCCCTCACATGTGCTATAGGAGAAAACAAAATTAAAAGAGTGGGATTTGAAAGAAAGGCAAATTTTCTGGAAGTTACAAGCCCATGTAAAAGGTCAGATGAGGGTCACTTAACAACTGAATGATGGTAGCTTGCATGGAGACTGTCCACAACCCAAAACATCTTCCTCATTAATGTATGAAACAAAAACAAACAAATAAACATGAACAAAATGCTAAGGCACTTTTATTTATATTTGGTTGTGATATTATTTTCATATTTCACATGCTTGGGGGAAAAAATGGAATTTTGGTGCCAGGAGTGGGATTAAAATCTTCTAAAGATGAAAATGGCAGGTAAGGTTTTATTTTCCTCTTTATCACTTGTCAGACAATGAAGATCACCAATCAATTTGCAAATGGATTGAAAAGCAGACTGTTAGACATTTGTCACAGGTACTATCAGGCATATTCTAAAACTTTGGTGCCAGGAGTGGAATTATCATGCTTTCTGAATGTTGTACTGCACTTTTACAAACTGTAATTTCTCCACTCTGAGACAGATGAAGATATTAAAAGAGGGGCCTCTTAACGATCTTTTGAGGTTTGTGCCTGATGTTGCTAATTAAGGTATTTTTATTTATATTTGGTTGATATCATTTTTTAGAATTTTACAAGCTTGGGGAAGCATGTAAATATGACTGATGAAGGAGGTGTAAGGTACTGACCATAGATTGCATTTTGACCGTACTGTCCCTCCAGGCGGGTACTTCTCCCTATTATGGACACAAGGACACTGGTCAGCCGTGATGCAGCGTCCCCCCTCCAGGACCGTGCCCTCAGGACACTGGCACCCAGAGACGCAGTCAGCTGGGCAGTGCTTGGCCGATTCTACAGGGTCCTGAGCCTCGCAGGTGACCGGGCAGAGGCTACTGCAGTCACTGTACTCCATGATGTCAGGGCACTGCTTGGCTGGGATTTTAAAGACATGATGAATATAAATTGGCTGAGCATTCCTCTAGCAGCCTCCATTTAATTTGCTATTCATCTACTTTAATACTTGTCAAATCATTTCAAGAGAATTGCACTTTAAAATGTACATGCATTGCATGCAAGCTGTTGACCTGTGAAACTTATAAAAAATATACTACAGAGAGACAAGATACAGTTAAGTGGTCTATATTATTACATATTGTTTATGTACATGGTCCTGTAAAAGCATAATTACATGTATGGTCTTTCTATGCAGGCAGGCGCTAAAGCTAATTTCACATCATGTACTTACGACAAAACTCCTCTGTTCGCCATTCCAGGACCACGCTGAATTGGGCGCACTGCCGGGAATACTCGTCCAGAGAGATACAGAGAGCATCCATCATGAGGTCATCCGACTCACCAAACATACACAGGTCATACACGCAGCTCTCAACAAACAGGCCAGGGTCAACCTTCAAGATGGAAAAAACACATGGTTAATTGACTCTGAAGTAAGTTAAGGTGGTGATTTGCGTGATAATTCTATTCCCTTCAGATTCTATGCAATTTACAGAGATGTTTTGAACTGATGTTTGAAACTGACAGCGTTTTTAGCTGTCTGTTCTATGAATGATACATTAAATGGTTTATCTACATTTATGTTCAAAGCTGTCTTTTATTTGGTGAAATGACAAACATTGTGCATTAAATTACATAACAGGTGGTAGCCCAAGAACATGTATGTATTTGGCTATTAATCTTAACAATCTTAACAATCATGAAGGTGCAATTGATCTGCATTATAAAGTTAACAAGGGAAACGCTCTCGGCGGTCTCGCCTGCATTACGCATTACTGGCTAAGAATCATCAGAAGAATTATTTACTATTAAATGTACCACGATTGATAACTTGAATGAAATATGAACAAATTAATAATTTTTTTTTTATTAATTCTCATATTAAGTTGTGAAAACATAATCCAAGTCTACTGACCTTTGACCTTGTGACCTGGAATTTGTGTCATATGATTTGTGATACTTGATAACCCTTGGGTACAAGTTTCATGGAATTTGAACAATGAATTTTGAAAATATGCTAAAAAATTCAAAATCTTGATGTTGATGCCACAACAAAGTCTAAGTTTGTTGATCTAAAATGACCTTTGATCTTAACTTAGTGACCTGAAATACTATTCAAATGATTGGGGATACTTGATAACCCTATAGTCCAAGTTTCATTGACTAAGAACTTAAACCTTTAAAATTATATCAAAAATTCTTAAACTTAACCTTAGGTTAAGTTTTTGATGTTGACGCCGCCGCCGTCGCCGCCGTCACCGGAAAAGCGGCGCTTTTGTCTCGCTTTTTTGCTACGCAGGCGAGACAAAAATGGCTGTCTATAAATAATTTTGTTCCCATCTTACATGACAAATTTTATTCAATATGTACATGACAATGAGTAGATATTGCAATGTCCCCTCTGAACGTAAAATTCAAAACGTATCTACTTATTTGTAAAAAAGGTTCCATGTCAAATTAAAAAAGTAACTTTAATGTCATCTAGCGAATGCTTCATCCAATCTTACATCTTGATGGCAAAGTTGAAATTCCTCAGCTTCAGCTAGAACCTGGCACAGATTCTCTGCCATCTCAAAGCGCGTTGAGTGTACATCACAGGGGTTGGTGTCAACGATGGACTGACAGCTCTGGAAATGTAAACAAAAAAGCAATATACATTTTACAGGTGCACCTACAGGTGTACTAATCATATCAATTGATATATCTTAATCTACATAGACCTCGAAATGATCTGCCTCCGAAAAATCTTGGGTGTAACGAGACTAGATAAAATAAGAAACACAACAATTCGGAAGACTCTAGGACTGGATGAAACCATTCTGGACAAGATAGCCAAAAAACGACTGCGATTCTTTGGCCACGTCAACAGGATGAGACCATCATGATACTCAAAGATACTCCTAACTTCAAATATTCATGGTGATAGACCCCGGGGCAAACCAGCCAAAAAATGGCTTGATTGTGTAAAGGCTGATTGTGCTAATAGATGTCTGGGATCCCTCACAGAAGCGACCAGAACGTCACAAGATAGGAAGATCTGGCTTTGGGTCATGAAGCAGAAGCCATCACACATCTCCCAGATGGTGCGGAAGACTTAGGTCAAGGTAGGTCAAGGACATAGACATTGAGAATGAACAGAAAGACTCATAATATAAATGATTTCTTGATGAATGCCAAGTGCTGATCACAGGAATTGGTGTCAACAAATTGATTAGCAAGTCGGTAAAATTACAAATTCACATTTGACTTCTGAGGATTTCATACTGGCAATAATTTCAATATTTTGATTCTAGTTAGACAGAGAAAATTAAAATTGTGTGGAAGATGAAAAAAAAAAAATATATGTATATATATATATATATATATATATATATCATATAACAGAACAGTTTTTAAGAGCAAGAGAGAAGGGGAGGGGGTGAAATTAAAAAGAAAGATTGAAAGTGGAAAAGTGTGCAAATATACTGTACGTACATTTAATTTACACAATCATATTAAGATGCATGATTTAACCAAAACAATCACTATGAAGAGAGATATCAGGAATGGAAAAAGAAGAAAAATAAGAAGAGATAAATGAAATAACATTTATAGAGAAATGAGACACATATATTGCAAACATAAACATATCCATGATAAGTATAGTATAGTATAGTGGAGTATGTATTTAAAATTCATTTAATTTCCTCTGTATTTGTTACCTATAATTTGTATAGGGCCTCTCAGGATTACTGATAGAGTTACCCTGTTAAAAATAAAACAAATAAATAAACAAATAAGAGCATTTTTGGTTTACCTCTCCTGGATAAGGCACCTCCCATGATACAGCCACTTGAGCTGCATAAGTGGCTTGATCACCGTTCCTCATTAACCAGTCATCTGTAGCAAATAATGTTTATTTCCTTTTAATTCTTTGTCTGCTACAAATTGAAATCCTAGTCTGTCACATGTCGAATATATATTTCACATACAGGATACATCTTTACTTACACCTGGTATTATTTCTAATGCACCATTTTCCATTTCTACTATCACTGCTTATACTTTCTTTATTATATCAAAGCAGGAATTTTGATCGTAGATTAAGTAAATATACATGTATTTTCAATCTGTTATGATATTCCATCTTTTATCTTTGCATATAATGTGATGATGGAAGGAATTCAAGTCATTTCAATTCACAAATCATAAGAGAAGTATTGACCCAGGTTTTTGTAAATCATCCTCAGCACTTTGGTTGCTTTCTTCACCTCTCAGCACAGTTGCTCGTTTGCTACACATGCAATTTGGTCTTCATTAGCTCTGACAATTCTTGTAACACTCGTATATAGATTAATCTTGCACTGGATACACAGCTGTAGTTACATAATCTCAAAGCCTTTGGTATATCTATGCCATGATAAATACAATGTGGCGTATTAGGAAGATAAGTCATGTGGCATAAAAAGAGTTAACCCAGGATTTGTTGTAAATCACCCTTAGGTAAGAGACCTCATCTTGCACTACATCGATGGACCACATCTTGCAGTTCGGGCGGAACGGGTTGCACAGATGAAGACCTGGCCCTGGTAAATGAGACGGCCATCACAGCCATCAGGCGATGGAAGAACGTAATTTAATTCAATTTCATTTAGGAACTGTACATCAATCTTGATCTAGCTAAGGAGACATGAACGAACGAGGTAATAAGGAGTAGCAAAGTTCCAAAGGAATACACTTACTCTCTGGATTATCATCATACATGCCGCATAGACCAATGGTAGATTCCTTGAGCTCAGCTAACACTGTGATATAGACAGTCATGTTCTTGTCCCACTGAGCAAGGACCCCTAGGCTACTCTCCAGATAGGTGAAGTCTCCAACTTTCTTCAATGAAATACCTACAGAATTAAAAAAAAGAGGTGTACGATATTAGAACCTTTATTAAACCTAATTATACCAGAATTATACTAGAATACAAAAACATTAAATTAAATTAAATAAATCAAGGTAGCAACATTCAGGAGAGAAATTTAAGCAGAGAGTTGGACTGCAGTTCACTACAAATGATGGATGTACTACAAATGGATACCATACACTGGGTCTGCATGGCTGCAACCCTTAAACCCCGTTCAGAGTTTTATTTTAAGTATTTTTCATTCCCATATATGACCTCTCATTTTGAAAGAGTATTATATATGTGACATCAATTCATGATTTATTAACATGTAAATGTCCATATATACTTGTACATGTATGTACTTCTGCAGAAAGATTAAGAAATTTGAATAAGGAAGAAACTGTTACCATTCTCCATGTAGGGGAAAGAGAACATGGGACTATCATTAATGTAGACTGTATCTAGTTCAACATTGATGACATCCAAGCCAAGAATGAACTCCAATTTCTGGTGATTTAAAAAACAAATAAAGAAAATATATAGCAGTTAATAAAAGTATTCATTTTTCTATACAACAGACAGAATTGAAAACCTGTTCCGTCTCTCAAAGAATAAAATATATATATTTTGAAAAAGTAAGGGAATGAATCAAACTCAATTGTCTTTAAATTTCAAAATTAGGTACCGATATGTTTGAAAATGGAAGGGGTTGATAAGATTGATTTAAGAGAATGATTTTAGAAAATGTTAAATACTGCATCAGAATTCACTATCATTATGTGAAAATCTGAAAGGTATTATTGTTTGAGTGACACAATATTTCCAATATAAATATGGCACTGTTGTTTATTTCTAATAAGCATTCAAAACAGTACCTAAGCTGATGAAACCCCTTGAATTTTCTTTTGTTATAATCACATATAAAATGGTGTGAGGAGTGGGATGCCCATTGCCACTAACCTTGTAACATGTTGATAGAAGTTCACAGTCCTGGTTCCTAATGGTCACCTGCCAAGTCCCGTCTAAGGCTGCCGCAAGAGTGTATGAACAAGTCCCAGAGAAACTGTACTGGACACCATCAAAGGTGACAAAGTGGTCACTACTCCAGGACATGCAAGTTGCTGAAGTCCGCAAGGAGAGAGAGTTGTTGGCCAGTGGTGCCTCAGTAACAAGATGTTCATCCTCACGTTTCCAAGGGTAATGGAAAGCTAAGGTTGTTGGTGGTGGCTGAGTTGTCACCTCATCGTCTTCATCAGTCTCAGGAAAGTGAAGAGCTCGAAAGGCAGGAGCAGGGGGTATTGTAGGTGGAGGCTTGTGGTGGATCAAGGTTCTGCTCGGGGCTGATGTTGTGAATTCTTCTGAAGAACTACCACTCCAACTGTCCCAAGTGAAGCGACTCTCCATACTTGATGATTCTTTGGAACCGCTCTTGAAACCACTCTTGTTCTCCTTTGATTCTTTGGAATGGTGCCTTGATGACTCTTTGGAACCGCTCTTGTTCTCCTTTGATCCATGGGAGTGGAGCCTTGGTGACTCTTTGGAACCGCTCTTGTTCTCCTTTGATCCATGGGAGTGGTGCCTTGGTGACTCTTTGGAACCGCTCTTGTTCTCCTTTGATCCATGGGAGTGGTGCCTTGGTGACTCTTTGGAACCGCTCTTGTTCTCCTTTGATCCATGGGAGTGGTGCCTTGGTGACACTTTGGAACCGCTCTTGTCCTCCTTTGATTCATGGGAGTGGTGCCTTGGTGACTCTTTGGAACCGCTCTTGCTCTCCTTTGATCCATGGGAGTGGTGCCTTGGTGACTCTTTGGAACCGCTCTTGTTCTCCTTTGATCCATGGGAGTGGTGCCTTGGTGACTCTTTGGAACCGCTCTTGTTCTCCTTTGATTCACGAGAGTGGTGCCTTGATGGCTCTTTGGAACCACTCTTGTTCTCCTTTGATTCATGGGAGTGGTGCCTTGGTGACTCTTTGGAACCGCTCTTGTTCTCCTTAGAATGTTTTCCTCTCTTCTCTATCATCATTAGTTCAGTCCAAGACTCCTCATCATCTGTCAAAGTAAGATAAAGTGTACAATGTCTCTGAGATGGAATGTAAACGATAATGGCATACTGAAATTAATGTACATATATGTGTATGGAAAGTCACTTTGTCTTAGATCCTTTTAAAAATCCTTGATTTAGCTCATGCTGCAATGATAATTATTAACCTTTAGGTCAGTCAGGAACCCCATGAATTTTACAAGCCGATCGCCTGTCTGATTATCAAGATATTTACGATTGAAAATCGAAATCAAATTTTGCGTTTGCAAACGGTTTTCATTAAACTACAGTCTATCAGGGAAAACAAGTATGGTAAAACCGGTCAGTCTTAGGTTGTTTTTTCTGAGGCACTTCTTGATCATTTTGAAGCGTAATTTTTTTTAGGGCTTCAGTATAACACCATATCACGGACACTGATTACACGTAGGGCCGTGCATCTCAGATTTAACATTGTTAAACGATCCCTTTAATAGCCTTTCACATCACTTTTGAATATTACAATGGCATATTATATCATCTGAATATGGTCACTATAGGTGATTCAACAGGGTGTTGAAAATGCCTTTAATGCTTTGTGTGAAGTCTTTGTGATTATGATAGAGATATCAAACAAACAAAAAACACATCGAAAATGGCATTAACAAATATAATTCTTTGAGAGGTAAATTAATTGGGAGATTGTCTTTTGGCTAAGGCGAGGCGTCAAAAATATCGATACCAGCAGGCTGCCGCCTCACGTATTGGCGCATCGAGGCTGCAATTACGGCCGAAGCCTGGCTGGGGCAATTATTTTTCACTTATTAGCCCAGCCGGCTTGCGCCAGGCTGGGATCTGAGGCTCGGTTTCCATTCGAAAGGCGGCAGCCGGCGCATGCTTTTGTTCGGAGACCATTATGATGACATCATGAGTTAATTGAGGGTCCTACCGCCAGCGGTAGCCGGCTGAGCTAATTTAAAAAATGCAGCCAGGACGCACAAGTGCAGTTAGCTGCCGCTGGCTGGTATATTTATTTTTGACGCCTCGCCTAAGTGAATGAACTGGTACTGAGGTATACCAAAGTGGCAGGGGATGAAGAATTTTTTGTGAAATGAACCAAGGCATTTCGGTATGTTAAATATCTATGTCAGAGATATCTTGATAACTATATTTTAGAGGTCCCCTATGTTTAGTATTATTAGTACATCTGTATACCCTGAAAAGAAGACTGATTTGCATCTCAAAACATATGGAATACTCCCTGGGGAGTGGAGAGTGTGTTCTGTACAGTACAAAATCATAATTGAATCCAGTGACTTGATTAATACTGTAAGCGATTGTAATTGGTAAGGCCCTATATTAATTTACTATTAATGAATGTGAAAAAGTATTCAATACTCCCACAACTCTTGCTCTTTAGGGGGGAGGGGGAGGGGGTAGGAATGGAAAGTTTCAATAAGCAAATTCAAAATGCTGTCTCCTCTTTGAAATATTTGTACATGTACATTGAAAATTTTATCAACCAGTTGCCTTATTTACTTGGTAAACAGACTGTGAAATTGAGTCAAAGTTAATTACTTTCTTGGCTATCAAGCTGTTACTGATCAGTCAACACAAATGCAAAGCTTGATCAAGCAAACATCAAAATAATTTGGGGCAGCAAGTTAATTAATTAAGAAGTCAGGTATTCAATTAGTGTTACAAAATGGCCATGGAGCAAGTGTTGCTGGATCATACATTTTTGACAGATGTTTTTTTTACAACTCTTACTTCTAACAGGCAAACTTAAAGATATTTGCATATCATGCCAGAGACGTCATTAAAAGACAAACACTTTCAAGGCCACTTCTCCTGGTCTTCAAGGGATCTAATCAGTTTTCTTTTTGTGATAAGACTAATATTAGACATCAAATGAAGACCAGGAGACAGGTTGAATGTGTTTGTATAATGATTTAATCAACGCTAACTTTTTAAGTCCTTTTGTAACATCTTCATGATTTACAGCATAATAGATACACAACAAATTTCATCTACTCTTGTCTGACATGATAGAATATGATATCAAGAATACAAAATATGTACATGTATGTACTTGGTACAATGCAAACAGGTCAAAAGATACAACTGTATTTGTTTAATATAATGTTTCGTGAGATGGAAGCATGAGATACGAGATGACAAATATCACAAATGTGTCACTCATGAATATTTCAAAGAATTCTTGAAAATATGAAAAATTTGTTTCCATAGAGTACCTTTGAATCTAAAAAATATACGATAACAAAATCAATTTGTCCCCAATACATAGATGTTTGGTTCTTTTAAAGTGCAGAGAAAGAAATATTATTCAGGTCTCATAGAAACTATATAAATGCATTAAAAATGCTGTTTAACTCAATGCAAGACTTTGAATAAAACCATGGTACCCTTTGAAATATTAGCTTAAAACCTTCCATTCCATGAAGGGCAAATATCTAATATTGTAGGTCATTATGGATTTGGCTTAATACAAGCAGGTAAATAATTAGGTACATGTGTATACTGAATTATACTGCAATAAAGTATCATAACACGTTACAATTCAAACTTTATTCTTATTCATGAAAGTTTATCCCTTTAGGTTTCTTCCTCTGTACATTTGATTCTTCCCTGCCTACAACTCATACTTTTTAGATTAATAATACTACACTGTAAACCTAGTTGTAATGTTTTTTAAAGAAATTCTTATAAAAATCTGAAAGTTGAAGTTATGAACACGTAAATTGTGAATAAATTCAATAATTTCTATAGTAATACATACATCTTATATAAGTTTAAATATTTGATCAGTTTTATAACCATAGCTATATAACTGACAGGTAGTTCACTTCATTGTAAAGAAAATAAACCAATGAATAACAAAGAGGTTTAATCTGAAATCAGTTTCTTGATATATACTCAAGCACTGAGATAAAAAAGGTAAATTGAAGGTGGGTGGATTGAAAACAATCTTCATATTAAAAACGAAATGTTATGCGGCAGTTGAGGATCCATATTGTATCGTTGCTAAGGACACTCACCATCATTATCATCATCCTCAATATCATCGTTTACATCATCTCCACTTCTCTTGTTTATGCTAAAAAGCTGCTCTTTCATAGCTCCTGATAGAACATCTACAAGTAAAGGTAGGTAAAACGGGGGAAAGAGAGAAAAATTGCAGTTTAAAACAAAATAAATAATTTTAGACCCAGGATCAGGTTCTACTGAATTAGTACAATATATACCTATGAGTTGTGGTGCCCAGTCTCTTTGACAGAATTATGGATCTGTCTCAAGCTGTTTTTCAGTATGCCTTTTAAAGCAGAATATGATCATACACCGTCTCATTCCCCTCCCCCCCCCCCAAAAAAAAAAAAATGAAAACATTTTTTTTCCAAAAATCTTACCTATGAAGTACTGGCACCTAGACCCCTGAAAGCCAGCTGGACAGGCACATTGTTCAGGTGCTACGCAGGTCCCACCGTTAGCACAACCAAGGGTACAAATAGCTGAATATCAGAGGAGAAAAAATCCAAGATTCAACATGTTATTTTGGATGTTGTATACACTTAAAGGTAAAGACCAGTTATGGTCATGCGATCGCATTGTGAAAGAAACGTTGTGGAATCGATCAGAAAAGGTTGATCATCTAGCATATAAGTATTGGTGTGTACTGCAAGGTTCTGGAATCATCAAAATGATAAGAAATTTGGCCCAGTCTTCATAAAGCTACAAGCACTGAACACAAAAAGATGTATATGGGACTATATGCACACATGCGGGACACATGCGTTCATCTCTCACAGACCAATTGATAAACTAATTTACCAAATATATCAATTACTGTAGTAGGCGGTTTCCCGGCAATTTTTTTATCATCATGTATTAGTCAAAACATATTCTTTCACAAGATTGGTAATAAGAGCTTCCATTTCATTTTTTGAAATTGGGGCGTTTCCAATACTGATCTTTACCTTTAAACTTAGAATACAATAAAGCAAAATGGAATTACAAGAAAATTACATAAAAAGAGATATTTCTACAAAAAAATGTGAATACAGCTGAATTTCAGAAAAAAATTAATGCTCAATTTAATTTCAAATATTAAACATTTTCTTTGCAATGTTATTATTCACATACATTTATAGTAACAATACTTTTATCGGCAAACATATGATACAGGAGAAATATAATCAAGGGTACATATACAGATAAGCTTTACAGAAAATGACAACATTTTATCTCAAAGAAATAGTGCCTATATATGTTCATCAAAACAATTATGCCACAAGTTTACCTACATAGACATGTAAGAGATTTTATGAGACAAGTTTTGGCACTTCTCTTTATCATTTTTTTAATAGCATGCCATACTGTCAACTTTCTAAAGTTCAAAACATACTACCTCACCCTGTGGGAGCCCCAGAGGAAGCCCCATCAGTTTATATTTTGTGTTATATACCTCATTTTAAGATTCTTTACTAATCCTGTCTTCTGATTGGTTGAAAATGCAGTCATGTTCTTAACCATGCCCGCTAATTGAAATTCATAGTCATTTTTCCCGGCTCTACCGGTTTATATCCATTTTTCATAGCACTTTTTCCATGGCTGTGAAACGTGACGTCATTTTGCTGCGATCCCCAACCATGCCCGCTAATTGAAATTCATAGTCATTTTTCCCGGCTCTACCGGTTTATATCCATTTTTCATAGCACTTTTTCCATGGCTGTGAAACGTGACGTCATTTTGCTGCGATCCCCATTTTGGTTTACGTGTTACCGTATAAGTTTCTTTTGTGCGATGAGATGGAAACCTAAATGGGTGAGTCAACATTTTCCTTTTTTTCGGTATATAAAATATATATTGACTGCTTTTAATATTCGAGGCATAGTTGTTTCTATAGGGTCTCGGGAAACTCACAACCTGCTATGACCCCGCGGCGCAAGCGCCTTGGGGTCATAGCAGGTTGTGAGTTTCCCTTGACCCTATAGAAACCACTATGCCTCTCAAAGCAGTCAATATATCCTTATTAATATATATTTGTGTTTTATATATATATATATATATATATATATATATATATATATATATATTCATTTTCTGTTTTTATTAATGTTTTGTTCTTCTTTCAAATCTTTGCTTTACATTATGCTATAAATGCTTCGGGAACTATACTTGTACAAGGCCTGAGGGCTTTATTTATGTAGTTCCCCGTTTCATTTTCTAAATTTCTTAGTGAGTTATTTTTTATCTTTTGAATCAATGTATTTTGTAACCGAGAATGAAATAAATGAGAATAGAATTAAATACATGTACACACCGTCATCGCATAGAGGGCCTTGGTAGCCAGAGCAACACTCTACTGTTGGGACAATGCTCTCTTTCAAACCAGACCTATAAATACAAGAAGAGAATTCTCAAAGTTATGAACTTGTACTGTGACAAAGCTATACTGTTGGCTGTAAAGTTAAAATAACGGTTCCTTACCTCTTTTCAATAAGTGACTGCGACATTTTGATTTCATTATTGATATCTTATGTTCTCAAAACTTTATTAATCAATTTGTACGACTCTTTAGATTGATCTATAGAGTTCTGTGGAAACAGTTTTATCTCTCAAGAATCAATTATATTGCCACAACCATTTCATAAAAAGTGGTAACAAAAATATATTCCAACTTCATGGGCAACACTGTATATTACAAAGATGCTCATGTTAGGTTCATATATATTCATTGACATTTCCATAATTAAAGGAATGCATGTCCATATACCGGTATTTTTAAAGTGTACTCTACCAAATTCTTGGCTGTACATTTATCTGAATTTCAGTAATTTTATGTTTATATTCAACTCACTGAGCTCTGTGCATAAACTGTGAATATATATACAAAAACTTCAATATGTCTCACCAACAAAAGACCATTTTGTCATAGGGCCCCTTACTATCCAAGTGTTATCATAAGCATAAAACAAATTTTTACTTATGAATTATTCTGTTCCACTACAAAAATGTTCTCAGAATGTCTTGTATGCAAGCCAATATCCTTTACTGCATCACCATAAAAGTATGTAAACATCACTTTCTTTAGAGAATACATCAGGTTTTGATATTGTCCTAGAGTTAAATTCTCAGACATTTGTGACTTTTTCAAATTCGAAATTCACTGCTGGAATATAAAACAGGATGAAGAGGAACAGAATAGAGGGAATAGGAACAAAAATTGAATGAATAATTTGACACGATTGACATTGACATGATCAAGAATGATGCCAACCTTTTCCCTTCTTTTCATTCATGATGAATACAAAAATTAGTAGATACTGGAAAATAATGGCCCAAATTCACAAAGGAGGTTTAAATTTAACCCATGGTTTAAATCTTCATTTACATAACCCATGGTCTAAAACAAGCGCGACACTGTCAGAGGTCCAATATTAGACGCGCGCAAGGCAAAGTACACTTAATTTGAGCTAATTTAAAACCAAATGGGTTATGTAAATGAGGGTTTAAACCATGGGTTTAATTTCAACCTCATTTGTGAATTTGGGCCAAAGTAAATATTGAGATAGATTATATCCAATGACTTTTTCAATATTTGTTCCTATTGACTAGGGATCTCATATTCATTTGGTTTTACTGTACATTTTTTGTTTTTTTAAATGTAGAAGAAAACAAACTTACCTCAGAACAGGGCAGAGAGTTACTCCCTCCACTTCATAGGGCTGTGTATCCTTGTCCAGAATCCATCCCTCACCTTTGACCTTCGGGTCACGGAGGTCAACACAAGGCAGCAGACTGCGCTCAGTCACTTCCTGCTGAACCTTCTTTGATCCTTCACAGAAACGGGATCTGTAAGAGAAAACTTAAAGTAGTCATTTTTATCCAGACCAAATGAAAGATAACTCAACTGCCACAATCAGTATTAAGTATGAAATTCATTGAGTATTCACACAAATAATGCAGTATCTTTATCAATCCATGAATATAAATATACTGGTAATGCCTGAAGTAAAACTTGTAGTTGCCATTTTCATCCAGAGTGAAAAAAATATATCTGATTTGACCAAATGAAAGATAACTCAACTGCCATAATCAGTATAAGGTATTAAATTCATTTTGAATGCACACTAATAGTGCAGTATTGTTATCAATCCATAAATATAAATGTTCCATATTGGTAATGCCTGAATTAAAACCTATAGTTGTCATTTCATCCAGATTAAAATCAAAATCACCGTTTTGTTTAAATGAAAGATATAACTCAACTGCAATGATCAGTACAAGGTATAAAATTCATTTAAAATACACACTAATAGTGCAGTATTGTTATCAATCCATAACTATAAATGATTCGATAATGCTTGAAGCATGAGCTTAGTGAAAAAAATTTAGTATTTAGAAAGAGAAGAATTAATGTTTAATTTCTGTAATTCTAGTTGTACCATGGTACATGTATGAATACCCCATAGAAAGTAAGATTACATTATGAAACCACAACTAGCATAGTCATTTCAAAATGTCTTCTTCTGATTATTCCCTGGATGTTTTTTTTAACATACATCTGCCAAAAGTAGATAATGGTTTCATTTTTATATAACATGCTTTTAGATATCAATTGCTTAAAACTTAAATTAACTATTAAATGCTCAGTAAAGTATATATGTGTTGAAAAGGCAAAACCTTTTAAAAATATAAATTGAACTGATAATATTACCATCTTTAACCTCTCTCAAAAAAGAAGAAGAAGAAATTACAAGAAATAATGTTTTCACTTACTCTGCATGAGCTGAATGTTGCCATGTTGCAAGCGATACCAATGCAACAAGAAGCACTGGCAGGCAACGTTGCCACAACCCCATCATACTCTGCACCACGTCTGCTTAAAATGACCAATTCAAATGACTTCTGATACCATGCAGTTCTCTTGTCTTTAAAAACACTTTCGGGGAAGAAATCAGCTGTTTTCTCTTTTGATTCAGACAGTTTTCTGTCATCAATATGAAGATGAACTGCTCCACACCTTCTTTATATCTAATTTTGAAGTTGAATAACCAAGGAAATGGCCAGGTTTTTTTTCTTCTTTGCCTTTACGTAATCTGGCACCGGATGTTCAGTAATAAGCAATCCAATTTGTCTTTAGAATAATAAGAATATCAGAGGGAACTCAATTTTGGACACTGTAACAGCTGTAAACAATGCAAACAACCTATTACATCAGTTTTACTAATTAACAAAATGCTTATTTTAATTGAACTGTGAGCTCAGTAGTGTTTGGGGCTACATTGTGACAGATGGAATTGAGTAAACTTGAAAATGTCAGCAACTTCAGGATGAGACAATTGCATAATTTTATAAAGTGAGTATAGAAACGTCCAGATTAAATGTTGATGCATTATCAAGCTTTTATTGAACATGAGGATTACATGTCATGTAATGAGGAAATTTCAGTATTTAAAAAAAAATGTGAATAAAATATTCCGGATATACATGTACCTTGTTTGTAAATTTATGTATGTTGTCATGACAGTCACTTTCACAAATATCCATATTCCTTCTCATTCTCATATTCATCCTTCTTTTCTTTTTCCTTATCTATTCCTGTTTATCTTCCTACATGTATATGATTTTCTGTCTCCAAGTCTCTCTGTTCTGTACATAAATATCTTTTTCAAATCGATCTCATTTTCATAATTTCCCTCCAAAACTCTCTCTCCTCTCCTTTCCCTCCAAATCCCCTTCTCTAGCACCGTTGTTTCTCCTTTATTTACACACATACTCTCTCTCTCTTTTTCTCATATCTCCCCCTCTGTCTTTCGGCTCCCCCATGTTCCTCACAGTAGCTTTCTGAAACTTCACACTCCCTTCCTATATCACCTCAACTGTATAATATTATCAAATTCTCATTTAATTTCCATGCATTTATGGATCTTCAGACCAGCAATTCAAATGCTTAAAGACAATTCTCATTTAACTTTGTCTCTTCTACTTGCCCATGGTTTTATAGATCTCCAGACCAGCAATTCAAATTCTAAAAGGCAATGTACAATGTAGTGAATTTTTAACCTTAGAGGAGGGGGGGGGGGGGGGGTGGGGGATATGTATGTGTACTTAGCAAAAAGTCTCTGACAATGAAGGTAAACAAACAATTTAAACATAAAGAAATACAGAAAACAAAGGTGCAAAATTGCTCCCAAGGAGGGGGTGATTTGTTTTCTTCAATGTTATGAACATTTTATGTCACTCTTATACTTTTTTTTCCTCAGCAGATTCCTCCTCTTCCTCTCTCTTCTGTCTATGTCTTATCCATCTTATTCCTTTTCATTTATCCTTTTCTGTCTTTTTTCATAATTTGAAATATTTGTTTGTGTTTATTATTATTTAATTTCAATGCAATATGATGAACAATTCTTCTTCATTTCTAAAAATCTGTTTATGTTCCTTGTCGAATTAGGTGAATATATTCAATTCTCTTAATATATTATTTTAGACAATGCAAATAAGAAGTCTTTGTATGTAGGATTTTTTCATTACAAATTATTTAATCCACATATTAAGAATAATTGTATTTCAATAGTCAGAATGCAAATTGCATATGTTACATGTTGTTAGGTAGGGTAAGTTATAATGTTTGTCCTACCTAGCAACAACTGATGTATACAATTTCAATTCTGACTATTGAGATATTTATTTATTTATAACAGGTGAAGGAAAAAAAGTACATGAGGTACTTCACAAAGGCATATATGCATAAATTCTGTTATATTACAAAAATTGCCTAATCAGGATCCACAACTGTACACTGTATTATTAAGAGGTAAATATTCTATGTCAAGCATAGAGGGCACATACAAGTAGCATTCATGTCACTTTCTCTTCCTCTTATTCTCTCTATTTTTGATATACCTTCATTTCCTTTCCCTCTCTACTAAACTCATTAATTACTGAGCAGTACACTCATTGACTTTATAACAAATTGTATCATGATTTAATTCACTGAGCTGCTTTATAACATTGACATGGACTGTACATTGTCATTAAATCATTTACAAAGATATACATTCAGCTAGAGGCAGCATTTCACATCATTTACTGACTGATTGAGTAAAACAAATTGTGTGCATTTTGAACAAATAGCCATAGACAGTTATTTTCTATCAATTATACTTTCTTATTCACATAAATACATTTTTTCATAAAGATACGGATAAGGAAGAGGGCGCCCTTGATGGATTTGTAAATAGTACACAAATGAGAGCAGGGACAACATAAAGACCGGTACAGCCATGCCCAATCCACATCAGACTTCTACGATTTACGGAATGAGAAGACATTCTAAAACGTAGCTCTACGCTAAAGGATGTCCACATCAAAGGTCAAAAGGTCGGCATAAGCGATGACATGCACAGCGACACACGAAAAGAGCACAAGAAATTGATGACGAAAGTGAGAAAACTATGACAGGAAAATAAATTTGCATTCATTCCAAATTCTGTTCCTAGGGTGATCAAATACAAAGATGGTCCAAAGGAAGCTCCTGGTTTACTGAAAACACTACAAATGTCTGATGTACATGTATAGGAATTGAAATGCTATGTCAACCTGTTTACATGGAAATAATTACTATTTTGTTCACAGTAAAATCTGCATTGATAACATAATTTGTCATGTTTGTTGTATTTGTACAGTTTTAGTAGGCCAAATACGTTACTCTAATGAACTGTCCCTGCTCTCTTTTGAACCTGAAAGGTAAAAAGGTTAACCCTCATTTTGGATAGTTTCTTATAGCAAACAGTTGTTTAAATCTACAATGTTAGTTTTTTATCACGTTTTTCTTCATTTTTTACCTCCTTATATTATCATACAAGTCTAGGATACAAAATCAACTCATTTTGCTGAGAGATATTGCAAGTTTATTAGTATAAACACATGCATAAAGACATTTATCATGGATTTGGAAACACACAAAGAACTATGTTACATGTATATGATGGATAGTGTAATTGATATAAAACTTTGTTTGCTCAATGTGAGAGGGTTAGGAAATTCCTTTAAACGACGATGTATATTTACGGTAGAGGTTTACGGTACACCATGTGTAAAGTCCTAGAAGGACTAAGGAAAGTGGATAGAAAATAGAAGTAAAATAGAAAGGCGAGAAAGTGGAGGTTGGAAGGAAGAGTATCTTTCGGAAGTGAGTATAGTCCTGAAAAGGACTGTAAACCAGAAAGTTGTAGATAGGATGAGAGGTTTGAGTAGAAGACTGGATTGAGTTGGAGAGTTGAGTAGAGTTGCAGAGCAGGAGCAGGAGAGTAGACTCGACGTTTCGGACAGGTTGACTGTCCGTCTTCAGGAGTCGGACAGTCAGAGAGACAAGCAAAAATAGCTGAAAGATACTACCATCAAAAATATTGAACAGAAGAAACATGTGAAAATACTCCAGAAAAGATTACCGGTACAGATGATTGCTAAGAATTCCCAAGGATCATCTTCCACTCCTCTGCTAGCAGCAATGACTCCCAGGAGTATAAAGACAAGATCACAACTACCACAAGCAGTGCGCAAGAAGCTGCTGTTTGCCAATGCCCTGACGAATCAAATTAGAATGAAACGAAAGGACACTACAAAACAAGACCTGAGAAGGATTTTGATGGGTATGATATCAGGGAAATTGTCAAAAAGTACTGATGCGTTAGACTGTTCCACAAAAAACGGGGATGAGTCGATCAACCTTATCTAAAATTTTATACCTGCGAGCACGCAGGATGACTGCCGTTCAGAAGAGAGTTATTTCTTTCCTTGAAAGAGATGTCAGCAAGAGGGATGCCACCATGAAGGTGCAGAATTGCATACTGACTGATTACCTGCCCAAAAATAGTATTTTTCGCCATGGGTCTTGCATACAGTCTCTCTTCATATACAGTGCAACATCTACGCACACACAATCACCGTTAGTACACACTTTTTGTGTCAGACTGTCCAGAGTGTTATACCATTGGAAGTGAAAGTAGACATGGCTTATCCCGGGGAGCAGCTGGACAACATCATTTATTGTCAGCAAAGTTTGCTGTGGGGATACCCAAGGACAAGTGTGACTCATCGGGAGGCAGTGGTGAGGAGAGCGGGGGAACGAGATTCTACCACCGGGCTTGATGGGCGTGGTGATCATCGACGGAGGTCCAGTTTACAGCGGCGTCAGGAAGGAGACATGCAGTGAGTGGACTGTCCGGAATTTTCGTTGATGATCTTACTCGAGCTGAGGAGCAAGGATTTTACTTCCTAGTAGTGAACTGTGTACATGTATTTATAATCATATTCTCTTTTTTTAATTATTAGTCGTTGTATTTGAAAATGAATGTCTTAGTATTTTATATGTCTATCTTTTTATTATGTTCACACAATGTCCACACAAGTTTTAGATATGTTCGATTTCAATCACTAAAACGTTTGAAATATTTCCGATCACGAATTTTATATTATCATAATTTATCAGCCACCTTTCAAACGGAAATATATCGAGTAGAGAATTGTATTTTTAATCTTATACTTCTTAGTGGTGATGTGGAAACCAATCCTGGTCCAAACTATAAATTTCCATGTAGAACATGTGAAAAACCAGTTAAGAATAATCAAAACGGTCTTCTGTGTTCCATATGTCAAAAATGGCATCATACCAAATGCCAAGATATAAGTATACACGAGTATACTAGATTATACCAAAACCCAAATGAAAAATGGACTTGTTTAACATGTTCTTTACCCTCTTTTTGCGACTCGCTATTCACAACCTCCATTGCAAATGTTGCACGTACTCGACGTATAAGTGAATCTGAATTAAGTACCCCAACCAATGTCGATGACACAACACTTTATGAATACTTTAATGATAAATTCAAGGCAAAAGGCCTGCATTTCGTCCATTTAAATGTTAGATCCATTTTGTATAAAATTTCTGAACTTCGATTACTTTTTTCTAAGAATAAAATTTCCATTATCGCAATTTCTGAAACGTGGTTGAACTCGTCTGTAAATGATGAAGAAGTCTGTATAGATGGATATTGCATT